TATCTGGACCTGCTGGAGTTGAGCTTACTCAAGGAGGACTGGAGGCACGCTGTCCGAGCAGTGCCCGACGGAATCGAAGAGAAACTCATCGATCGTCTGATTGAGATGGAGCGGCTCCAGATGGCCAGCGAGGAATGGGAGAGGGGCCAGCGCTCGATGCCACCCAAGAGAGCTGCGTCAGCCATGCAGCTTAGAAAAGGTTGGAACTCCACGGCCGCGTTGCCCACAGAGCGGGCGCACAGTGCCCTGGCCCGACCAAGACAAAGCAGGAATTGCTCCCCGGATTGCCTGCAGCCGCTGTGCTCTGGAGATTGCGAAGTGAAGCGCGAACCGCCCAACACTGGATGCTCTCGCTGTAAACAGGATTACTGCAAGGGCTCTTGTACAGAGTTTGGCTATCACTTGCACATCCGACAGCCGAGACAGGAAGAAGATGAACCTCCTCCTCCCAGGCCCAAGTCCTGTAAGAGCTGCACCACCAACCGAACGTCCTCAAGAAAATCCACTGCGAATGCCAATACTACCGTTCTCGGTCGTCCCAAGTCCGCGTTTGCGACTTTCAGCAGTGCCAGGCAGATGGCGCGTAAGCCAAGACCGGTCTCGGCCGTAGCTACGAAAGTCTCTGATGACATGGCTAATCTGGAGCTGTCATCAGCAACTGGTAGAGGAGGTGATCGACCCTCTCGACCCAAAACGGCAACTTCGAGCGGCATCCCCAGGGCTAAAGGTCACGGGCGGGATTCCATGCAGCCAGGGAAGAGCTTCACGTCACAGCGTAGGCACTCACTGACAGACGAACCAGTCAGCACCAGCGCTGCCAAAATGAACCCTAAACCAATGAGAGTGAAGTCAGCAAGGCTGAAAGTCAGGCAAAAAAGAAACACTAAAAGAGATGATTCTTATTTTGCAAAGGGGAGATGTCATTATTGTTTTGTTTTGAGTTTTACCACCCACATAGATTTGTTTTGAAAATTGCTGGTGTTTATTGTAGCAATACAAAAGTTAATCACTTTTGCACCAGATTAATTGCTGTATGCAAATGTGTATGTGTGTGATTTTTTTGGTTATCAAACTAAATTAATTTATTAATTAATGCTTCTTTGTGTCGGTCTATATGTCTGACACTTACATGCAGGGACAGGCATTAGATGTTTCACTGTTTAATTAGGCCCCATTCCGTCCATGACTAAATTTTATCCCCTCAAGTTTTTAATTTGTCTCGTCTGTTTATGTTCTTCGGATATTGTAACAGCATTAAAAAAGGAAGCAAGTGGGGACAGGAAACTAATATTTTTTTTTTTTTTTTTACTTGAAAGTCCTAAAGTCAACAAACAAAATTCTCATATTCTCTTTGTGGATCCCCAAAAAAGTGTCCGTCTGACTGTTTTAAAATAATTACAAAACCATGATGTCAATTTTGAAAATTTTTGGTTGTGCAGATACTCCTAAGCCTTGGCCTCGACCCCTATGAGTTTCATTTAATTTCAGTTAATACGCATTAATGCAATATTGCCAATTGACCACAACAACATTTTTGGACACTGTGACCAGGTTCCTTGCCTTAATCCATTTCAGTGCTGTTTTATGTAAGCTGTGTAAAATCCTGGATCTTGTGAAAAAAAAGGCTGATTTGGTTTGGGATTTGAATCATTTGCCCTTGAGCATTAAACCGAGGTCTTGCCATGATGACTGATAGCCAGGCAAATGATTCAAATCCCAACTGCAGCTTTTTTCACAACATAAATGATTTCATCCAGCTTACTTAACGCAGCACTGAAATTGAATAGGGCAAGGAACTTGGTCACAGGGTCCAAAAATGTTGTTGCGATCAATTTACAATTGTGTAGTGATGCGTGACTAAAATTAAATGAAACTCATAGGGGTTGAGGCCAAGGCTTAGGAGTATCTGCACAACCAAACATTTTTAAAATTGACCCCATGGTTTTGTAGTTATTTCAAAAATAGTTAGACACTTTTTGGGGAGAAATGCTGTATATCGTGATGCTGCCACATAGTTTATCTTTTGTATATAGTGAGAACTTCACTTGTTTTTCTACTTCTTTCACTAAAAAAGAGAAATAATGCCGTGCTAGTTATTCCTTCTACTTTTGTACTAGAGTTTACAACTTTCTATTTATATTTTCAAAAGCCATTTCTAGTTTTGTGTGCGAACATTTTTTTTGTAATGAATGTTTAGAGGCTTCATATCAGTTCTATTTTTCTATATTTTAAACCTGTAGATCTTTCAGTGGTCAAAGGTGTATGAGAATAGGTTTGACTTATTTTGGCTGCTTTTCCTTTTAATCAAGAGTACATATTAAACAAAGATTATGCAAGAGTGTTGTGATATATATATTTTTTCTGTTTTGTAGATGCTGTATCTTTTTTAAAATGGTCACACTAAAAAAACACAAGACAGAAACATTCCATCCAGTATGATACTGAAAGAATAGCACCATGCTGCCTTTTTTTGAAACGTGAATTTGGTGTGTTTTTATAAAAAAATGCTGTGTACATATATTTTGTATGTCTTTATGAATAAAGATATTTACATTCATAAAACAGGTGTTAATAGTTAATATTTAATTGAATAAACCCACTTTCATTTTAGGAGTGCAGTGTACTGAATGGCCCCTATAGTTTATAATTGGTTTGTCTACAAGTTCCAAATAATCTAAATGAAAACAGCAACTGCACGAAAATAATACAATTATTGAAGTCGGCGTTTTTATTTGGAACATGTGAGGTTTTGTTTATTTTGAACAACCCCTCCCCCCTCCCCCTTACCACCTTTTTATTTTCGGAGGCCAAGTGACATTGCACACTACTCGATCATATGTTGCGCCAAACGATCGAGGAGGTGCAGGCGCGGATCTGGGGGAGGGGGTATCTCTCTTTCAGGACTTTTTCTAGAGGGGGGCAAAAAACTTTTCCCGAAAAATTCTTGTATTTCTCAACGAATTCTCGATTTATCAGTTAAAGACGGTGGCAGGGACATTTTGCACCCCCCCCCCCCCAACTCATTCAATTTACACCACTATGACCAGTGTTGGAGCAAAGGCTTAAACCTTCAAGGCCAAGGCCAAGGCTTTGACCCTCAAGGCCAAGGCCAAGGCCAAGGCTTAGACCTTCAAGCCTCGAGGCCAAGGCCAAGGCTTAACCCTCAAGGCTAAGGCCAAGGCCAAGGCCCTGTTTTATAAAATGACCACTGATATAGAACTAATTATAGTCACATGACTCATCATCACGAATCGCCCATTAAGAAGAACACCATGTCTTAAATTGCAATCAACATGCTCGCATACACCGTTTTATGACTGCATTAGATCTATTAAAGTATAAGTGCAGGTCTTCAATGTGGTTTAGCTAAAACAAAATAAAGATTTACTTCTATATTGACGCACAATTCTCCCGAGTTCAAGAAAAGGGGGATCCAAGAAACTGATTTGGGAAATGTTTATTTGCTGGGCCAACATGGTCAGAAATATCAGCATTATCTAAAACAGATGCATGCAAATCTTTAGCACTTATCAGGGAGACATACAACCAATCAGATCTGGGTCATTCCACCGGGTTGGGAAGCAGTGCATGTTACATCCATATATTTGGTTATATTATTAAAAATATCAATGCATTCTAAACAATTGCTTAACATAATATTTGTCTTAGGGTGTTTCAATATTTGAGAAAGTTTGAAATCATTTGAAAGTACTTTGACAAAAATATGAGCAAAAATGTATTAATTCGGATGTAACATAATTGACACTGTTTCAATGTTACATCCAAAAATTTCTTTTTTTGCCATATTTTACACGTGTATGTAAAATGTTACCCAAACTGACATTGCATATTTACAACTGGACACCTAAGCACCAAGACAAACTTTTGTTTTGGTATAGTCAGGGTTCAAATATGGCAGAAACAATACCTCAAGTGTGGATGTAACGGTGTAAAAATCACTCAATGGAAATGTGACATTTGGGGTTTACACCGTGTAAATGTTACATCCACACAAACAAGCTATCATTTCTGCTCCATTTGATGTCTGACTACCATAACAAAAGCTTCTCTTATTGTGTTGCATCTATAGTAAGAAGTACGCAAAGTAAATTTGGGTAATATTTCGAAGAAATTAAAAAAAAACAGATAACAAATGTCATATTTGGACGTAACACTGACACGGGGTCAATGTTACATCCAAAATTACATTTTTTGCTCATATTTTTGGCAAAATACATTGAAACGATTTCAAACTTTCTGCAGTCGTGAAACACCCAACAACAAATATTATGTAGAGCAACTGCTAGCAAGGCATTCATGCTTTTCTTAATATGGTCATATGTCACACTTTGTTCCCCAACCCGCTGGAATGACCAATCTATTCCATAATTGTATGCAATTTAAGTGATCATCTCATTAGCCCCACAAGTGTACAGAATATTTTTGCAGCAAATCTACTACAATGGAAACAACATGTGATGCTATAAAAGTGGAAGTGTGCCCCCCACACAAATCTACAAGGGGTTTCCCTCCTCCATGGTAATACGATTAAAATGGTAACAGCAAAATTTCGAACAGATTTATCTGGAAAATGCAAAAATCTATGGGCCTTGAAGGGCCTTGACTCAAAATTGCAAGGCTGTGATCCCTCAAGGCCAAGGCTTTTGCCCTCAAGCCTCGAGGCCAAGGCAAAGGCCCCAAAATCCAGCCTTAAGGCAGCCTTAAGGCCAAGGCCCAGCATCAAGGCACTACATCACTGACTATGACTTTGCGCCTCTTTTTTTTTTTTTTTTTTTTACTTTTCTGGGGGGGGGGGGGGGGCAAGCGCCCCCCTCCTTGCCGCCTCGCAATGCCCATGCCAAGTTCTGTCCAAAAACAAAATTCATAGAAATCCGTGAAAAAAAGGCGAAACACTCCTCCCCCCCCCCCCCCGCCAAGTTCCAGTACCGAATCGGCCACGCCCACCTGTCCAGTTCTGGTCTTTCTAAATAGCGCCCTCTGCTAGCAAAACCAGACCAACTTCAAGTAAACATGGCGGAATACAATCCGTTTTTCGCCGACGAGGATGAGGAACCGGTGGAGGACAGCATCGTGGCCGCTGTCGAGTCCCCCTCATTGGGCCCGACAGACGATGGCGACACGGACACGCCGATCGTCGACACCGGTTCACCCAAGAGTAAAACTGCTCCAGTGACCGCCCTGAGCGGTCATTCGGCCGAGCCGAGTTACGATGCAATCGCTGCCAAGTTTCTGAAGGTGTGTAGCCTAGGGCTAGCTACATTTTTAGGCTACATGCATTAGCCCCATAAATGTGGCCAATTTAAATTTTAATACTGGACTAGGCTACCTCCGTAAATAAAGGCCACACGTACAAAAACATTGCGAACTCTGTCAAATTTTGATTTTCACATTTATTTAGGCTTAGTTTGTAGTTTAAATTATAACTAGGCTAATCAGAAAGTGCTGCCTTTTTGAGATGTCTAATTTTCGTGCATGTTGAAATGTTGATACCCAAATGTGTGTAAACGAATTTGGAAATTTCACAAAAAAAATTAGAAAAGTCTGCTTTTGCTTGTGAAGGTGATTTTTGAGTAATAAAAACATTTTCATACATTCAATAGTCATTCAAGAGGCTAATAATGGACTTGAAATAGACCCCCCCCCCCCCCCAAATATGAAAACTAGGCAAATTGATGATTTTGCTTGTCCATTAAATACATCCAGTATCACTGCTGTCGTCCATGATGTTTTGTGCATCTTGCGCACGACACAATCGTATGGTGGCCCTGAAGGGACATCGCACATCGAGATTTCTGCGCAGATTTCTGCGATGTTGCACATTTTTTTCTGCGATGTCGCAGAAATCTAGCTGATATGCAACATGGTATTTAGCGAACAATTTAGATGATTCCAAACAAAAGTGACTTTTCCTGCTGTATCATCCTAAATGTTGAGGTATTATTAAGTCCCAAAACAAAAAGTGTCTTCATTCTCTCATCGCATGGAATGGGGTCCTAAACTACCCGATTGCCTTGCATTCAGACTTTTTCAATTGATGTAGAATGTAGTTACGATACGATTTTATTGCCACAAATGTTTAGATTCATTCTTCTTGAACAAGCGTCTTAATTTAAATCTGATAATAGGACTAACATGCCTAATTCAATCTTAACCACCCATCTTTTGATTTCAATGGATACGTTCATAAAATGTATGTGGCCACAGTCACCCACATTAAAAACTTTGCAGTGTTAGGCCAAAAAAATAAATAAGTCGGTCTCTGGTCAGTGCACGCGTCGATTTTAATCATGCGCGTTAACCTTTTTTTTCTCTTCAAATTGTCCGCGGTAGCTGCAGCAGCGCCCTCTATTGCCGCACCTCCTCAGATTTTTGTACCAAGGAATGGGGAAATTGCACCAACTCAAATGATGGAGGGCACCAAGGCAAATTATGGAGGTCCCCAATGTTTATGACGACACAACAAAAGCAAAATAGTACCCACCTTGTCTGTAAAATCCAAGCTTTAAAAAAAAAGAATGCCCCCCCCCCTAAAAAAAACGCGTCGCCGCATCAATTCCAGAACTTTGGTCTGACCAGAGACCGAACATTTTTTTTTTATCGTAGGCAAATGTGTGCGGATTTTAAACTGGCAGTATACATGTACATGTAGTTAATGTTTGAGATATTCAGTGTAATATAGTATACCCAACCACCTTTTTAATAAATTTTTATTCAATTTTAATTTTGATGAAGTAAATACTATTCATTGTGAGATACACGCTGTGTTATGTTTTGTTTTATTTTGTCTGTTTGGGTGGTTGAATCTGTTTGGTGGTTGAATAGTCTCTTTTATTGAAGATTGTTTCATTTGTTTCGCATGTTCTTCAAGGATCGGATGGTTTTGACGGCATTGGAGATGCACACTGAACTCATCGAGAGCGGCCGTGAGCTCCTTCGCCTCAGGGACTATTTCTCCAACCCGGGAAACTTTGAACGGCAGGAAAACACCTTGCAGCTCAATCCATTACGTAAGACAAAAAAATTGTCGTACATCCTCATTCAAAATTCAAAACGATAAATTTTCAAAATTCATTAGGTTTTGTCAAGTCCAGCGCAAGTCTTCAGAAGTCCAACACGAGTCAATCACAGGACGTGCAGTCCCGAGTCCATCAGATGCTTTTCAAATAAGCTGTGATACAGTCATACCTTTGTTATTGTTCACGTAATTCTACCGCGAAAGGTCAATACCAGCGAAGCACATATTTATTTCCATTCATAAATACCCAAAGGTCAAAACAAGTCAAAAATTCACAATTTTCCAATGATTTTGTTCAACACTTTTACTACATGTTTTGTGAAAACACCCCTCTGGCCATATGTCTATGGTATGTGTCTCACGCATGTAACGTTAAAAGTTGGTATATGTGTGACACGTGGCACAGAATGCAGCGGCGCAGGAATGAAATGTTTAAAACTCTCTGGTGTTTTGTCAGCGGTTTAAAACCAGCCACGTGACGGGCTCTCCACAAATAAGAATGGATAAACTAACTCAGGTATTTATGAATCTATTCATAATTCACAAATCACTATAGTGATTTGTGAATTTTTAATGGACTTGTAATTTAAATGTGACTGGTCTTGTTATGGACTTGCGATAGATCCCACAACAACAATGTTTAAATGAACCATACTTTGTTTGGATTATTTGCCCTGTTCATGAGAGGACTCACGAATATTGAGCAAACGCATAAATTAATTTGTTTCTGAGAATTGCTGGTAGCCTACGTGTTCCATTTGTCATGTTTGTACGAGTTTTGTGCAGGTATAAAGAATATAACGTAATTTATTTCCTTGTTTTGAAACAATCCTAACTGTGTTAAGAAGCCAAGCCATGCTATAGTATTATTAACTCCGACAGCGGGCCATTTCTACTTGACTTTGTCCATCTGAGTAGTGAATGAAAGACCGTTTGTTGTAGCAGTTGTTGTCTGTTGGATTCAGCAGGCTGCATTCTTTGCTGTCATTAGATTTTTGTTATATTCAGAAGTTGCCAAAAGAAAATTGAATGGGGTTAGGGTTAACAATGTAGTCGTTCATGATGCCCCTCTATCTGGCTTCACAGTCCACTGTATAGTTTCTGTCCTGTGTGATGTGGTCAATAGCATTTTCTACACTCGAGGAGGCAAGTGGTTCCAAAGGTGAAGCCAAGGCATGCAAGGTGTACAAAACCATGGAATCATATCACAACAGACAACAATTATCTTGTTATACCTCAGTTATACATTTTTTTTTTTTTTTTTTTGCTCTTGCTTGCAGGGTCTATTTTGCAAGGCCAGTGTAAAATCTAAATGTCTTTACAACAACGTTTTTACAGATGCGTAAGTGGGGTTAAATTTCTGTGGGGGGGGGGGGGACAGCTGGGGGTGCATCATTTTTGTAAGGAGGCATTAAAGGCAAATGAAACGTATCATTTCAACGGTGCAGAATATTTTTTTTTTCCAATTCAAGATTTAAATTTGGGGCTGGGGGGGGGGGGGGGATTGGGGGCTCTGACATTCCCTGGGGGGGATACAGTCTATTACCTCACCATATATGAAAATTTGAAGAAGGTCAACTAAAAAGTAGGTCGTCTCAACTAATTAAATTTTGTACACTCTTGGTCACACCAAATGATGTTGTACAGATCGCACATCCAGTGAGACCACGTTCGACTCGCTGGACCTGGCCCGCTATTCCGACGATGGTGTCAACCAGTCGGACGATAAGCACGCCGTGCTGGAGTTTGAGCTACGAAAGGCCAAGGATACCATCAAGGCATTGCGGGCTAACCTCACAGAGGCAGCAGGTAAAGGCTTGAAACAGGAATCTTGATTATGTTTTTGAAAATCCTGAGAAAAATTCCCACGCGTCTCAGAATAGTCAAAGCTTCCCTCGAAAATGCCTTCAAATGAAGAGTTGAACTCATAGTCTGTGGGTAATTCTGCAGGTTGTGGGTTCGAGTCCAGCCTGGGGTTTGGTGCCCTTGGGCAAGGCACTTTGTCACTCATTGCTGCTCTCCGCCCAGGAGTAAATGGGTACCTGTGAGGGTACAGATGGTTATTGTGATTGATTTTAGCTGCTCTGCGCCGGAATGGCAGCACTGAGCTGTATACTTCCCAGGGAAATGCTTTTCTTTGGAATGTTTCATTGACCCGATGATCAGGGGTAGTAAAAATGTACAGCGCTTTGATCTTAGTCTGGCCAAGCTATTGTGGTCACCTGACCAAAATTTGCAATCTGATTGGTCGATTGCACACTGTTTTTTTGACAGGCAGGAAATGGGAATGAGATCACAAATTCAAAAAAGAAAAGCAAAACAAAATCAAAGCAAATTCTCACTAGTAGGTAACACAAAGTGATTTAAATCTGAAGCTTTGAAAGAACTAGCACCTGCCAAATTGTTAAAAAAAACACTTATCGTTTAGTAGTTGGGTGTCTTAGGCACCGCATGTTTTTCATTGAAACACATCTGTCCGTAATCGGACTGGAAATGTCCTGGTGTTTTTTGATGATATGAGTTTATTAACCATTACACGTGAAAAGGAGGACTCCTCAGAGAGAGGTTGTCATTATTTAAACCATTTTTTTTTTTAATGATTTAGAGAGTGAAGTTCCATCGCCAATCCACACCACTAAGACAGCTGAAGGTGTGATAGCAGAGGTAACATATATCCTTTTGAAAACTCACGCTACCACTACAGCTAATTCAACATTTTTAGCCGTTCTGAAGCAATAATTTTATGCAGTCTGCAATTTTAAGCAGTCTGCAAGCTTTTTTAGGTTTGCCAAGTCTTGTATTGTTAGTAAAGACTATCGTCAGCAATATTTCTTTGTCCTCTGTGTTTAAATTTCTTTCCTTTTTTCATTTTTCAGGACACCATGAAACCTCTGGAGCGTCGAGCTCTCAACTTTCTCATCAACGAGTTTCTACTCCAACGTGACTACAAACTCACCTCAATCACATTCTGCGATGAGAATGAAGAACAGGTTAGTATTGTTCACACAATAATTGTGTAGCGGTGAAACCCCCCCCCCCCCCCCAAGTTTGTCAACATCTCCTGTGCCAATTTTGTACAATTGTGCCATAGCGTCTTCGCGTTAGTGTCAGGCGTTGTTGGTAATGCGTTCGAATGTCTCCCAGTGGTCTTCCGCAACTCTCCCTTTCTTGCCGTTGAGGGGGTACTTGTGCATGGAGAGCATAGGGTTAAGACTGATTTTGTGAAATCTCTTCACATTTTTTTTCTCCATACAGGATTTTGATGACTGGGACGACGTTGGCCTGAACCGTTCCCGTCCCCCGGACCTGCTGCATCTATACAGGGATTACAGCAGGCACGTCATCCCTGCCAAGGAGACGGCCGAGGTAGGATGCGGGGACGACAGCATCTTGGCTGAGCAGTCGGAGGAGGTTGAGGCCGACCTGGGAATGGCCATGGACGAGGAGAGAGAGAAACTGGTGAGTTTTGAGAAGCTAGGGAGATCTGACAAAACTGGTGAGTTCTGAGAAGCTAGGAGTAATGACAAACCAGTGATCATTGAGAAGATGGGAATTGTGACGAATATGTGAGCTTTTACATGTTTTAGAAGTCGGTGATTTAAAAAATTAAATGCTTTGTTTTGAGAATTGGTCTTGGCGAAGGAATTGTTAAAATTTGGAAATTAAATGATGATGTTTGCCATTGTCCTCGGAGACTTGAAAATTGAAGCAAGAGAATTCAACATTAGATGTCATTAATAGTCATTTGACTTTCACTTTTTATCCATGTTTAGGAAGCACAAGTCTTACAACTCAGCGAGGAACTCGCAGCCTATGCTGAAGAAAACCAAAGTCTGAAGGAACAAATGCAGAAGATGCAAAAGTTAGTAGCATGCATTTTTTTGGTCAAGTAGGCATGTTTAATAAGGGAATAAATGTTTGGCTGGTTTTAAACACACTGTTTCAGACTGGTTGGAGTCTGGATGCTGATAATTACTCGAGCCGAATCAAAACTTTTCGGTCCAAAAGTCAAAACAATGCAAAAATTATAAATTTCCAGCGATTTTGTTCAACAAATTTACTTCATGTTTTTCAAAACACCCCTCTTGCTATATTATGGTTTGTCCATGTCGTAAACAACTCCTTATATGGAGATAGGCGCGAGCGTACTGCGCGATGTGGCGCACAATGCTGCTGTGCCGGTGTAGTGTTAATTTAGGACTATGAAATACTGACTCACTGGTAGTATTGCCCATGCCTACGTGAGCATTGTGAACGTTCAACCAATAAAACGGTAACTAAAAGGCACCGGATTTCATAGGAGTCCAAATTTCATGTGACACTGGAAAAGTGTTTAAGACCAGCCCGCCGGTCTTTATCAACCGTTTAAAACTGGCCACGTGACGGTCTCTCGACCAATAGGAATTGGTAAACCATCTTCGGTATTTATGAATGAATTTTAATCAACATATTTTGGATAAGATGACTCTTGTCATCTAAAATTTCATAGAATACATCAGAGAAAGAGGATTCAATTCACAAGGTATACAACATGGTGCCTTTTTTTTTGGTGGAGGGTGGGGGGGGGGAGGGGGGAGGGGAGGGGGAGGGGAGGTCAGACCACATGTTTAATGGTGATTCTATCATCCTATTTTTGGTTTGTTATCACTGCAGGGATGTTGATGCGTTACAGACGCTGAAAACCTCTACTCCTGGCGTCAGCCCAATCGGTACTCCGCATAAAGCATCAGATGCATACATGAAGAGAACGGGCACCGCCTCGGACTCAACAGAAAGGGAAGCACCAAATACCAGGTTATTTGAAAACCAATTGTGATCATGATTTCTTGAAGTCTTTTTCATTCTTTTTCAACAGTAATTGTCATTTGAAACATTATGCTCTTCCAACGAATTGAGTCAGTATGGGGGATGAAACTTGAGGTATACTTCACTGCACCAGGGCTTGGAACACCGAGGGCCTGGTTGAATCATGTCGCGGTAAAGGAATTTGCACGGGGGAAAAAATAAGAATGTACTAGTTTCAATAGGCCTGTTTACGTCGCAATGTATACCATGAGGTATAGTGATAAAACGCCAAGCTTAGAAACGTGAGCGATTTTTCAAAATAGCGTGAATTTGCATTCTGGCCAATATGCACATTGGTGGTTATGACATTACGGAGCTTGGCTACGACGTTGTCCTATAAACCTTATAATAGTTAAATTAAATATAATTAAATATAATTAAACAATACACATGGCCACAGTTGTGTGCCCATGTGTATTGTTTACTATCTGCGCTATGCCGCTTTTCGTTTGTGCTTTCATTTTCGCGTCTCAGTTTTTCAGCGCTAGTACATTTTCAGTCAACCAATGAGTGTGCATTTCATGGAGTCAGAATTTCAAATTTGACGGGTAACATACAGTATCATTGGCTAATTTCCAAATGACAGACCCGAGGATGCTGGGAACGGAGAGGACCTGCCGGACCTGGCCAGCAACTTACCGGAGGAAGATGCCGACAGCAGAGGTCACATGACCACGAGACCGGAGGACAACGACGGGCAGGAGAGACCGACGAAAAGGAACTCGTCCCCAAGGTTTGTGGAAATGGCTGGTCCTTGACTGAAGATCATTCGAGCTTTGATGGCATGTTTGCGTGGGGCAGATGTAAAGTAAAATATTGGGTTATTGCCCTTCATTTTTATCCCGGAAACTCTTTGAGATATTTTTTTTGTTGTGAAATTTTCCTAACAAGGGCTTGGAAAGCACTGAGTACACAATGTTGAATAAAATTGAAAATTATGTCGCAAAAGGGCAAAAACAACACGAAACAAAAAGACATTTAAGGCCAGTTGCCTGCCAAGTTTGTGATCAGACACAAATTTAAGCCTAAAAATTACAGACTTTGAATTTCTGTGATGCTGTTTTTTTTTGGGTCATAAAAGAAAAGTTAGTTAGACGCACCCCAAAACTTCTTTATGAATTGACAGTGATGAATGTTTCTTGAAATTGTTGCTGTTAAAAATAATTAATTTCTTGCCAAAGTTTTCCTGAAAAATCTTGAAACTTGTTACTACTCATTCTTATGTTTCCCTCAGCTCTAAATGACCGGCACACTTTTTAACTAAGAGCCTTTGAAAAACAACAGCTTGCAAACATGTTACGTTGTTTTTTGTCTTATTTTTTTGGAATCTGATTTTGCAGGGAATTAACACCCTTCCAGCAAGCCATTAACGAAGCCGTCTTGCCGGTGAGAGACGTCACCCAGGCACGCCTACGGGAGGAAGTGTCGCGTATCGCTGACGACGGGGCGGGCGTGGTCCAGATGCTGGCCCGGTGCCTACCTCACATCGTACCCAATGTCCTCATCGCAAAGAGAGAGGTGGGTGGGCAGGGTGTGACATTATCTTTTAAAACCCTAACTCTCTAGGCCTTTTTGCTAGGATGTAGCCTCAATCCTGCAAAATCCTCCAATTAGCCTCATGGAAAAATAGCATATAGCCTCAATCCTGCAAATTCCTCCATTATTTCTTGAATTTGGGTTGTGGAGGGGTGACCACTGCCTGAATCCTGCAAAATCCTGTGGCAGTGACTGTCAATATGTTGAGGCTCGGCCAGTGACATCCTGGAGTAGTACGGAGGATTCAAGCATAATCCAGGCCTATATTTATGCATGGCTGAGCAAAAACAAAACAAGGTCCGGGCCCAAGACCTTGACAAAGTGCATCCTATGAAATCAGTAACGCACTTTTGCTATGTAACCTCAATCCTCCAAATTCCTCCACTTTGGCAAAGAGGATTTTGAAGGATTCAGGGCGGTTAGGGTTAACCCTAACCATCCTCCATAGTGGGAGAGTGTGGCCGAGTGGTTAGGGTTCGTGACTCATGATCAGAGGGTCAGGGGTTCGAATCCAGATGCTGGCCATACGTTGTGTCCTTGGGCAAGCCACTTCACCCCCACTTGCCTTTCTCCACCCAGAAGTAAAATCGAGTACATTCGGGACATCAAACAGCAATTTGGCCATGTGCCTGTGTACGTGTTCTACATAACCCTCGAGGACCAGCACACAAAGGGAGAACAACATATCCTTTCAGTCCTCGGGCGTTGGGTCGTTTGTTCAGATCGGTCCTCTGTAGTAGGTTTGTGTGCTTAGTCTATGGGAGAGTGTTATATTACAGGGAAAAAAGGAAACACAAAGCATTGTCCTCGAGAGTGTAGTAAAACACGACTGTATGCTTAGATGTGTGCATAGCAACTAACCTGTTGAAGTTTCAGTTGAGTCAATAAACAGTTTGAAAAAAACAGACTTTGAGTCGTATAACTGGATTCCTTTGCCAACACATGTAAAACATGTGCTGACGAGCACAATTTCTTAAACCACCTTCAATGATTGTTTTCTTCCAAATGAGACCATTTCAGGCAGAATAATTTCACACGGTATTTGATGCCAGTCCTATCTTCACTTTGAGTAAGGTTTCTGTCATAAAATCGGTAGATACTTTTTGGGGTCATTGCGAACGATTCTGGATGCCTATAAGCAGGCTACACAATATCCACAATTCTATGGAGTACAGCGGAAACGTGATTTTCACCGCGAGGTAAACTTTCTTAAGACGGACTCTGTCAGATGAATATTCGTGACCTGTTTATTGTTTTTTTTGTTGACAGGAGCTAGTTCCGCTCATCGTCTGCACGGTCACGCTCCACCCTGACCCTAACGAGAGAGACAAACTTCTCAATCTGCTGTTCAACCTGATCAAGAAACCTGATGAAGAACAGAGGTAAAATAAAATCTCAAAAGATAGTGGTGACATGTCTTGTACAATCTCTTAAAATAATTGTGAGCCATTAGCTACAGTATAACTCCCCACCATGAAAAGCCTACAATCGTGATTTTTTTCTCCATATTTTAGGATCATTACTTGTTCTTCCTTTGCAAGTAATTAATCTAGGGAAAAAAACGGCTACTCAATACACAAACAGCAAAAGTCATTGAACATTGTCACAAAATGTAGATATATCACTTGCATCTTTTAATGTTTACACACAAAAAAATAATCAAAATCCGTGTACAAACTTTCTAAAACATTTAAACGGAACCCAGATTTTAAAACTTGGTGTTGGATTGTCAACTGATCTGCCTTCTTGTTCTATTTTAATAAGAATCAACAATATCTGTAAACCTATTTGTTTGCAAAGCATTAGAAGCAACTTTGTACTTGATCATATTCCAGGCAGGATAAGTTAACATTTTTTAATTGAGCAGTAACAATCTATTGGGTCAAGCACATACATTGCTGTGATTGTGTGAGATGTTTTCAATGTGTCTCTGGAGTAGGTTCGGTGTTCAGTGCCTCCCCTTCATGCAGCTAAATTCTCACTGGGGCCGTTAGAAGCCTTTGTAAAGTCAAATGTTCAAAAGTTAAAACGGTGTGTGAACGATTGCCAAATGTAACAGTTAAAATGTGGATTCCAATAAGCCAGTATGGTATTTCAATGACCCGAGGTTATTCGGGATAACATTGCTGACGTGATGTTACGCGATGTTACGTCACGCCCGTTCTGCTCGTAATTGACGTATCGCCGTTTGCCAGTTAGCCACGCCCCTTAGACAACCCTATGGAATTGTGTACATTAAGTTTTGTTTGTCTCAGATTTTGTGCGTTCCGCGTCCATTTGTATATCATGTAATTGGACAATATTTTACAAGCTACGTTGACGCGATTCTAATGCGATAGGTTAATCGACACGCGAGCGTCATGCGCCCGCGCACTCATGCGCCTTCGATCATTCGATTATCCTGAGTGACCCATATCGTTGTGCACATGCGCAGTTGAAATACCAAATTGGCTTATTGTTAGTCAAAGAACTGTGATCACGTTCCTTGCTTTGAATCATTTAACAGGCAAGTGATCCTGAGTGGTTGCGTGGCGTTTGCCAAGTACGTGGGCCCAGAGCGCGCCGAGGCCGAGCTCTTACCTCAGTGCTGGGAGCAGATCACCCACAAGTTCCCTGAGAGACGGCAACTAGTGGCCGAATCCTGTGGGGCCCTGGCTCCATACTTACCGGTGGGTGTTATACAGTCAGGCATGCAACTTTTCCTCGGATCCGCTGATTTCCTCGTTTTCTCATGAATGCCATTACAAATTGAAAAAACACTGTACAAAGTCTTGTGTGGTTTGGAGTTTCCTCGTTTTTCCTAAATTCCCAGTTGCGTGTCTGTATAGTATGTCCCAAAAAAAGTGTCCGTCAGACTGTTTTTAAAATAACTACAAAACCATGAGGTCAATTTTGAAAATTTTTGGTTGTGCAGATACTCCTAAGCCTTGGCCTCAACCCCTATGAGTTTCATTTAATTTCAGTCACACATCACTCCACAATTGTCGTTTGAGCACAACAACATTTTTTGACACTGTGACCAAGTTCCATGCCTTAATCAATTAAAAAATCCTGTAAAATCCTGCATGTTGAGAAAAGAAGGCTGATGTGGTTTGGGATTGGAATCATTTGCCCTTGAGCATTAGACTGATGTCTTACCATGATGAGTGATAGCCAGGCAAATGAATCAAATCCCAACTGCAGCCCTTTTCACAACATGAAGGATTTTGGATGTGCTGTATTCTCGTGAAATCTCGCAGATTTTTTTGGTCAACTAATGCGTATCGAGATAATTTTGCAGAGTATGAAATTAGACACAAAACTGCTCGGGCATAACTCAATTTAGGGTTCCCACCTACAGTAAGAGTGCAGTTTGAGAACAAAATTTGATGAACTATGATAAATGGTTGCTAAGTAGCTGACGTCCTATCCTTTGATTCTGCGTAAAAGGCCCATAGCAAAAGGAACGAGCTTGAGTAAATAAAGAAATTTTTTTCTGTGAACTTTCAGAATGAGATCCGCAGTTCCCTGGTGCTGTCCATGCTGCAGCAGCTTCTGCAAGACAAGACGGACTGCGTGAGAGAGGTCGCTGTGCGAAGTCTGGGTCTGGTCTTCTCTCTGACTGAAGACACAGATAAGTACAATCAAGTAAGTTAAAAGTTTTGAACAGTTTTCATGTATTTTGATCAGGAAACCACATGTTATATTACAATTAATAAAAGTTATGCAAAAAAAGCCCATAAAACCTGAGACACACTTAACGTTTCGTTCACTTATCCCAAACCTCTTGGCTCCCGTTTGTTTGTTCAGGGTCTAGAGCTAGTCCTGTCCACACTAGAAGATCCCTCGGAGAGCGTGCTTGGAGCAACCAGACAAGTATTCCTGCCGGCCTTCGCATCCTGGGCCTACAGGCTGGGGCGTCTGGAGTCCAACCTCATCACGGCCGTACTAAAGAGACTGGAACTAGCAGCTATTGTAAGCCGTTAACAGACTGTGAACTCCGTGCACAATGGCACACTCCATCTCAAGGGTGCGCGCGCAAACCGGTGCGCGCACACAGTGTGTCCTCTAGAGCTTTCACCATTTTTACAAAGCACCATCTGTACACGGAAACCGCACGTTCCCTTAAGAAGCGTTTATTTACAACAGATAAAAACTGCTGTTGACAGGCTTTTTGAAAGTCTCGATTCCTCTCTATCAAGACAGAAAAAAAAGTTCCTTGAGCCAATCACAAAAAAATCAACCCTTAAATAAAACAGTTCAAAAAATTTGAGTATTTGACACTTGCTGTCTCTTGTTTTGATTGGTACAGAGTCCAGGAGCTTTTACCAGGTTCGGGTCCAAAAGAAAATGTCTTTATTCCGGCAATCTTCATTCTATCTTTGCTAACTGTTAAATCTTGCTGAATTGTAAAAAAGGACTTAGTGAAACTCCTCATGTTTGAGTTGATTTTATACCGCATAATGTCAAGTATGGAATTCAAGAAACACAAAAGAGCATACGGTGAAATCTCGATAAGTCAAACTCTGATTACTAAAAGTAGCTGTTTAGTCAAACAAAGAATCCATTGCCTTCAGTAGTATAACAATGATATACAACCCTGCTTAACTCAAAACTCTGCTTAAGTCAAATTTTGAACCTGTTCCCTTGAGGTTTGACTTATCAAGATTTCACTGTATACACAACAGTATGGGGGATCAGTTAATGGGTTGAAGCTTGTACTGGGTCTAGTCTCCCCCCCCCCAAAAAAAAAACCCCAACATTTTGACATTACCCCCAAAAATAGTCAAGTCATTCTTGGATTGATTTTAGACAAGCTAACTTTGGTTTCATTCCAAAAAACTGCAACAGTTGATCTCTTGACGAAGTGTATACCTCGTTGTTTCAAAGCATCAAACTCTTCTTGTGCTTAATTTCAAATCTTCTTTATAATAAGCCAGTTCGGTATTCCAACTGCGCATGTGTACATCAAGATTTGCCGATTTTTCATTCGGGATAAAATTTCATCGTATGCGTGCAAAAGCATAGCGGGGTACCAGCAAAGTTTAAGAGATCATCGTGTTCTGAAGTATAACATTTTGCAAAAAACCTTTGGACAGTGAGGTGTCTTTAGGTGTCTTGTGTGTCAAAATTCCATCTCTTTTCGATTGCACGAATAATTGCACAGAATGCAGATTCGGTTACCACGTCCCCTATAGCCATGATAGCCTTGTGTGCATTTATCTGCCGTGGTTATCCCGAAAAAAAATCGTCGAATCTTGCTGTGCACCAGACTATTTTGGAATACAGAACTCGCTTATTGATCCAGCTTGATTTCGGATTTCCAGTCTAAGAACAAATGGTTTCCAGTTTTTTTTATTTTCAAATTCCCCCTCCTCTTTTCCTTATGTGGCAGGATCTTCAGCGAGCCAGTCGGGAGTCCTCGGTGGACGAGAGAAAGCTTCAACTCTTCAGCTCCACCCTGCAGTGTCTGATTCCCGCCCTCTTTGCCTCGGTTCTCTTGGGGGCGCCCTTCGACACGGAGGAGGAGCCTTCCGGCGAATATGAAGAAGTCCTGCAATTAGAAGGTACTCACAGGACCACAGAGCCACAGAGCCACAGTACCAACTTTTGTGTCTAGACTCACTGGCAGACCAAATAATTTGTGTGCATTACAAGGCAGAGTTAGAGACACATGTAAATCTTTTGTGCATTCACCTTAACTAAACTAAAATAACAAAGATACCTGTGAGATATAAGCAACACATTAGGTCTGTAGAAGAATTATTTTTTTGCAGCATGAAATAATAATAATTATAATAATAATGGAAATTTCTATAGCGCCGAATCCATTTTTAAAAAAAAGGCTCCCTGGCGCTTTACAATCAAACAATTTGATATAAATAAAAGGAATAAAACTAAACTCTAAAAAATGAAAGGAATATAAATTAAATAAAAAAAACCTCAAAAATGGATAACATAACACTATAGAATTAAACAACCTGAACCACATGTAGACACGCCGTCCCCGCAAGCTTAACCAAATCAAATAATTTATATAAATACAATAGCAAGATTACTTAAATTTTAAAAATGTGATTATTTAAAACTCTAAAAATGTTTAACTTAACACAATAGTAATTAAAGAGCCTGAACCACATGTAGACAGCCCTGGACAGCACAGAAAGCAACTTCCCCCCTCCCCGCTAGCTAGACCAAATCAAACAAATTATGTAAATAAAATAGGAATATTAATTAAATTAAAATTAAAAATGTGATTATTTAAAACTCTAAAAAATGGAAAACTAAACACTATAGTAATTCAAATTCAAAAGCCTGACCCACATGTACATGTAGACACCCCAGGACAGAACAGGAAAACAACGCCCCCTCCCTAGCCTGACCAAAATGCCACATCCAATCCCTCTGATGGTGAAATAAAGAATACGTGGTGTGTAAAAAGCAGCCTTTAAAACCAACGGCAATAAGAAAAACAATGTGAATCAGTCAATTGAGAAATCATTAAGTCAAAATAAAGTAAATTATAAACTAGGATGGATAGTTCTATAAGAATACACACAAATGTCACAGTAGAAACAGAAAAAAAACCAAGAAATCAAAGTAAAATCTACACATTTATGCAATTTTAAAAATACAAAGTTAGGGCAACAATATAATTTGCTCACTGTTGGATGGGTGAAATAAAATTCTATGAAATATTTTTCTAGGTTTAAAAAAAAAAATCCAAAAGAAAGAAATTTATGTACAGAACCAAACATAAAGTGGTTCATTGTGGTGTCATAATTACCGCTTGTTTTTTCTATTTTGTCCACTCTTTTCAAGTGACTCGGTTTCCCAAGCCCCTGTGCCCACTTCACGATATCGCCGTCATTGTCGGCGACAAGCAACAACTGAATGCCCTGGTGCAGCAGTTTGAAAGGTACCTCTGTCAGTCTGACTCGGTGGAAGACTGGACCGGCTACACGTGGGTCCTGAACGAATTGTAAGTCCACAGGCTAATCAATCATCAAGAGTCCAAGATCATGTATGATCAGAGTTGCGTTTGAGTTAGTTATACAGGGTGAACCCCCCCCCCCCCAAATGCAACCCTAAAACATTTGCCTTTAAAAAAAAAGGGGATCGGTGGATCTTTAAGTTTTGGGTATAAGACTAAAGCTGAGAGCTTTTTCTTTCAAATAGTGAAAAAAACCATGAAAATAGCACTTTGGGTTGCTGAGAAAAGTATTTCAAACAGTGAAACATTTTACTGTAAGCCTACTGTGCAATTATCCTTCATTTGTGCAATTTCTTTAGTATTTTGACATATTTGTGATGCTGAAAGGGTTTAAGATAGGACCAACAAGGATGAGATACCTGTTCAGGTGGAAAGTAAAAGGTATTTCCATCAAATTCATTTGTAATCTTGTCATATTATGTGCCGTGTTGTTCGTAAGGATTAGGACATGCCCAAATAGGTACAGTGAAAATCCCCTACTGTGGTTATTTTTTGTGTACAGGATGAAAAATGACTACTTTTACATGATTGGCATTTTCTCAGCAACCCAAAGTGCTATTTTCATGACTTTTTTTAGTATTTGAAAGAAAAAGCTCTCGGCTTTAATCTGATACCCAGAACATAAAAATGCACCAATCTCTTCTCTTTTTTTTAAGTTAAATGTTTTAGGGTTGCATTTTTTGGGGGTCACCGTGTAAGTCAGTCACAAATCAGTCAGTATTTTCTCACTCTCTCTCTCTCTGAGCATAATTTTTGTGTCTTATGGACAGCATTCCAAGGTTACTGGAGGTGTTGGGGCGTCTGGAGGCTGTGCACAGAGACAGCGTCAAGTCAATGGCCAAACTCTTCCTACACATCTGCAGAACGTTTGGCAAAACGTTCACAGACTCAAAGGTGAGATCTGTTCATCTGATTCTCCCTCCCCATGAATAATTTGCGATGGACCTGGGGTTTACCTGGACCCGAGCCACTTGACTCTAACCTTAAAGGGTTAGCTGTACTGGAGTTTGCCGAACAAAATTACATAGAAGCCACTTTTTGAGGTGGCACCACATTTGCGCTCATGCCGCATTTTGGTAACCCTAACGGTTTACGGAGCCTGGAGTGCATGGGTATTACCAGATACGTTGCTTATACATGTAAAAATTTAACAGAACGTCATTGTCAAAAAATAGTGTTATTCACCGAGGCACTTTGTCCTGGAATAGTTTAGATGATTCTCTTAAATCGTTACTTTCACTATCTGTCTTTGTCAAAAATTTAAAAACTCATTTTCTCGAATCATATTCATAAATTGAAATTCAATAATTTTGTGTATTAATATTTAGGCCTTGTCTCACGCTTGTCCTGTCTGTCTCACGTATTGTTTTGTTTGTCCCTTGGTCGTATGTTTGTCCATAGGTAAGGGCACAAAAGCGTTCTGCTTAACCTTATACCTAAATGTTGTCATTTAATTTCACACTTTATAATTAATCACTGTGTACATATCTATCAAATATTATACTAGTGACTTTTTCTAATGTATACGTTTGTACATAATTGTAATGAATGACATCATTGAAATAAATGTTACTACTACTAAAAGTGTGCCTGCAGGCACCCTGTTTTGAAACCACCTTCAACATTAATTGTCTTCCAAACGATACCACTGCAAGCAGAATAAATCCTCATGGTATTTGATACCAGTCCTATCTTCACTTTGAGCAAGGATTCTGTCATTAAATCAGTTGTTACTTTTGTGATTAATTGCAAATGATCCTATGTGGCTTTAACTTTTGTTGGACACAGGAGAGGTTTACCTTTTTCTAAATTCCGGGTCGGTTGGAAGGATCTGCCGGTGTAAGATTTAAAGGGAATATACATCATTGGCTTTTGCTGTAATTCTCAGAAATGAACTATTTGAGGGGTTACTAAAATAGATCAAACATTGTTACACTGACATGTTTGAAGTTTTGTGTTCGTAAATGATGGAAAAACCAAGAAACCCACAAATGGTGGAGAAATCTGGTTCCCTGACTCCACTAAAGATAAAATGGATCAATTTATAGATGCCGAAAAATTGTAAGGTAAGGGAACCAGTCTAGCTGGCCTGCACCCGTTCATTAACATGTTACCAATAGCAAACAAAATTTGGAGTGAAAAAATGGTGAATTCGGAGCAGTAGTCGAAAAATAGTAAGGTTTTTCCAACGGTGGTCGGCCGACCACCGTTGGAAATTTATACAAAAATACCATTTTCTTGAAAATGACTTCACACCAGGTGCCATAATTTTACAGGGTGCTTTAGACTGTCATTTACCAACATCCTAGTGAGGTATTTTGTTAAAACTTGGTAGTGATATTTTTTGATGTTTGCAGCAAAGCGCAACTAAAAACCTGCAATCGTATGTAATTTTGTCGTTTTTTTTTTTTCTCGGCAGATAAAACCCAAGTTCCAAGCAGTATTGAATGTGCCAGAGGACCAGTTAGGTAAGTTAGTAATCAAATATTATTTTATGAAAGTGCAAGCAGAAAAACAACAAGTGTCACTCAACTTTTTTGCAGACTTTAAAATTGTGTAATACGTGGTGAATTAATTTTCATTGAAATGATAATTTGGTATTATGACTTGTACAGAACCTAAAACTGAGGAATATCTGCCTAAATTGACATTACAGCAGCTGCGCCCCGAGCTGTCGGGAAAAACATGAGATATTGTAACAAAAATTTAAAAGTGCACTTAAACAAAATTAAACCAAAACGGCGTCTAATTATTTTTATGCAGTTCAAAAGAATGGATTATTTGCACAAAAGTTGTTTCAGTTTAAAAATTTGTGTCCACGTCAAAAGTTTCAAGTCTCCCCGATGAAAAAGAATTCTATCAAGCAAAGTGACTCTGTCTCCTGACTCCCCTATTTCCAGACTCGGAGACCCTACTTCAGATGCCAATCACACGGTCCACCCTCCCGGTCTTTGCCTCGGGGGTCTTGGGCAGCTACAACCGGGAAGAGGATCGCAAGCAGCTGTCTCAGTTCCTCCAGGAGTCGTTGGTCACGTTGGCTGTGAGCGGCGCTCCGCTGGACAGCATCAGGGTCACATTCTTGGAATTACAGTGAGTTAAAAAAGTTAAAATTTCTCTCTTACGTTGTCTTTAATGTGACATATGGACTACTTGTACAAGAACCTTTGCCCCTCCCCTCTAAGCGTCGTTGTTAACAGTTACCCAGTTGCAAGAGACGAGCAATTTGTTCTTTCAGGCAACAAATGTTTTTGAACAAATTGCCTAACAGACAAGTATTTTGTCCTTTAAAAATGCTAGTTCACCTTGCAATGCATGGCAGTCAGCAAATCTATCTGAATTTTCGTTCTAATTTGATGGGTTTTTTTTTTCAATTGTAAATCTAAGCCGCCTGTATTGTCAAAAAAGTGTTGATGGAATGTTCTTCAAACTAAGTATTATTGTTATTATTAATTATTTCTGGTAATGAAACCAAGGATTCCTCAAAAGCGCCCTAGGCACCGTAGCTCACAAGCCTGAAGAAACCTGTAGAGAGAAGACAATGAGAAGAAATTACAGTTTTAGAGGTGGGAGGAAAACCCAGAAGAATATTCCAGGCAAAACCCACAGAATCAGGAACTGAAAACCCAATCCACACGTGGACCAGGGCAGGAATCGAACCCAGGCCATAGCGGTGGAAGGCGAGGAAAGAACCACTGCACCAATCTAACACATTTTTGGTGTTTCTCTCCCCCCCCCCCTCCCCGCAGCACCCACCCAACGTATCATGAGTTACTCCTGGCCGCTCTTTGGAGCTGTGTCGTCCACAAAAAGCCCGCGGTCCGGTCCGCCACAGCCAAGCTGTTTGGTGCGCTAGTCAAGGGCATCAATGAGTCGCTGGTATCCGGCAGGGTGGTTCCCGCACTCATCACATTGTCAGGGGACGAGGATATGTAAGTATCCTGTAACTTTCTTATACTACTGCAGCTGGACACCGAGTAAGGAGGTGTTTTATTTAAACTATTAATCGTATCAATTTCATTAATGAAACTTAAGAGTTAGTCATTAATTAAAATTGCTGTCTTTTTCCTAATAGAAATGTCAAAATAGCCACCATTCCAGCTTTCGGAACCATCCTGGAAAGTACAACTCAAAAAGAGGTAAGAGAAACAGCTATTTCAATAGAAACAGGGTTTTTAATGCACTACAAATTAATGGGGATTTGAAATAAAGCAATTTTTTACTTTCAATCATTGCAGCAGTTCTTTTGTCCATTGTTTCTTAACTTTTTTTTCTTCTTAGATTTTATTAATTTCATGACAAATTGGTAATGGAGGAGAAGTCTGTATTTTAGATTCTGTAATATTGCACAGGAGTCGGACATTACCACTTGGCATTTTTAATTAATTACTGCAAGTGATTTTTTTAAAATTCAAACTCAAAGTCATGTTTTACCAACTCCAAGTCAAAGCACCAAGTTGTCCAATTCAAGATATCCCTTAATTCCTACCTTTAAAGTTTAACAAGCAAAGAAATCAAATTAATTAAAGGTACATAATTGTCAAAATTGATTGTCTGGTCAATCTAACTTAATATCGCAAGTTCAAAAAGTCAGTACAAGTTTCTGATTTGACTTTGCAGTTGTTTTCGAGAGTAAATATTTGAGTAATTTTTTTTTCCCCGTCAGACCCTGGACAGAGTGTACTCCCAGTTCCAAACCTTTCTGGATGATCCACTCTACAAAGAGGAGTACAGCTTGCTGGCCGAGGTCATACTCACTTTTGGCAAGGTTGGACCCAACGCAGAACCCAAATTCAGAGATGAGTGTAAGTCTTCTTGAACATACATTGCCTCAAATTTGTTATGTAATAAAACATTTTTAAAATGACACATGATGATGTCATCATGATGTCACGCGTTGGGACACGACTTTACTATAAGGTCTTTGTCTGTATTGAGTTTCATTGAGATATGACTTTGTGTCAAATGGAACGGGTAGAAAAAACATTTACGAGGTCTTTGGGATTTAGAATTGAAGAACAAAAAGAAGAAGACCAGAAACAAATCAGAACAAAAACAAAAGCTTTTCCACAAATCTGCGGAAAAGCTAAAAAAACAAGAAGGGAAAAAAAACCCAAGTGTGGTCAGTAGTGCCCTATTGAGCAGATACTGATAGAGTTTGTGACATAAAATCACATTTCCAGGTCTTGTATTACATTCTTTTTTTTTTCATTTTGCTGAAATTTTACAGTAATAGGGCTGTGCATTTACGAATAATCCAGTATTTGAATTTTCAAACCTGGACTTGATTGAATATTTGATTTCAAATAGGACCGATCCTGTTAAACATTTGAGTGCAACTTGTTCAAAAGTTAACAAAGAACATGTTAAAATAGCTTAAAGAACAGGAAGCGAAATGGCTGATATTTGACTGATTTTAACCAGTTTGTGCCGGGATTATTTTGACAAGAACGGAGTGTGGCATGGGATTACTTTTCTTTCGACCTCAAGCCAGGCGGGTTGAAGCCATCACCCTCGGCAGCACACTCATATTTCCGGCCTCGCTCGCTGCGAGCGGGTCGCTGACAGATATTTCCGGCCTCACTCCCTGCGTGTTTATCCATCATCAATTCTGAATACCGCAAAACCTTTGTGTGTATACACGTCATCTGGCGTGAACTGGTTAAAAAGATGGTTGAGCTATTATATGCCTCATGGAAGCTCTCAAATCATATACGAAAATGGCACTCAATGCAAGTGTGGCATTTGACAGACAATAAAACCACACAACTTATATGTTTCTTATCATTTCTTCGAGATTGCTCAAATCTTTTTAATATTTGAATTGAACTTATGCTATTCAGGCATTCGGTCGAAGATGGAATATTCAGTATATTCGGAACATCCCTTCACAGTAACAGCACCTATTTATTTTCACAGTAACAGCACTTATTTTTGCTTTCTTTCTCCACCACAGTTGTCCTTCCACGATTGGCCGCCATAGCCTACACCAATAACAACACAGCCAATGAGACACGGCGATCTGTGCTAGCCATGGCCCTGTTCAACGCCTACAGTGCGCTGTCGTGCTGCTGTATCCTTTTGCTAAATTGTAGAAATCACGCCTTCCAGAACTATCGCCAAACAATGATTGAATAAGATGTAGTCCTGAACTAAATACAGTCGACTCTCGTTATAACAAACTCGTTCAGACCTAGCCAAATTGTTTGTTATATCAGAATTTTGTATTAAGAGGAACATCCCATTCATTGTGCACATAAATGCACAGTCGGGACCAAGGCTTTATGTTTGTTATAACCAGAATTTTGTATTAACAGAGTTTGTACTAACGAGAGTTGACTGCATAGGTCAGTATCTGTTTAGTACTAGTACATTCCTTAATCCATGTAAGCTTTATGATAATAATTGGGTTGGTTACTTTTGGGATAAATGCAAATGATTGACCCTTAACCTTTGACCTCATAGTCATCTCCAATGACCTCATCTGGGAGTCCATGTTGCCGGGGTTACGTTGCCTACGCACGGATCTCGACATTGTTTCGCCAGAGCATGAAGTATATCTTCCCTTTGCAATTTTTATCTTAGAACACCTCATGCATATTTATTAGGCTGTCTGCGTTCTGATTGGTCATACAACATAAGCAAATACAATATCGGTTGAGAAGTAGTGTAAAATGGACTGTTTTCGCAATGTCTGATTTTGACCGCCTCTCGGCGTGAAGCAGAAATGGTACTAAAAATCTGCCAAACAACAGTGTGGGATCAATTATTTTGCCTTTTTGTCCTGAAAACTTTTTGTTTTCGTCGCCGTCTTCCATATTTAGCTTTGTTATTGTTAATCATTTCATGATTTGAAAGTTGAGACAATCTTGAAATTTTCCTACACAGTTAACAGTGAAATTTGTTAATCGTGAAGTTTTTTTTTAGTATGGTACCACTAACAACCTGAAATTTGATCGTCACTCTTGCATGTTTAGGAGTCTAGGAACTAATCGTGCATGGGAGGGGGACTATCACTGACTAGCTGGAAGTTATTAATCACGTTGAATGAGTTTATTTATATTGTTGGAATGTTTGTGTGTTTTACGTAGGCTGTGGTTGCATCTATGATCAAGGAGTTCGAAGCCAAACTAGGAGGAAAAGAAAGGTAGGGCCTTTGGTTTTTTTCTTCTCAGTGTCTGAACTTGTAGTCAGGAGGTTATGGGTTCGAGTCCAACTTGAGTGAGCTTGTGAATTTTTTTAATCACAGACTTTGAGAAGCGCTATGTTAAATTTCAGGAATTGGAAAATTTTACTTATCAATGTTTCTGTCTTTTTAATTTTTTTAGCCATATGTTCCTTGGTTTCCAACAATTAATTTGTTGAATGACTTTTTCCAGGTCTTCGTCGGTGACCAGCAATAGTGCAATGACCTCGGGCAGTTTCCACAGCCCCCTGCCGCACATGAGCGAAGACACCAAGCGGACGCTGCTCAACAAGATCGGCGCCCAGCGCACCAAAGTAGCCAACGTCTTTCACGCACGCAAGAAGTAACAAGTTGGTATTTTTCATATGCTAATTTATGCTAATAGTATGCTAATTGAGGCTAATAATTTTGGCACCAATAGTAGAATGTCATTGATCCTGGCCATCCTGGATCCTTCATAATCCACTAGGAGGGTTTTTGAAGGATTTTGTAGGATTGAGGAATTTAAAGCCATCTTCAGGTCGATGACCCAGACCAGTTTGGGACTGACTTTTCAGGATAAAGCTGCCCCTGAGCTACGACCGTCGGGAATATATCAGTCACCAATTTTTTACGTCCTGAATGTAACTACGTCGATATTAAGACAATCGGCATCAGTCGGCTCAAACAAAAAAATCAATAGTCGCAAGATGTGAAAATTGTCAACTTCTGCGCCGCGACGGAATGCAGCGGGTATACAAAAAATGGCCAAATGAACAGCCGTGGCCGTGGAAGATTGTTTGGTTGTTATCAACACGCGTACCACCATTTTGAGGAAGTCGCATGATCACGTCTATGCCGCGGAATCGTCGCGTCACGGGGTGAGAGTGTACATGTCATGTTTAAAATTGACCAGTTTTTATATAACTTCCCCGAACAGGATGCTGCTTAGTGCCGAAACATTGTTGTAGCCAAAAAAAATGTTTTTAGCCGAAATGCTGTAGAGGTAAAAATGCTTGTGACTTGTGGTCGTATTTGTCGGTGATTTTTTTTCTACCGGCAATGTTCATTTGCAGAGCAATATCCAAGTTATCATTCATTCCACGAAATTGCGCCCAGATCCTGTGAAATGAATCGTTTTTACTCCACAAAGGCCTCATAGATTCAGTTGCCGGTGGCTGTTCGGGAAAGCTCATTTATAGTTGGCTTTTTTTTGCCAATAAAAAAATTTAACATTGCCGATTTTTTTTTCAAGTCAGAAGGAAAGGCTTTCCAATGAAGCTTGGTTTCTTCGTAGATTGTTTCTATACATTTCAGTACTGAATCTAGAAAAGAAAATGATTTCTCAAATGAAAACTGTCCCGCACGGCAGCAATGCTAGTAATTTTGTTTCGCTTCGTAGTTCCACAATACATAGACATATCACTTGTAAATTACTCTTAGTCAGCTTATATGCCTGTTAATTGGCTAAAGGTATCAGTGCCTGCTAATAAAGAATCACGTTCACTGCGACAGTACTATTCGCTTTTGAAATTGAGTTGATGAAATTTGCTATCACCATATTTGCATATATGCAAATCGATTTTTAGTACCTATAATATCACAAAAAAAGTCTTTGGTTGCTTTTGAATCAGAGTGCGTGGAATCAGGCAAATTTAGTATTTAAAGGGACACTGCGTCCTGAATACGCCCAATTGGGCTTCAAAACGCGTTTTGAACAAAATGATGTTAATTGGAAAGAACGTTTAAAAGTAGGCTATAAACATCCACACAACTATACGTTAAAAACTGGGTGCTTTTGTAGTATTCTTGTATTATTCGTGTGAGACTTTCGGGGTCCACTTTTGCGACCCCAAAAAGTCGGGCTGTTCATGCTAGTTGTGATTCCAGCCGTAAGGGTTCGCCTTTTGCGGACGTGTAAGAAATCTCATTTTGTGCATTGGTGATTGGTCACCGCTGTTCGTGAGCACGGTGCTGTGTACGTGTGTAACACTAGACACACACAACGTGTATTGTACATTAAATGAAAACGACAGGAAACACGTATCAAACTCTGTCGTGTCCAATGTAAACAATCAGGGTTTTTTTTCGTCTTTTCTCGGGAATGGTAAGACATTAGGTCGGTTTCCTTTCAACCAGATGTTTGAAATAGGATAAGTAAACAATCCAAAACATGAAATTGGGGGGATTTCAGGACGCAGTGCCCCTTTAATATTCAATATTTTCAACTGAAAATTGTTTATAAAATTCTATTAAGTGTAATGACTTTAATATTCCATGTATGAAAATTAAAGATATATTCTTTGTAATTCACTTGTAACCGTATCAGCGTAATTTGTATACGTTTACAAAAATTTCATCTTATATTAAAAATTTAACAGTAATACTAAGTATTACAAATCAGTAACTATGTTAAAAATTAGTTGTCATATCAATGCTTCTGTCATTAGCAAAAAAGGATGTATATACATTTATTTAAATTTCCACGTTTTGTACGAATTGTTTTGCATTTGGTTTAGTGCATTTGCTATTAGGCCAATAAAAAGGCTCCGGTTTCTGGTCTGCGCACGTCGCCGTAGCCATGCTAAGATGATGTCTCAAACCGCCACACTCACTGGTTTGACTGGACTCCTGCTGCTGCACAATTTTAACATGTTTTTAGATGGGATACGATCGAGTATAAGCTTTATGTGGCTTCTCTGGGCTCCCATACATTTTGCACTAAATTTAGTCGGGTACCATTTGCAGTCATCAGCCGACATTTGAAGAAAAAAAAAAAAAAAAGCCGCATTGCCGCACCACTTTTTGGGCAAGCTCCATACCAGAAACCGAACACTTTTTTTTTTTGGCATTAAGATAAAAAAAAGTTTATTGTACATGTAAATGCAAAATAAGGTGAAGTAGTGGTACGGTTTTTGTATTGTTTTTATTTTTGTTATTTTTTTATTGAGATAAATTTCAGTTTGTCCCAACATAGTAATACGGAAAAGTTTCCGTTGGTGGCTCTGACTAATCAGATGACAAGGATTTATTCAAGTGTTTTATAAAACAAATAATGAATGTTTCACATTCGTGCAATGGAAAGAATAATTTCATTCGGTGACAGATGGAATGTTCCATCTGTCACCTCATAAAATTATTCTTACCATTGCACTCATACACATTTATTATTTGAATAACTTCTTAAAACAGTGTGCTATGTTTGTCATCTGGACACTATGAACCCAAAGTGCCTAAAAATCTTGGTTTTGGGTCAAAAATTTCTGGAATTCTCACAGCAGGTTGAACAATTTAAGGACTACCAATGAATTGGCATGTGTGTATTGTGGACATTTTCTCTCAGATAAATATGATTGAGACACTTGTGGGTTTGAGGTGGAAGTGGTAATTTTTGAAGTGTTGTTTAAAAAGAGCCAGATTTGTCTGTGTTTCTCGTGAATATATATTTGATTAACACTCCGAGTAGCACACTAAATATGCTGCCTTTGTGGGGCACATGTGGTCTAGCGGTAGAGCACAGGCCTCATGATCGTGAGATTGTGGGTTTGAGCCCCCACCGTGGCCACGCGTGTTGTGGCCTTGAGTAAGGCGCTTTACCTCAAGCATTGTTAAGTACTCCTCTCAACCCAGGTATTAAATGGGTACCGGCATTATTCAATGCTGGGAAGGTAACAGACTCGCTGTGGAGGAGGTGTGGCGATCCCCCCACAGCAGCATTTCATGGACTCGAGTCTGGCCCAATTGCTTTGAAAGTACTGGGCACTCCGTTCCTGTGAACACAGGTTCGTCCCCTTTGCCTTTGCTGGGAATTGAAAATTCAGTATTCAGTAGTCATTGGGATGATCCATGTCTCTTTGAATCAAGAAGAAAAACAGATATTTTGTAACAAGTGGAGTATTATTTCATGTGAACGGTGCTAAGTAAGTCTGCCGAAATAGTCACATTGTAGGCCTACAGTATGTTTCTATCACTCGTCAAGTTAAAGGCAGTTTTAAGCATGTCTTCTGTGATACATTTGAGGGTAGGAAATCTGGATATATCGTCATATGCAGTAACATACACTATCGGATGTGGCCGATATGAAAAAAAAAGGAACAGTCATCAGCGTGCTGTCACTCTGAACCCCAAAATATCCGAAATCTCTCTTTTTTAAGGGGGGGGGGACATCAAATTCTCTAAAATTCATACACATTTACAGAATTTCAGACTCCCAATTGTGCCAATTTCAGATATGCCCCCACAAAGATTATAGACATTTTTGGGGTTCATGGTTCATAATCAAAAAAATCAGTATTCATAAATCTGTTCAGCCTGCATAATATTTTCAGTTTGCTTTCCTCTCTTGTTCCACCCTGGGTCCAGGGGCCGATTTCGTGAAACTCATCTTATCTTGCTACTCATCTTAGGACTTCAGACGAGTCCTCACTCTAAGATTAATCTCCGCTAAGATGCATCCTAAGACCAATTTCACTAAACCCATCTTAAGCAAGACGCATCAAAACTAACAATTTGATGGCTGTTTCATGTTTGATGTTACCGCTTGACGAAACAGTCGTTGAAAAGAAATGCGCAAAACCAACTTCCCGCGCGCGTGCATAGAACACAAATTTTCATCAGAAAAATTACTCTACTCAATAAATTTCACTACACTAGATACGATAGAGTCATTCTTGCTCCCCGTTTCATCACTCTATTTTAAAAAAAAGTCGTCTACATGTTTGTGTTGGCGTATAATTAAATTTTGTAAAAAAGCTATTTTTATTAAAACTACCCACATATCAGAAATCTTTTCAAATCATTTCTTCCTCGAAACTGTAACTCTAGGCCGACACTCGTCTTTAATGGCAATAATTTCTAGCCGATAAACAAATTAACGCACAAATTAATGAGATAAGACGACCCTCAGACCGATCTTAAGTCAAGACGAGTTCAGCCGCGTTGCTAAGGAAGTTAGGACGTGTTGAACGCGTCTTGAGTTTGTGGAAATCGATCCTAGTCGCGAGTTAAGACGAGTAACCCTTCCTAATACGCGTCTTAGCGTTTCAAGAAATCCACCCCTGGTCATGTAGAAACAAGACTCTCAAATGTTAAATGCATTTTTTTTTTTTTTGCACCGGTGAGTAGTAAGTTTTGTAAACTTTTTTCTAGAATGGCTTTGTATATTAGCAGTCACGTGTAAATTGTGCTTATGTATATTTTCATGAAAACAAAATGAAACCTGAATGCTATTCCGCCCTTGTGCCGTGGAAGCAATGTATCTTTCACAGATAATGAAGATCAGTGTAATTATTCGTTTGTTTCTATATCATCGCACCTCTTAACAATTGACTTCAAATGGTTAGTTTTTTCAGTGTACAAGCAATGCATTCCTGCTGTTTAAGCACTATTAAGCTCGGCAAAAATAGTGTAATCTTTTATTTTGTACAAAATAGCATAGAGTTGTCCATTCCACATGTTTCCTAACGCTAACTTTGTTTCCAGTTTCATCTTCATCTCAGGCTTGAAATTACTTTTGAAAGTCTTTTTGTGTCTGATCCAAATGAAAAAATAAAGAATCCAAATGTTGGCCTGAAATTATAGGATTTGATGTTTCTGGGGCTGAACATGGCCAAAAAAGATCAAGTTGGATTCTCCAAATCAGGGGGCCGAGATCGACAAGCCAAACGAAGCAAGGTTTTGAAACTTTTGCAGAAATTAAAGGTTTATCAGTCTCTTTCATACAATCGAAATTTAAACAACAATCATTTAAAAGTACCTCAATTTCTGAACTGCCAATTGACATATTCCTTAAAACAAAAAACAAAGACCAAAAAATTAAAATGTAACAGAAATATTATAAAAATTTGTCTGTATCAAAGTATTACTATTTTTGTAACAGCATTGGTGTGGAAGTTTGTCAATGTAGTAATCTTAAATTGTTATATCTTGTGCTTGGATACTGTCATTTCATTGGTCTTATCTGGACAATAAAAATGCGTGTCACACACTGAGGGCGATATCGCACTGCGTGCATTGCGCGCGTTGCCCGCACGTGTGGAACCTGCCGGCGCTTTAGCTTTGCGCAATGAGAACTGCAACGTCAAACGCTCAGTCTCATGTCCGGCAGGACATCAAAACCTTCAGTTATCAAAGGTTACATCACAGTGATTGTCATTTATTTCTCACACAGTAAGTTACAACCATTTATCGTTTTGAGTTATTGGCAAGATATAACAAAACAATTGTTGACTGCTGTGATGTGGGATATGCCGTTTTTAACCCCCTTGCCCTTGGGGCGCATATTGCACCCTCGGCACCCCTCGGGTGTTAAAAATGTCATATCCCACATCGCAGCAGTCAACAATTGCTAAATGTCAAGAACCAAGTTTTATCATTCATAATTTGACTGAAATTTTCTCTTTTTTTCAGTGCACACAAAATTATGTTGGAAATTCTTGCAGATAATCGTCCTTGACGTCCTCAGTACTTCCTTAACTGTCTCAAGCAAGAATGGTCATATCTGGATTTTTCTCACTGCTGTAGTAAATTATAATTTGTCATAATTGTGTAGTTTCAAAAGAACGCATTGCATTTAAACCATGATTAATCACTCCGATTTCAAGTGCAATAAATATATAGTACAAGCTTCGTGAGGAAGCACAGTGATTAAAAGGAGGTATGTCACGAAAAAAGATTGTATATTACATTATTAGAATGTTGTCTTTGTTGTGCTGATAATTAGTCTTGTATAGAGCAACTGAAGTTTGGGTCAACACAGGTCAGCCCCGTGCCGTTCCATTAGCTCTGACGTCATTCTCGGGGCTGTCCCGGGTCAGCCACCACAGACACTGCTTGTAGAGCAGAGTCAGTGGTTGATATACATCACACGCATGTGTTGTTCATTCCAAGAAACAGTGTTGTAGTCAAGTACTTTTTTCCTACCGAGTACTGCCAAGTACTTAGGTTACCGAGTACGAGTACGAGTACTTGTACTTCCGAGTACGAGCGGCTCGAACGCAGTACTTCTATCTCTGAATATGGCCAAACTGAAAGCATCGATACATTTAAAGAGGCCGTGTTAAGTCAAGCCATACCAATTTTTTCGAGTACTGCTAGTCGAGTACGAGTACATGTACTTTGATGATCGAGTTTAATCTCAACATGTCGAGTACGAGTACTTTGCTGCCTGAGTACGAGTACCGTCATTTCAAGTACGAGTACTTTGACATTCGAGTACGATTACTCTGAAAAAGGTACTCGAGTACGAGTACCGAGTACAAGTACTACAACACTGCCGAGAAACGGACAGTGGAAATCTGAAGTGGATTTAAAAAAACTTTATTTGAAGTCTGAGGTTTTCATTTATTGAGTTCATTGTGACTTTTGAGGCTACAATTCCAGCCCAACTTTTTTTGAGTTTTGCAATCGACTGAAAAGCAGTATATCTCAAACTAATACCAATCCGAAACGGACGTTTTGTCAGTGTCTACAACCACGGCTACGGGCTTCACGTGAGAATCATGATAGCCCGCGGTTGAGCCTTTGATTAGCACGGCTGTCGTGGCTAACCCCATCTGCCTTTACCTGAGTTGATCCGGGTGAGCTGCTCGAACGCACTCATTTTGAGGTTTTGTTTGCCATTATTGAGGGTAGGGGTTGGGGATGGGGGGGGGGGGGGGTTGGAGGGGAGTGGGGTGCATGCCACACAGACATTTGAAAGCAACCAGAAAATATTAAATGAAAAATGCCCACCATACAATACTGACCTCCGTTTATCACACCAAAGTATCGTACGCACATAGCACACAGACTCACATTCTAAATACATTGTTTAGACCTTCACATACTGGCCATGTTTCAACAATAAATTATAATGACTAAACAGCCAATAAGTTATGTGCACAGAATGACGTGTCATTGCAAATATTTAAGAATGTTTTTCTGATAAATTCAATTGACTAAAATGTCTATTTAAACCCTGTTTCTCAGTCTAGAAATAGAAAACAAAATGCTAAATATGCTAGAACACTGTAGTAAATCCCAAATATTTTTAACAAGTTATATACACAACTATCTATCGGTTACATTACATGCAAAGTGGTCAATTGTACAGCATTTTGGCCACCAATAAAACATTACGACATTAACGATGTGTCCAAATTAGGCTTAGTAAAATTTATGAAACAGTTTCACATCCAGGCTTCCTGAAAACCAAAGGAGGGGGGTGTTTTTATTTTATTTTTATTTTCCAAGATGGCGGATTTTCCAAGATGGCGGATGGAATCTTCCATTTTCTGAACTCTTTTACTGATACAAACTTGTGTCCAAAGGAGCCATAACCCTATCTACTTAGTCACAGTTTTGCTGGAACGTGTAAAAGACAATGTGCAAAATATATTGCAAATGTGTGAGGTATAAAAACAGAAGATAAAAAAAAACCTGGCAGGGAAAAGGAAGTGGGCTGAGACAACTGGTTTATTTCTGTACTTGGCCTTTATACTTGGCCTTACTTGGCCATAGCCTATCTATGGGAACACCCACTTCCATAGGCACGTGTGTTATTGCCAGCCATAAGAAAGTGTTTTTGAAACGGCCGTTTGCACCACTGGCCGTAGTAATCCTGTGTTTCTGCACGCTCGGTTGAAAACTGGCTTTCGGGCAAAATGTGCAAATTGCACATTTAAGTTTGACTTTAATTAAACCTGAACTTGCATTAACTAGTTTGTGCTTATCATAATGCCTTCATCAGTTTACTGTTGTGAGTAGTCCACGTAAAGCAACATACATGTAGGTCTACATTTCGCTTGTAGAGCCTGTGTAGGGTTAGAGTTCCTGCAAGACTTAAGCTCTTGTGTTTCTGATCAGCAGAGTGTGGGTTTGAGTCTCGGTCTTGATACATGTGTCCTTAAGCAAGACACTTAACCATTATTGCTTCGTCCTTCGGATGGGACGTGGCTTATCACTAAGAGAAGGGGTTTGCCCTGGTGTTTCTGGCCTCCTGGTAATACTCCCAGTCCCCTGCGGAGTCCTTAGGAGAAGAGCCAACCAAGAACCAAGAACCCAATACTGTTTGAATAAATAAAATTAAAATTTGTATAAAATGCCCTTAGATGTTTAGTGACGTTTCAGCTGATGCACTTGTTCTGTGTTTAGGACTTGGGTTGAAGTATGGTGGAAGTTACGACAGAATCTCGCAGACACTTGCAAAACTTTACTGAAATTCAACTCGCTTCATATTCAGAAAAATGTTTCCAAGTTTTGCCATCAAATAATTCGATGTAATGTATTATTAAAGGCATATAGGATCATTTGCATTTTACGGAATTATTATCAAAATGGCTTACTTGGATTAAAGATCATACTGGTACTAATTATTCCATCTGGCTTGCTGTCATTTAGAAAAAATCAAGAATTGTAGGTGATTTCCAACAATTGGTCAATTGACTGATTTTTGGAAATAAAGAGTGCTATTGACGAAACCGTGTCTCGTGATCAAAAACTTGTGCATGGTTTTTCACTTTTTTCTTGAAAAGTGTAATATCCACCATGGGCGTCACCAGGATTTTTTCTAGAGGGGGGCAAAACATATTTTTCCCAAAGAATTCGTGTATTTCTCTCGATTTATCAGTTTACTCATTAAATTTACACCACTATGACTTCGCACCTCTTTTTCTTTTCTTTTTTCTCTTTTTTTTTTCTTCCTTTTGTTGTTGTTGTGGCTTTTCCAAGGGGGGGGGGGGCCCTTGGCCCCCCCCCTCGCAACGCCCATGATATCCACTGAGCTGAAACTTCAACAGGTAAGGTTTTGAACATTCTTCTTTGGATTGTGAGTGGTGTTATTATTGGAAACAAACAAACATGCATTAAAAGGAAATGATCCTATATGTCTTTAATGCCACATTTACTGGCCCAATATCATATACGTAAGCAGGCAGGTTTTAAAAATCAGCTCTTCATTAAAAATGTGACTTTGCTATCTCAACAGACAATAAGTCAATTCTATACATATTTAAAATTCAAAATTGCTGTCAATTCTCAGTGCGCAATCATGTGTCGATGGGCGTCCCTATTGGTTGATGTGGCTCGCAGATAGTCAGTGAGGCTATGTGGTTGTTTGGCATGACCTGTAAATATAGACAGAAAAAAATATCATTTTTTGTTTGGTTTGAAGTAACTATGTTGTACTATTAAAGGGAATAAATGTGTGGCTTGGCAGGTGTTACACACTCTGTTTAAGACCGGTTGGAGTCTGGATGCTGATAATTACCCCAGCCAAATCCAGACTCCAACCGGTCTTAAACAGAGTGTTTAATACTGACCAAGCACATATTTATTCCCATTCATAAATACCTTTTCGGTAAAAACAAAATCGAAACTTTCCGGTCCAAAAGTCAACACAAGTCAAAAATTATAAATTTTTAATGAGTTCCATCAACAAAACACCCCTCTGGCTATACAATGGTAAGGCCTCCGGTAAACAACTCCTTACATGGAGAATGACTCGGGCGTCGCGCATACGTCGTGATGTGGCACGCAACCGTATGTACCGGTGTAGTGTGAATTTAGGACTATGAAACTTTACTGACTCACTGGTAGTATTGTGCATGCCTTCGTGAGGATTGTGAACATTCAACCAATAAAACAGTGCTTGCATCGGAGTTTAATTTGGAAGGGTTTTACATATTGCTTTGAATATTGACTTCCCACAAGGAGGGTTAATGTCAATTAATTTGCGGTTGTAGTTGACGCATGTTATTACCTCGATGATGACGTTATGCACACCGTAGCAGAAGGTCGAGCCGAACGGATTGGTTGTATTCATAGATGAGGCTCGGTTCAGCACAACTGGCTTCTGGGATGGCCGAACCAAAAGCTTCTTCAAGGAATCCCACTGCATAACACAATATTTCACATTTGAATATTTTGAAATGCTAAAATTTGTATCAGTGTTGTAATTGAGACTTGTGTTTATTCAAAGAAAAGTGATGAAATTTGTGGTAAAGCACGAATGAAGCAAGACAAATTAGTCAACATGGATATAAATGTAGTACATAAATATGTTAACAAATCGCAGTTTGATTTTATTGCTATTTTCACCATGCAAACCTTCAAATGTTATTAGATAAATTAATCTGAATCAGACCTTGACAAATGTTGTGATGTTGACGACCGCACTATCGTCGCAAACCTCGGTCTCTAGACCAGCCTTCACGCACGGCAAGGAAATCTCAAAGTTGCATCTGTGATAACTGCAGACACGCAGAGAGAACAAATTTATAATTTGATTTGGAAAAAAAAATGGCTTTTGAGAGTAGGACAAAGTTGGTACGGTTCTTAAACCAGTTCGCGCCGGGATTACTTTTCACAAACCTCGATGGTAGACGGGTTGAGGCCGTCATATGCGGGAGGCACTGCCTAATATTTCCGGCCTTGCTCGCTGCGAGCGGGTCGCTGACAGATATTTCCGGCCTCGCTCGTTGCATGTTTATCCGTCATCCGTCCCGAATACCACAACACCTTTGCGTGTATACATGTCATCCGACGTGAACTCGTTAACTCCTAAACTTAGGGCTGGAATTTTGAATCCAAAACTGCTAGCGTTGTTGTGTCCTTGGGCAAGCCACTTTACCCCAACTTGACTCTCTCAACCTGGGACTATAAATGGGTACCGGCATTAGCTGGGGAGTAACCTTTGATTGACTGGCATCCCATCCAGGGGAATAGAATTACTCTCAGTAGCTTAATGTCAATAATTAACACCAGGCTGATCGGCTTATACGGTTTACAATAAAGGTTTCAACCAGAAATGTTTAAGCTACTCACATATTGAAGTTGTAATGCCCTGGATAGTTGCTGTGAAGTATGAACTTTTTGGCGCAGTGTGTGGCAGCGTCAAATAGGATATCCTGTCAACAAATATTTGTTGTATTTTATTTATATTAAATTATATTATTTTATTTGTTGTAAACCTACTTTACAACTCTTATAAAAGTTTACATCAACTCAAACACCAATATCAGTTCTTTATTTAATTTATTCTTTGATTTTAAACCGGTCCCGCTTATGCCTACCCACAATACACAACCCTACATTTGCTAACCAAAGTCAACGTTATTCAAATGTCTATCTAAAGATATTAAACATTCAATGATGTACATACCACTCCTATGGTGAAGTAGTTGAAGAAATAGTCGGAGGTTCTGGGTTGGTCTTTGTGGAATGTCTTCGAATGAATCCTCATCTACACGTCAAAAATACAAGAAATGATAATCATATAAATATTCCTTTATGAGTTACTATTGACTGAAAAATTAAACCAGAAGCTGTTTGTTTTACAATTATTTACTTCTGCGAGTGGTGTAAGTTGGGACGATGAAAGTCCAGCCTGGGGTTGTGGTGCGTGTGTCCTTGGGCAAGGCACTTTGTCACAAGTTACTTCTCCCCGCCCAGGAGTAAATGGGTACCTGTGAAGGCAGAGATGGTTATTGTGGTTTCTTTTGGCTTCTTTGCGCTGAAATAGCAGCATCGAGCTGTATACTCCCCAGGGAGCTGAGATGGTCCTTGGGCAAGACACTTTGTCACAACTTGCTTCTCCCCACCCAGGAGTAAATGGGTATCTGTGAGGGCAGAGATGGTTCCTGTGGTTTCTTTTGGCTTCTTTGCGCTGAAATAGCAGCATCGAGCTGTATACTCCCCAGGGAGCTGAGTTGGTCTTTGGAGTGTTTTATGAGCAGGGGTAAAGGGCGGTTTATGCCATGCAAATTTAATGTCATAAAACATTCGCATCGAAAGTTGCCAGAGTTGAAACGTGTTCAACTTTTGCAAATTTCGCAGTGAGAAAACTTGCCACGACGTCACAAATTCACATGTTTAGGTCGCGCCGAGTATGAACCAAACTTAATAATGACGTAGCGCCTGCTATAAATTAAAAACCTCTAAATTGGTCCACTTCATGAAATTACGACCATTGCAAATGATGCCATATGCCTGTAAATAAGATGTCCTCGTCATTTGTGCACCGAACCTTGTCCTCGGACTTGTAGAAGACTTTGCTGGGACACCCTAGGGCGCTTATCACGTCTTGGGCGGAGTCTCCGAACTGCAGCGCCTTGCTGATTGGACGATGCTTAGACTCTGGCGACTTACCACCTCCTGGTCCTGTGAAAAAATTAAAAACCTTGATAATAACTGTAAAATTTTATTTCGCAACTTCACAAATTAAGACACAAGTTGCAACATTAAAATTGATGAAGCTAATTTTCTCTTTGTTTATTTCCCTAATTTCTTGTTACCTTAGCCGTTAAGCGTGAGTGGCATCTAGCATAGTGCATATTCACGGAGAGCAGAAATTCAAAGCAGTATATTGTGTAGTTGAAAACATTTTCACATTGGTGGGAAACCGTGTGTTATGTTAATTTATGCAAATTTTGCAAGTTTTGCAGCGTGATGTCATTGCCTGCTCTAAGTAGGTCTGATTCAATCCAAGGCCAGAATGGTAAATATCTGGGTCTAAAATGTTTCTCACCGTCGGTCAGAAGAGAAAATTTCAATCCAACCGGTAGTCCGTCTTCACTGATTCCCTCCACTGCCTCGCAGAAGACATTGCCACCGAAGGAGCTCATGGGAATGGCTGGCCGCCTATTAAACAAAACATCATGTTGAAATCAAGAAGTTTTAAAATTTCCAATTTTCATTTCTAGAGTGTACATAAAGTTGTAACTTTTTATATTACATGTTTACCACACAAAACAATGTGTAATTGGACTGTATCAGATTCACTTTAAAATCAGATTTCGCTTGGTTTAAGGCTGGCGCAGTGGTTCTTTCCTCGCCTTCCACCTCTATGGCCCGGGTTTGATTCCTGCCTCAGCCACATGTGGATTGGGTTTTCAGTCCCTACCTGATTCCGTGGGTTTCCCCCAGAATATTCTTCTGGGGTTTTCCTCCCACCTCTAAAACTGTAATTTCTTCTCATTGTCTTCTCTCTACAGGTTTCTTCAGGCTTGCGAGCTACAGTGCCTAGGGCGCTTTTGAGGAATCCTTGGTGTCATTACCAGAAATACTTATTTCCATTGTGAGCATGACAAAGTAACTGAGCAAGGGTAAATAAGGTACGGCTGATTCAATTAAAAAAACAAACAGCAGCATCGCAGAATATTTGAAACTCACTTTGATTCAGCAAGACTGCTACCGCTGTAGATATAGATCCGACTGACCAACACTGAGTTCTTGCTGGGCAAAGGGATGGATCCCAAACCGTGAACACTTGGCTGTTGAGAGCAGAATCAGATATTTAGAAAGAAAATATTGTTCAGAATTTACTCTAACAAAGACATTTTCTCCTGTCTTTGTTTTTTTCTGGCCAATCATACAGAATTTTTTTTTTGTAACAATATTTGTGAGGTTAGCGGTAGCACCATGTAGGCAAATCTCTTGAGTGACTTTGCATGGTTCTATAAGGAACCGGTTTGGTTACTCCATGTTTTGAAAAGGACACTGTCTTCATGTGTCCAGAACAGAGCAGACTTGTCAAAACACTGAGTAATTAACCGGTTCTTTTCAGAAACACACACAGTCACAACAAAGATTTGACTATATGCAGGTACCGCAAAGCTTACATCTATTGACTTGCCACCACTTAAAATTGTTATCATTTTCCTCAAATAAGCGGGCAGAAAGTGCATAATGAACTCAATGATCTAGACCATGTAAGCATTTTGCTCAAATCCTTTGAAAAGTTAGAGCCGCATAATCTGTGTTCTTCATCAATTTCAATTTTACTTTCCTCTTAATTAATTTCAACTTCTATCTTTTATTTACCCTCCCCCCCAAAAAACCCGTTTTTGTTTTCTTTTGGGTGCCTGGTACCCTCTGAACAATAAGGTGTTCATTTTGGGTACAGTCAGATCTGCGTAACAAGCAGACTAGTTCCCGGTCTGCAGGGCCCAATTTCATAGAGCTGCTTAAGCAGAAAATTAGCTTAAGCACGAAAAAAAATTGCTTAGTAAAATTAGGTTACCGGCCAAAACTCCATGTGATGTACATTGCTTGTGACTGGTATTTAGCTGTTGTTTACTTAGCATAACAATCGCATGGAGTTTTGGCCGGTAACCTGATTTTATTAAGCAAGACGTTTTTGTGCTTAAGCAAATTTTGTGCTTAAGCAGCTCTATGAAATTGGCCCCTGTACAGTATCGATACTGATTGTGAGGCAGGAACCAGCCCATTCCACAAGAACGTAATTATTGTCAGTCTGCAAGTACTTTGAGATTTGTTAAGTAATATCTCAATAACTGAATGTCATTGTGGGTCAATTTTTTTTGGTCGATGTCTCATTCATAAGTGAATAACTTCTGTATTGCTAGAAAAATAACAATTTCTAAAAGGAATCTCTTTTGCGGGATGAAACTTGAAAATGGCTTGGGAAATGCATCTTTTAAGCTAATTACAGCACACACAGATACACAAAACAACTTTCATCCTCCGTACTTCAAACTTGGCATCCTCTCCGATCGGGAAGAGAAACGACAATCCGCGGAAGTTAATGGAGAAAAGTTGTTGCTGGGCGTCGTAGACTGCGGGCTTGGTGGCCCCAAAGGAACTGTCAACTTGCTCAATGGTTGGCTGGACGTAAGGTGAGCTGAAATGCTTCCCACTGAAAAAGGAAAATAAAAGAGAGACCTTAGAATTTACTACTTAAAGGCACATAGGATCATTTGCATTTTTCCCAAAAGTAACCTACCAAATTATTATTAACAAGCTTACTTGGATTAAAGAACGCACCGGTTCTAAACACCCTGTGAAATTATTCCGTCTGGCTTGCTGTCATTTAGAAGAAATCCAGAAATGTAGGTGATTTCCAACGATCAGTCAATTGATTGAGTTTAGGAGTAAAGAGTGCTATGGACGAAATTACGTTTCATGGTCAAAAGGTTGTGCATGGTTTTCACCGTTTTCTCAAAAAGTGTAATATCCCCTGAGATAAGACTTCAGCCAGTTAGGTTTTAAATTTTTTTCTTTGGATTTTGAGTGGTGTTACTTTAAGTAAATGATCCAATATGCTTTTAAAGGTAGAGTCCGTCATTTGCAGCTATCCAAAAAGTAACTGTTGTTACAATAAGAAATTGCTAACTTGGTTTTAAAATGGTAATGGTACTAAACTACCTGTGAAATTATTCTCTCTGGCAAGCTGTTATTTTAAAGAAAACAATGTTAAAAGGCCTTTCCCAACAATGGGTCTAAAGACACATTTTTGGAAATTTCTGTTTATACTTAGTTTGTAAGTAAGCGCAAGCGTTGACATGACGCACATGCGTGTGCAGTTGCTATAATTTGTCGGTTCAGTGCGTGACATCGCTTAGTGGCAATCAGCTGAATGAGAATGGGTTTTTTTCTCTTTTCCTGTTGTTAAGTGTTTGGTTTCAAATTTTGGACCAGCCTCTATTTTAAAGGTTTATATTTTTAGGACACTACACTTTATACTCACCAATATTTCAATTTAACTTTGCTCAGGTTGTATACTTCAATGACCTGTGGAAGACAAAAATCAAGTCGTGCACATTTTGTAAATGTTACTTTGCCAGTGGTTGTCTTGGATTTCTGCGGCAAACTAGCATTTACTAAGAGAAAGCCAATTGCGACATAATTTTGATATCAGCCAATCAAGGCCAGCTTCCATGAAAATAACATCTACTAAAAGAAAACCGGCGCTGGCCAAATATCCACTGCCTATAATTTAAGGTCTGCTTTATAGTCGTGTTCCCTAATGCGGCGCACTTCGAAGCTTACCCAACTTTCCTCGTGTAGTGTTGCCAAACCTCTTTTTTGACAAACATCAAATTCATGCAGTAAAATAATGGTACTTTTACCTTATTAATGCTTGCTATTTAACCTCCGTGAACAATTTCAGTTTCATAAAATTTAAGCCGAAATTAAAAAACGGTGGCGTCCGGAAATTGGGCACAAATTGGCGGAGTGTTCCCTAACGTGGCGCACTTAAATAAATCTCGGAAAATTCCAAATTAACATTTAAGAATTTCTGTAAACTTGATCAATTCTGATAAATCATTATTATTTCTACTTACATACCCAGCCAGATGTTTGTCAGAAAATTATTTTCTTATTTTTCGGGGCATTTTCAAAGGTTTCACTTTGCACTTGAAAATAAAATCGGAAAATCACGCCAAAATAAATTTTTCTTTTAACTTTGTAGCGGGTAAATAAACTCGCAATTTATGAACGGGAGTGTTTAGAACTTGATGAAATTTCACTTTCTGTGAAATTTCAGTTAAAACTGTTGCTCTAGCTGGGCGCTACAGGCGAAAAATCAAAGTGCGCCACGTTAGGGGCCGCGCCACGTTAGGGTACATCAACAATACTTACCCGAAGGCGCTGCACGTGCGAATCGAAAATGAGACGGATGCCGTCTTGGATGAGATTCAGCACCAGATCGATGGCCAATGGGACCGACTCGCAGTAGATGACCTGCACTTCCTTGATGATGCGACACTGACGACGTAGGATGTTGACAGCTTGCGAGAATGGCATTCCTGAAGAGGGGCAGATAATAAGAAGGAAGAAAGTAAAGTTATATAAAAGTGCTCTGATTGAACGGGTCATGATAAATGTGATACTGATTCACAATGGTTATGATGGTGTTTTTGCAATGCCCTAAGTTGCGGCGTAACCAAATAGCATTGCGGCTGAATCCCGTAAAATAGCCACTACAAATTTGAAAACATGTATTAATGAGTGACCATCAAAGAGGCTACGGTGAAAGAGAGTGATCATATAAGGTCTAAGGCATTTTTGAGAGTCGCGAATGACAATGTTGCACCGTGTGGTTTCGAATATTTTTTTCCTTCACTACAGCCGTATAAACTCTTCCATCGAATGTGTGTTCAATCAAAATAATTTGTAGCGTCTCTAATATTTGAAAATTCGCCAATGAATGACCGTATGCTTTTGCCTAGTTCCGGATCGCGCGTGCACTTACGACCCAACTACACACGCGTTAATCGATTTTGTGTGACGTATTCTGTGCCGTGTGCAAGGTTTTCGGTCCGTGCGTGAGTTCGTGCCGTTGCGCTGCAGACAAAAGTTTCAAAATTATTTACATTAATTCTCTTTTGAAAATTTGCTGGAATTCTCTTGAATGAACTTTTTTGGAAAATTAAATAACGCAGTGGCTATCGTTACGGCAGCCGTAACGCATTTCCCATTTTCTATCGTTACGGTAGTACTGCAACTTTTATAAAAACATGAGAAGAAAATATAAAATTAGAAGAAAAAAAGTGAATTTGAACGTTATGAAATTCGGACTTTATTTCCCTTTTAAAAAAAATCCTCCAAAGCCTCAGGTTAGAAAAGGAAAAAAGTTCGTGTGCAAAACTGAGATGCGAACCCGCAACCTCGCGGTGCAAAATCCTACCCATATATATACCTGCGTGCGTATCAAAAAAGTATCGTAGAGGGCGCTAAACAACGGCTGCCGTAACGATAGCCACTTCGATTAAATAATACTTTTTCAGAAAATGTGCTTGATTTGGGGTGGTTCTGGCTGAAAAATTGATTTTCTCGCGTGATTTTTTTTCCGCAAGAATCAGTTTTTGATCGATCCGGAACTAGGAAAAGCGGCATCGGTACTTTTGACGTCGTAAAGTCACAATAAAAAGAGCTTAAATTTGGGAAATTATTTTGTAGTCTCTCCATCACTCAGCTCAAGGTAAACTTTTAAACCAGTGTCACTTGAATTCGTGAAGTAGTTGAGCCGAAAGCAGCCTGAATGATGTTTGCTATCCGGAACTAGGAAAACGACTGTACTTGAGTCAAGTACAGTCGTTTTCCTTGTTGGATTGTTGACTTACCGAGCACGAATTCCCAGTTGTCACTTCCGAGCGATCGGCCCGGCACAACCTCCAAATCCAACATTTTTCACCTAAACCATATGAGGATATGTAACAAGATCAACACATCAACAATGGTGGCAAATCATACACCGCGATCGTTTCGAAAAAGACAAAAAAATATTGAAGTACGCAGCCAACAACTTCTGTTTGTGTTTACGTTTTGCAATGATGAGCCAGCTGTATTATGAGCATGCGCAGTCTACATTTCCAAGAATAATAACATCAACTGCACGTTCTAAATAAAAAATACCTGATGTAAATAAAAAATATTAACTACACGTTCGAAAATAAAACGAGAAAATTACGAGATCAAAGCGCTAGCGATAGAGGGCGCCAAACAGAATTCAGAATCATAACTCGGCGCAGTGGAACCGTCATCCAGCGTTGAAGATGTCTTGATATTTGACCATTTTTTCCAGAACAAGAGACTTTCAAAGCCTTGTGCTTAATATCACGTATTAAGTAAAGCATTTCCATTGCAGACATGGAGCAAAGGCCGGAAACACCACCCGTACGGGAGCGAATTCCCCGTTCGAAATCTCTCATCATGCCGACGATCGCCAACCCGTTTGTGCACAGACTCAAATTGAGTGGCTGGGATAAAATCAGGGTGAGTGCGTCTTAATTGCCATTTGCAATTTCATGCGGTTTATCTATTGTATGGGTCTACATATTTACATAGGCCTACATAGTGTTTATTTAAGCTTTATAGATTGCCGACTAGCAAGACAAGATTAATCCGTGGTGTTTTTTTACATCACACAATTAAACAATTAGACTAGTATTGACAAAATTGACATGCAAACATTGACTGACACACCAGCAGTTCTTATTTAACTTGTTTTAAACCTGTTTTAATTTTTTTTTGGGGGGGGGGGAGGGCTGGGGGCGGGGCTGGGGGGGGGGTAGAAATGCACTATCCTGATGCCATCTTTTTTGGAGTGATTGACCACAGTAAAACATCAATTTGACAAAATTCTACAGTTCATGTTTGCAATCGTCATGATCGTTGCTGGTTTTTGCATAGACCCGTGAACGTGGCGTTGTATACAACGCCACGTTCTTGTTTCATTTCGAACCTGGCGAAATCGATCCGACATACATAATTCCGTATGGGTGTTGAGTACTCACCTAGAAATCTAAATTTGCCCGTCCGATTGTTTCGGCCGTGTAATTTCGACGAAATTTGCCCATCAGTAAAGACCCATACGAACGTGTAGAAATTAGATTTTAACCTGACCCTGACAAATAACCCCGGACGCGTCTGAGTCGCTTGGACAGATTGACGGCTGTTTCATGTCGCAACCCCGAAAAAAAAAACCCCGCAGACGATTGGCTGCTCGGCTCATCTCGTGTACAGCAGTACGTGTGTGCACACACACGCGGGCGCACGTGCGACCGCGTGCGGTGCGGTGAGAGAGGAAAGGACTTGAAACTTGTCGAAAAACGATGTCTGTTTTAGCTGCGACAGTAAACAGCCGTCGAATCATACGAAAATAAAACGCAATGCGCATGCGTCAGTTGGGAGAAAATGGCAGCTAGCAGTAGCAGTAGCGGACGGACTTCATGAACCGGGGCCAGAATTTTCCTCAATTTTCGTCAAATGCAAGTTTTGACGTACAAATAGAATTCAAGACAGCTTCATATGTGAGTACTTATTACATAGGCAAAATAACGTCCAGTGTGTGTAACGGAGGGAGTCAGAGGGACACGTTCGCCAGGTTCGAAATGACATAAGAACGTGGCGTAGTTTACAACAAGCCACGTTCACGGGTCTAGTTTTTGCAATGCAAGTGTGATTAGGAATGCAAAGTCTAGAAAGTAGAATTCAATCTTTTGACAAGACAGTTTTAGCGTGGAATTACACAAGGAATCGTGACAGAAATTATTATAAAACTTACGGGATTTGTTCTGCTGGATGTCTAGCTCGGCTGAGTGTTCCTGCTATCGGGACAGATTATGGTGCAGTCTATCGGCGGCTGGTGTGGCCTTGAATTTAGCCATGATTTAGCCAAAAGGATGAGATCGAATCGATCGTCGTACCAAAAATACTGCTTTTTTTTTTAAACCTTCTGTTTTTTAAGGTTTCTGAAGTCGGTATCGGTCAAGCATACCCTCAGTCTACCATCAAATTTCAGGTCCTCTCTCTATGCAAAATTTAAAAAATAGTTCTGGCTGATAACCTAATTTCATGTATGCTTAACAAATTTCTGTTTTCAGCACGATGAAATTTCCCCTGTTCTTTTTCTTATACTATCTTCAGATTGCCGTTATGTCAGTGACAATAGTGCCCATTCGTGCCATTTTTGCCATACTCTTTCTGTTCGTCGATTGGTTGTTCTGCAGCGTGATCGTGATGGGCCACAAAAAAAACGCTGCTGAACAACAGAAGCCTTTCACAGGTTGGAGAAGGTGAGTTCAAAAAGACACAATTCAAGATCAACATTTTTGGATGATGGGAGGGGGGTTTGAGATAATAAAAAAAAAACATTTGAAGAACAAAATTATTAGTGTGTATTGAAAGTGCCCAATTTATGAAAACGTGATAAAGAAAAATAGGCTGGCACACAAAATGGAAAGATTTCCATATACGAAGTTCACTCAACAACCTGTGTACAAACCCTATGAGATTGGACTGAAACAGTCTAAGTGTTTTCTAAGAAAATGCTTGTATTTTCTCACTGCTCAAGTTGACTTTGATGACATGAAATTGCTGTCTGGGGGCTTGTTAGTCAATACAGAGGAAAATTAGTGAACTTCGCATATGGTAATCTTGCCCACAAAACAACCATCCAACAATTCTGTAGTGCCGCATTGAGTAGATACAGGGTGAGTAAAAAAAAGCGGAACCCAAACCCACAAAATTATATTTCATGTAGCACCAAACATAATAATGACTGGAAAGCCAATTTCATAAGCTACTTTTAGATGAAAAAGTTGCTGAAATTGGTCAATCCGTTCAAAGAATATCACTAGTAAAACGCAATGACCCTAAAACCTGTTTAGTAAAAAAAAAAAAACCGCCCAAAAACTGTTAAGTGTGTATTCTGACTGTTTGGAGCAACAAAGAAAATGACACAGAATACTTGTTTTAACAACTGTCAACAACTGTAGTACACAATATCTTTATCAATGTTGTGCCCATTCTTGAAAATCACGCAATCTTAAGAATGTGCGCGCACTCTTAAGAATGAGCGCCCATTCTTAAGAATGAGCACGCGTTCTTAAGAACGAGCGCTCATTCTTAAGATTGGGTGGGAATATCACGTGCACAATTTATAAATTTTGCCCAATCTTAACAAACATTGCACGACATAATTATGTTACATGAAAAGTATAGCGGTTAAAAGGGAAACAATTTATATAAAGAGGAAAGAAAATGTTCTATGCTTCTGTACTCGTATAACTACGATAATTTGAATCAAATTAAACCTGTTATTATTGCTTTTTTCTGCCCACTATGGGAAGTTTTGTAATAACGGAGGACTGGGAACTAGTCTGGGAAGTGCTTTGTTTAGGCTAGACAAGTTACAAGTCCCTGTATGTATCATATGCATGCTACGAAAAAAAAACGATGTCCAGAAGCTGCCAAAATTGCTCTTTTGACTAGATAGAATCCAGCTCTGCGACGTAATGGTGGGGTGTGAACAATAAATTGGTGGCAATTAAAATGGGAAATAGCATTAGCACTATGGGATGTCGCAGTATTCATTCTCATTCTTCACATTCTTCATTCTTACGTTCCCCCCCCCCCCCCCCCCCCCCCCGCTTTTATTATCCCAAAAATCAGAATTCTTTCCATTATGTCTCTTATTTTTTCCCGGTCCCCCCCCCCCCCATATCAATATGCCTATAGATACTTATCATATCCACTCTACTTTTCAGCGCCTTGCGTTGCAACAGTATAATTATTGAGAATCAGTGAACGAGGATGCAGCTAGACTTGCCAAGCGCAGCCGGTGCTCGGCATCGACAAGACCGTTATCTTGTCGCGCATTCTTAAGAATGTGCGCTCAATCTGGAAGAGTTATTTTTTGCGAAGATTGCGCAAGGATCCAGTTGCACATTCTTAAGAATGTGCATCCACATTCTTAAGAATGCGTGATTTTCAAGAATGGGCACAACATCAACAACCCTGGTTAGGCAAAGAATATGATTTATAAAATCCACTTTTTTTTTTAAAGACTGGCCTTCAAAAGGACTTTGTTTAATATTTTTTACTTTTAAACTGAGGTTTTATTGTTGGTGATGTTTGAAGACGATTGTGACAACGATTCTTAAAATCACATTTTGTTTTGGACAAAAGATGTTTTAGGTTTTTTGCGTTAAAATGGCGATATTGTTTGAACGAATTAAGCAATTTCAGTAATTTTTTCATCTTAAAGTAGTTTATGATATTGGCTTTCCAGTCATTATTATTTCGGTGCTACATATTTTTTAAAAATATGAAATATAATTTTTGGGGTTTGGGTTCCACTTTTTTGACTCGCTCTGTATGCCAAAAGAATCGTATGGTACCTAGAACACTCTTTGTTTATGTTCTCTCAACAGTATCTAACCAAACTACTAAATGGTCATTCTTTTTTAAGCAGTTGGTCAGACACCAGACTAGTCTTGAGCTTCAAATTTAAATCAGCTTGCTGGGGGAGGGGGAGTGGGGGTTATATTTTTTTTTCTGCAAATGGACTCGCATTCAAGGGAATACTATGTGATGGCCAAATATGGGAGGTAACAATTTGTTAGGCTGCTTTTTTATGAAATTGTTTTTCAATAATACATTAACATGTATTGCTTTGTACAGGTACATTGTTCAGTACAACTAAGCAAGTAATATGTAATTTCTTTGTATCACAAATCTTGAAGCTCATTTTCTGTATGTACATGTATGTATGCACATGTACAGTACAACTACTGCATCAATAGTGTTGCTACACGTTTGTAATTTGGAGTTGCCTGAAATTGACAACTGTAGATTTCTTTCAATCAAAATGTACATGTATCTAAAGCCAGTTCCAAATAATTATTTGCCTTAAGGCTGGTTCATACTTCATGTGAATGTGAATGCAATGCAAATTTGACGTCACAAAGCATTTGCTGCGAAATTTGCCGGAGTTGAAATGTGTTCAACTTTTGTAAATTCGCAGCTCGAAAACTTGCCCTGACGTCACAAATTCACGTTCGTGTTCACACTGAGTGTGAACCGGCCGTTAACCCTAACCCACCTCACTCCTCCAAAATCCTCCTGGCGGTTTTGGAGGATTCTAGAGGATTGAGGATGAATGGTGATTGAATCAAATGAGGATTCTGGAGGATTGAGGATGAATGGTGATTGAAGCACATGAGGATTTTGGAGGATTGAGGATGAATGGTGATTGAAGCACAAGAGGATTTTGGAGGATTGAGGATGAATGCATTTTGAGGCAGGACTGTCTGATGATTTTGAAGGATTTGGCGTTGGTTATCCTTCATTTAAACACGAGTGCAAAGTTTTGGTATGAGGAGGATTTTGGAGGATTGAGGATGAATGCATTTTGAGGCAGGACTGTCTGACAATTTGAAAAATTTAGGCAAAGTTGCAAAATTTTGGAAAATTTTGGAGGATTTTGGAGGATTGAGGATGGTTGTAAGCAACAAGGGCCTAGGGGGTTAGGGTTAAGGTAGTGTGGCTTTTACATGTACTTCATGTTTTTCAAATTGCTACATACTATGAACAGAGCACAAAAAATAGAAAAGTTACAAAAACCCAATTTCTTACAAGACCATGTACGGCCAGATCCCAGTTACATATGTGCCAAATTCGCCTGTCGCACCACACACTCCACAAAGTGACATATCAGTTGCTCAAAGACTGTAGACGATTCGTCCCTTTTTGTTGCACCCGACGAATTGCAAATAGGTTATTAAATTTAATGCACACATGTACCGTACCAGACTGATGACATCATACTCTCACCTTAGCTATAAAAATGCGTAGATTATGTGTGTTTCCTGCCTGTCTGTGTTTGCATAAATTATAATTGAAAATTTCCGTTCACCTCAGAATGACTTCCTTCCACGGACCTCAGCTCATGCTCTTTCCTATGCCTCCAAGCACGAGTCACAGTTGGGCCACGCCTGACACACTTGCACAGGGCTACTCATTTTAAATTTCAGAAATGTTGTTGCCATTTTAAAAATTGTAAATAAATTCCAGTTCAACCAAAAACTGTGCAAGAGTTTTCGCAGATTAATAATTCACAAATTTACTCTGCTAGGCCTATACCCAGAAAAAAGAAACTTAAAAAATATTAAATAATGAAAGGTTTGCGGAAACACCATGTGCGAATAATTTCTCAACTAAGAGAATGGTTCTGAAAAGAACCAGAGGTATAAAGAGGTATAAAGAGTTTATACCTCTGGTTCTTTTCAGAACCATTCTCTTAGTTGAGAAATTATTCGCACATGGTGTTTCCGCAAACCTTTCATTATTTAGTATCTCCACCATGCAAAGCCTCAAATCTTACTTAAAAAATATTCAAAAAAATAATGCGAGTTGATTTCATTTTAACGAACAAGGTTTAAATAATTTGTTTACCCTCAGCATTTCAAAATTACTTTTAAATGTATTTTCAGGCTTCATTAATTTCTGCCTCCGATTACATGGCATTTGAAAATAGGTCACATGTGCCAGTAGGTGGGGAGGGATTTTTTTTTTTTTTTTTTTGGCAATTTTTTTGGTGTACTATCATATGGAGGTGTCTGCCTGTAGCTTAAGGGTAAAAGGTAGTGATTGATGGTTTTCAGGTTTTTCCCCCTCATTCCCCCCCCCCCAAAAAAAATAGGTAGGTAGGCCTACCTGTAGCGGTAGGTAGGTAGGGTAACCGGAGCAGAACTATTATTTTTTTTGGCCTAATTTCCATACTTTCATGGAATCGCTTGTTCAAGGGTATTTGTATTATGTGGGAACATATTTTACCTGTTAATTAATGTACGTACCGATTTAATGAGAATAACTTTGCTGAAAGTGAAGATACTGGTAGGATTGGTACCAAATACCCTTGGAATTTTTTTCTGGCAGAAAATGTTTTCATTGAAAGAAAACCATCATTGAAAGTGAAATTAATGTGAAAGTGAAATTAATGTGCTTTAACAATGGGATCCAGTCACGAGACAGAAACAAAAGTGTGTCTATTTTCTCTGTTGTCTCAATTTGTTTACTTGTAGCTGCATAGCTAAAACTTCAACAGGTTATTTGTCATGCACCCTTCTTACATTGTCTTAAGATTATAGAAGTGACGCTGCGTCAAACGAAAAACATTTGCGCACAGAGTAAATGTTACCAGTATGTACCTTTAACTAAATCAATAAAATACTGTGCTTCATTATGTATGTCAATATTGATGTGACAAGTCCAAGGTCCACTGTTGTGTCATGCCTATTGTACGTTGTGTAAACTGTCATTTGTCGGTGAATATTGGCTACTGTATTGTGGAAGATAGGGTTTAATATACATGTAGTGCTAAGTTGACAAACATACAAATAAGGGTTCAATTTTGAGTAAAACATGTCATGTATTGTTTGTGATTGTTGGTACAGAGATAAGTGTATTTATCTATTGTGTTGTATTTTTTTTTATAGAAACATGAAAAAAAAATAAAACTATGAGGTTTATCATGCAATCACCACTGTGATTTGTTCCTGATTAAGAAAAAAATACTGGGGCTATACCACAGGGAATCCTGTGGTAAAGCCATCTTAAAAAAATTAATATTGGGCAGGCGTTTTTACCCAAAGACCCGGGTAACGCCAAACTTCCTCCCCAAAATGACCATGTTTGCACACCATAGAGGAGATATGTTCCGGTACTGTATGAAACCACACATTTATTTCCTAGTGTCTCCAAGTAGTACTGAGAAATTTTAACAAAAACTTAAAAATGAGGAGGTTTACCTTAGTTTACCCTCGACTACAAATGTCATAAATGTCATAAATGATTTTTTTTTTATGGAATTATCAATGTTGCACATTTCTAAAAACTCCTTTCATTGATTTTTTTGAGTGACGTTAAAATGGGCATGAATAATTTTTTTGGGGGGGGGGGATTATAGGGGCTGGTGCTGACAATTTTTCAACGGTAATAATTTTGGATGATCTCCCCAACAAAATTTCACTTATAAACCACATGCAGATAACGAACAACTTGTGTTGTTGGTGTGAGTGTGATTAACTGTTGCATGACGAGTGATCAGCTGACATTATGTATGTTTTATGGACACCAGAAACTGACACCACACGTACCGGTATTACAGGTTTAACCCTGCGGCGCAGAATCTAGCCCTTTTGGGGACCCAATTTGGTTAATTACCTTAATTAAAAAAAAAATTTCAAACCAATTCTGGTGATCTTCCATCTAATCCTAGCAAGAGACACCCTCTACGGATATATGCAGTCACCTTTAGTGTGTGACCCCGGGTCAGGCATATCTGAGCATGACAACCTGGGCTAAGGACCGATGCAATTTCTGCCCATCCGGGGACTCACCATATACACGCGCACAAAACAACTCCGACGCAATTTCTGCCCACCCGGGGACCCACCATATACACGTGCACAAACAAGGTCACTTGCGAGTAGACAGTGCACGGCTTGACCACAGACTATGTATAGTCTACAGACATGGCAAGATTGTGTTCATGTGGATACAGTGTTGTGTAGCCTCAAACCGTGGCGCTAAATATCTGGGTCCCCGGGGGACCCCTTACTGTAAGTGTGTTACTAAATGGGCTTTCTGCGTCCGAGGGTTAAAAGGGCACTTCTGATAAACCAGTAGTTTCTCTTTTGTTTACCATAGTTTACCAGTGGGAGAGACTATAACATGAGGCCTTGCACCCCCTTAAAATAATCCATTTGTTGAATGGCTCTAGCAGACTGCATTTAACATTATCTCATACATGATCGAGAGCCGAGTTCTCACTGGTCCATTCACCATCACGTGTCAGCCGCTAGTTTTGCTGTTTACCAAGCGCGTGCGCGAGGTTTCACGCACAGGTTAAATAAGCTTGCGTAGTAGACTGTTGCACTGGTTACCAGTTCGCTAGGCTACTATGTGCTTTACAAAGCAATCGCGGAACTACGGTAGCGCACAGGGTTAGTGTGTACGTGCGAACGTCACCCTACATGCCCTAGCAGCATGCAGCAGCTACATGAAAAGATGAGATAGGGCACAACAACTTTTTGCCAAGAAAACTTTTGCGTAACTTCATGTCAGAACTTCATGAAATTTGTGTGAAAATGTATGAGGCATAGTAAAACAAATAAAACATGGTTTAGTTCAGGTGGATAGTCATATTACATGTACATGCAGCTTCATCCTTGGAACTAGTCTGGGAACTAGTCTGTCAGCTTCCAATACCTCGGGGAGCCAATATCAACTATCAACCCTCAAACCATGTCGAAAACCTTGACATGAGGAGTGTTTTATGCAAGGCCATTTATAGAAAACATGTTCTGGGCAATTTACAGTACATGTAGAAAAACAACTGAAAAAGTCATCTCTCAGTGTACATGTGAGTTTCTGAGGAATTTCTGCTGACTGTAGTAAAATGTTCTTTCCGAGATTTCTGTTTTAGCTTGCAGTGCATTTGCTTGCCCTCCCAAGTTGCCTGGGGAAATTGCCTTGTGTAACCTGGCCCTTTAAACAGAGTACACAATTCAAAATTCAAGGTGATTGCTGTGACTTGACAGTTTGAAATATATTCACCTCAGCACTCACTGTCACTCACAAGTTTGACAGTTGGGTCGTTCTATAAATTTAGGATCCAAAATTTGACCTTTTTTTCCCGTCCCTGTTACCTTTATAGTACTTTGAACTGATTTGCCATTAGAGTATCAAGGACGACTGCATTAATTAACCCTATTAAACTAAACACATTTTTGCAAGGATGAAACCTCAATCCTGCAAAATCCTCCAACTGCCACCATGTCAAAATTGCACACAGCCTCAATCCTGTAAAATCCTCCTTTTTTTCTTGAATGTGGTCCTTGGAGGGGTGACACCGGGCTCGAACCTGCAAAATCCTCCAACAATCACTGTCAATATGTTGGAGCAGTGCAGAAGATTTCAAGTACAAATGTATAATCTACATGTAGGCCTAAATTTAGGCTCGGCTGAGCATAAACAACACAAGGTCTGGCTCAAGATTGTGACGCAGTGCCTCTAAAATCAGCCGCACATTTTTGCCATTTATCATGTGTTTATATACATGTAGGGTTAAGAATGACTTCAAACGATTTGTCATTTGTTGGGTAGGTAGTGTGCTTTGTGTAAGGCCCAAAAAAATAAAAGTTCTGCTTCCGATTACCCTTCCTACCCTATTTTGACAGCCCCTACCCTAATTTGTTGGGGGAAAAATGAGGAAAAAGTGGACCCCACATTTATAGAATGACCCAGTTACATGTACAATTAAGTAACAGGAATCTTTACCTCACTGGCTCATCACACTTAGCTGTGTTTGTTTTTGGTTTTTTTTGTATTTTCCCCTTCTTTCCCTTTTCTATGTTTCCCTCTCTCTACTACGCAGCTTGTTGCGCAGATTCCCCGTGGGTTTCGCGTACCGGGCGATGTTTTTCGCGATGGGTTTCCATCGGGTGGACATTCGGGGCATGCAGGCGTCCCCACGCGAGGCGCCCATTGCCGTGGCCGCGTGCCACACGACCATCTTTGACGGCCTGCTGTTCTACATGATGGGGTACCCGACGGTGATCGCGAAAACAGGCATGAAAGATTACCCGCTGATTGGACGTACGTAGGTTTGACGAGTCAGTGATGCAAAAAGAAGTTGTAAAAAGGCTCATCAGTTGCTTTTTTCCCCTCCAAATCTCTGCATCCCCACAAATGTTTTCGTACTTTCATTTGGAGTCTTGTTACTGCATGGTAGTCTTTCCTTACCTTGCCTGAGCATGTGGATGTTGCACGTTACTTGCTTGTTCCTGTGGTGCATACATGTACATACGCTTGTCACATTGTGTTTGTGTCCATGTGAAATATTTGTCTCAAGTTGTAGACTTATTCAGTGAGCAAAATTAGAAACCGTTTTTGAGGTGGAAACCACGTCTGCATGCACACCTTCTTAAAGATGGGGCACGCGTGCATTTGGTTAACCTTAAGGAGCCTGAAGTGCAAACATGTACACAGTAGATGCGATCCTGGTTCCACCTCAAAAAATGGCATCAAATTTTGTTCGCTGAAGTATATGCTCACTCACATTCTAAAAATGTATTTGTAGACTAAAAGGCATATTGACTGTCACAAAGTTAATAGCTGTGATTTAGTAACTCCTGCACAACTCAGTCTTGCATGGTGTTAAAAGTGTTAGTGATAGCTTGTCTGAAGTTAGTTTTAAGCAGACTGTTCCGCCCATTTCAACTCAAACCACGCCCACTTTTTCATCCTTAATACTTGTCGAGATAAACTTAATTAAATGTAGAAACCTAATGAAGAAATGCCGAGACACACTGCTGGGCATTTGCAGTATTATGACTAGTGTGGTAGTCAAGTCCAAGGATGTAGTCGAGTCGATCACAAGTCCAGTCACAAGCAACAGTGGGTGAACAATAGCAAAGGAATACCTTTGTCAAATCATGAATAGCTCTGTGATTTGACTTGGTTCTGGAGGGCTTTGTGATGGACTTGCAGGGACTTGTGATGGACTCGACTACATCCCTGGTCGAGTCTGTTGCACGTCACAAGTAAATCACAAGTCCAGTCACAAGTAACAGGAGATGAACAATAACAAAGGAATGCCTTTGTCACAGTTCACATGAAGAGCTTGCGACTCGACTTTAGGCATGTGACTGACTTGTGATTTGCAAGGACTTGACTCCAACTCTGACTGCAAATGGAAACGTTACGTGTACCTTAATTGGTAGGACGGTGATCGCAAATGAAACTTCAAACTTGCTAGTCTGCAGTGATGTATTCAAGTCCATCACGAGTCAGGACTTTCACAAGTCCTTTCACTTTCACAAGTCCTTTCATTAAGCCAGTCACGAAACTAGATGATCATTGACAAAGGAAGGCTTTTGTAAGAGTTCATTTGAAAAGCTCGTGACGTGACTTGAAAGTGAGACTGAAAGACTTGTGATGGACTTGCCAGGACTTGTGATGGACTTGCCAGGACTTGTGATGGACTTGCAGGGACTTGCAGGAACTCGAATACAACAGTACACACTTGTACCGGTATCTTGCTTTTAATTGACTTGACGCACCGATGCGTATTATCATGCAGACCTTTTGTGAACAGTCTGGACATTAACGGGTACCGGATTACCAGTGTTTTTATCAATCCGGTACCCGGTTCCCTTACTACCTATAATTGCACACCCCACCTAATTCGTGAGCAAATTTCTTACCACTTACTGTACATAATAACAGTTAAGTCGGGTTATTTGTACAAAATGTGTTGTTATCAATCACAAGTCAAATCATACATGTAAGTGTACATATGATGATGAACAGTAGTTACCATACAAAGGGATATCTCTGTCACAGCTCAATGGAACAACTTGTTATCTGTGTGCTGAGACTTAGCCTACAAAGGGATATATCTGTAATATAACATTTACAGTTTTTCACGCACAGTAATTTTTTAACCGACGTAAAGGCATGACAGTTCAAACCATCTAAATGCATGTGGAATGGGAGTGTTGCAATTTAGTGATGGGAATGCTTGCGATTCATGGGTATTTCAGGAGAATTTTTGGATTGTTTGATGGCAGAATGTGACCCTTTTCCATCATTCAATAAGTCTCTCATTAGCATTTATGATATTTCAAGAACAACAGAAATACACCTTTTATGCATATTGATACCTTGCATGGAACTTGGACTTCAGAAGTCTCATATTCATCGTGTTGCACCCCACCAAGAAATAGAACAGAAAAATGCAATTGTTGACATGGATTTTCCCAATGTCAGCTTTGTGTTACTGATTTCTCTGTCACACGGAAGGAAAGTCACCGGTCGAAGTCACAAGTGAGGCAACAGGGATCAGTGAACAATGACAAGGAAATGCTTTTTTTTTTTGACACATTTTTATTTGAACGGACTGGCGCTTCACTTGAGGCAGTGTTGTAGTCGAGTCCGTCGCAAGTCCAGTCACAAGTCCTTTCACAAGTCCAGTCACGAACAATAACAAATGCATAAACACCAGCAAAAAAAAGAAGAAAGTTCACACTCATGGGAGGGATCCTAATTTTAATCTGATCGTCTTATGATAACGTCATTTATATAGACCTTTGGGGAATGTTGTTAGCTACATTTTGATACCCTGTTTGCTACCAAAGACTGTTAATCGTCCAACATTGACAATCTTACACTGCCCGAAACGAACAGCAGAGAATATCTATCCCACATCGCTTGTTGCATGGGAGCACTTTGTTTGGGCCGTGTGCAGTCGGTCGGGGGCCAATTACGGGCTTGTGTGGTTACGCTTAGCAATTTCTCCTTCCGTAATCTGTAAATTTGCAACTTTTCAAACTGCATCAATTTTCATAAACCGTTGTCAATCTTGGATGATTTACAGTCTTTGGTAGCAAACGGGGTATCAAAATGTAGCCAACAAAATTCCTCAAAGGTCTATATAAATGACGTCATCATAAGACGATCAGATTCAAAATTATGACCCCTCCAATGAGTGTGGACTTTCTTTTTTGCGGTCTTTAAATGCTTTTGTTTTACAATTCATTGTAATAGCTTGTGAGTTGTGACTTGAATTAGGCTTGAGGACTTGCAAAGATTGTATTGCACATATGTACCTGTACTAGTGAATGTGTATCAAATTTGCATTATGTAAACATGGTAAATGCTCCCCCCTTCAAAATGAAATTTACAATGTATAGCGGCCTGCAGTAAAGAAGATGTTGCGTAACTGTTTTATCAGTTTCAGGTTCCTGAGCCCTCTCAATATTTTGGAACGTGTATTTTGCCGTCAATCATTTACCCTACCCTCCATGCAGTGCATTGTGTGAGTGTGTCTTTCCTCATCACATTCCCAATCTCCCCAACGTTGTACAGAAGTCTACAGAACTTTGCGATGATCCTGGCCCGAGTTCACATCTTCCTGATGGGCTTCCACTGGATCGAGGTCAGAGGTCGTCGGGCGCCCCCCGCGGAGGCCCACCTCCTTGTCTTTGCGCCCCACACTAGCTTCATGGACTCGCTGACCATCTTTGCCTGCCGGGAAGTGGTCAGTGGCGTGTCTAGGGAAGAAAACGGGAAGGTGCCAATTTTCGGAAGTAGGTTTTTTTTTATTTTGAGAGCACAAAGACCTTAGCCCTCTGTTACAGGTTACGGCGTGTTTTACTACATTACGATAAGTACGATTCAATTCTGACCAGGCTGATTGCAGTACTGTATAGTCCTAGCTGGCTAGCTTAAATCCCTAACCCTCCCAAATCTTCTAAAATCCTCTTTGTATGCTCTGCCGTACATAAAATAGGCCTAGATTATACTTGAAATCCTCCGGGCGGTGGTGCTCGTTGCATTGGCATTGGACTTTTTTGGATAAAATAACGCAGACTTGTGTCAACTTTTAAGAACCCAGTGCAGTGCAGACAGCAACTAAACATATCACAAAATGTCAAGTGTCAACTGTCAATTGTAAGTTTTAAGTTTTAACTTTTGCGGTCCGCAGCGATAAGTTTTCTGGGTCATGGAAGAATTACATTGCAAGTTTTACAGTTTTGACATGCATTTTCGTGGTCCAGACACGTGGCCGTCCTAGACCAATGAAATTACAGCATCCAAGCACACAATATCCGCTCCGTTCACAAGTACCCCCTCACCGGCAAAGAAAATACAGTTGGGGGTGACCGAACGACGCCATCTTGCCTGACTGCAATATTTTGCCGCGGAGCGCGGCCACTACGTGTACATAGTACAAATCCCCTGGTGTACGTGTGTCACACACAAGGAACGGTGCTCGCGCCAACCAGCGAAATATGTGTCCTGCCCATGGGACGTCGTTGCTAGGTAAAAGGGCAACCTCTTTTGTTGGCGCACGGAGCCCATAACAGAGAATGTTATTATTACCCTTATTAACTGAATGTTTAAATCACAAGTAGAACTGTAACAATTGAAGATTGCCCTAAATGAAACAGATACTGCCTTGTGAACACAAGATATAGATAATACATGTAGGTGTAATGTACATGTATCAATGCACACCTTTCACTTTTGACATGAACAAAGACTTGTTTGAGGAAATCAGTGGATGACCAATGCCCTTCAATACTTCCTGCTGGACATGACATGTTTGTAAAGATCAATCCAGGCACGCTTTCCATTCTATCATGAAGGCCCCCTTCAATGGCAAAAGCATTGTGCTAGCTATTGTTCAGATAATCCATCACCGGGCAATTTTAATTGAATGTGCTCCAAGAAAAATAGACATAACTTGGGGATAGAGTGTGCAAATTACGTGAAATTTTCACAGTTACTAGTCAATAACATGTACTTTATCCCTATGTTATGAAATGGAGCGAGTTACATGTATATGTTACTTTTTTCTAAATTGGTCACTTTCTTTGTGGCTCACCCTGTAGATGTAGGCCCTATGTCTGCATAAAGCCTACTGATTTGAGAACACCAATGTGAAATGTGGAATATGAATGAGAAAGTAGACCTTGTACGTTGTGCAAAGTTCAAGTGACAGCGGCAACGTGTATCATTTTTGTATGTGTCGTCTTAGTCAGCTATAACATAGTAATAGGGCAGCCACACCTTTCACTTAGTCAGGCACTGATTTGTAAGTTAATGTGTAACATTTAGAGCTGCTGCAGTACTGCGTAAATTTCCACTGTATTCATGCTGTTCCACTCACTGACAAAATTTTTGATAAATCGTAACTGTAGGATGTACGTGTGGCTTCATGTAATTTGCCAAATTTGGAAAATTATTCATTAACTTGCATGGACACTTCACCTAGCAATAGATGCATGTGTGTACATCAAAATTACCGAAAAAATTTCATGCATATATTATACATGGGTCATTCCATGCCAACTCAACAAATGGTGCACACCATCACCTCTTGGATTTTTTTCTTTTTTGGTGTACTGAAAGATACTTAGGAGAAATGCAAATTCTGAAAATTTGGAGTCTCTACGACTTTTCGTTCTTGCGCAACAGCATTTTGAAATTTGAGGTGGGCGGGGCCAAAAGCGCGTCGCGTCACGAAATTCAATGTTTAAAGGGCCATATATTTAAAACTATACCCCCCAGACATTTCAAACTTGGTAATCTGGGCTATTTTTTGCTGTAGATTTCAAATATTTAAACAGAAAGAAAGTCGCTTGTTTCATTTTTAAGTTAAAGGGGCCCCAAAATGGCCGAAAACTCATCTGGACCAATGTTCGGGGGGGGGGGGGGGGGGGGGTGTAAGTCAAAAATTGAAAATATTTTTTTCACCAAATTTTTTGCCTGTAATAGCCCCCAATTGAAACTACTTTCATGTAAAATCTTACACTTATATTAACTTCATTGAATGAGATATAGCCCTTGCAAAAAGCAAATTGTTTATTTTTACGATAACTTGACCCCCCCAAAAACCAACGTCAGACATTCCGCACCAAATTTTGCTTCACATATGTTTGAGGTTGGTCCTTAGTGAAGTCCTCAAATGTGCACCATTTGTTGAGTTGGCATGGAATGACCCACATGTACTTCATGTATCCTGGCCAAAAAAAAAAATGTGCAAACGCAAGGCATGAATGGTATAGTTGAGCATGCAGGCATGTTGCATCTGGGCATGTACAGTGTGTAAGCATGTGCATTGGTTATTCGGTGCATGGCTATAAAAGACTGATTTTTGCTCAATATGGTTGGAAATTGTTTTTCCCCCCTCCTTTTAGTCTAGGGGCTAGACGTTGTTATGGTTGGATACGCAGTAACCCACTGCCACGATAACGACCAACCAATAGACCTTTCTATGCTTGGTTGGTAAACTGTACATTTTGCCAACCACAAATTGCAAAACTATGGAAGGTCAACAAAGCTAAAACATAACTCCTAAACATGCCTTTTTACTATGTACATGTATTGAGGGCGTTATGGGGACTTTTTTGGAAAAATATGTTGCCAACCACAGCTTCTATTATGCGCTTGCGGCAGCCCATATAAAATGGCGCCAATGTTTACAAACAAGAAAGGTCTATATTGCCCACAGACTTCCTGACAAGTCCGTGGGCGATATTGGTTGGTCGTGATAGTGCCCTCTCGCGGTGGCGGGTTATCGCGTATCAAACCATAACAACGTCTAGCCGCTAGACTACCCTCCTTTTTGCATTGGTGTTTTCTGTTGTCCATCCATTTTTGAAATTTTACATGGGTACACTGTATGTGCTGTCTAGCTGGCGAGATTCTCTCTGTGCAGGCCTTCCGGAACATGGATCGGTATTTTCTGTCTGAATTCTCTACGCTAATTGCCGATCTACTGAGCAATAATCACAGATGATTAATAATCTATGATTCAAATTTAAATTTCATGAAATGTTTTATTGTTGTTTTTTTGGGGGGGTTGCGAGAAAAGAGGTCCGTATTGTTTACAGAAAGCCCATCAGTCAGTCTAGACACACCAACAATTTCTTTGAAACTGTTGTAAACCAAAACAATTGTCATTCCGAAAATGTTGTTAAAAACTTGGGCTAATTTTGTGGAGCTGATAAGCACAGAACATTTGCTAAGCGCCAAACTATTTATTGCTTAGCAGAAACTGGTTATCATCCAAAATGCCATGCATTTGTATGTTGCTTTGTGACTGGTACTCAGCTGAATCGTGCTTAGCACAAACATTTTCTGAGTAGACATTTGTGCTTAGCATCTCCATAAATTTGGGCACAGGGTGGTTTGCAACTGTAGTTTTCAACTATGATGGTCAAGACCAATGTAATGGATTGAAAGTCTCTCTCAAAAAAAAGTATTCTCTTTTACTTGTTTTCCGTCCCACAACCAGCGCTGGTGGACTGTCTTCAGCCTGTCTACGTCTCCAGGACGGACCCAGACTCGCGGCTCAAAACGATCAAGGAAATTAACAGGCGTTGTGAGCCGGACAGCGAATGGCCGCAGATCGTCATCTTCCCCGAAGGCACCTGCACGAACGGCTCTTGCCTCATCACGTTCAAAGGAGGTAAGGCTGTGGCTGTGGCTTTTGCAATTACACATGTGCCTATGGAAGTGACTAAAGCCTCTTCCCATACATGTGTCATGAAGTACTTTACCACAAAATAGCCAGTCCAAGTAGTCTTTTATACCCCAAGATTACTACAAGCATTTATGTGAATATCGTATATTTTGGCAGCTGTAATCAGGCAGAATGTTTCAAAGGGGCAATTGTTGTTTAGGCCTGGGCCCAATTTCTTGGGTCTGCCTACCATTACTGAAAAATCCCTGCTTACTCTAACAGAAAGTTCCGTGCTTACGGTAAGTATATTTCACGCGTTAGCGAGGAATTTTTGCTTCTGCGCATGCGCATATCCCGTAACTAAGGATTCTGTCCTTCGGGGTTAGCACAGAATTTTTCTGCTAGCGCGGTTAGCACAAATGTTGTGGTCGTAAGCGCGGAATTCTGTGGTTAGCAGAGCCAAGAAATTAGGCCCAGTTATTTCTAATATTACATGTAAGGTGTACTGAAGACTACCTAGTGTGTAGTACAATGTAGCCATGGGTCTGTTTTATTTTCTTTTTATTGAAAAGCAAACTTGGAGTTTTCCATTCACGTTGCCCCTCATCACGGCCAGTGAAGCGAATACGGCTGTATAGATGTTGCATGGCCACATCTGTGTATTTCTAGCAATACTAGTCTGTGCCCAATATGGCAATTTCCCACAGATGTCCGCACATATTAAAAATATTGAAGTCCTCTTGAAATGTAGGTGTGAATGCAGTTTGCTTTCCATTTCTGTACAGTCTGTCACCATCAGGTTGGTGTCAGGTGGCGGTTATGCCTCATTACTGTTGAGTATTATTTTAGGTGACAATTGCAAATTGGCAAGCATCTGTTTTTTCAGTGCCGCTTGGTGATGCGCTATTCTCATGAGGGTTACATTTTATACGTACAGACACAGCCAGGATTTTTTTTATTATAATACGATCATTCAAACATTATCTTTCCCTTATGATATCATATTTTAGTATTTCAACTTCTACTTGTTACCTTTTGTTCGTCCTTTTTCTTTTGTTCGTTTGTTTGTTTATTGTTTGTTTGTTTGTTAGTATTGGTTGTGTGGGGTGTTGGGGTGTTTGTTCGTGTGTTTGCACACTGAAAAATTGCCTGGGTTAATTTTACCCAAGCAAAGGTGAAAACTGCCGCTACCCAAAATTGGTTTACGCTTTACCCAATTGTTTAGGTTATAATTTCTGTTCAATTCAACTAAAATCTGTGGTCAAGACCAAATTTAATTTGGTCTGGTATGACCACAAGTTTTGGTTGAATTTAATAGAAAATATAACCCAGCCAATTGGGTAAAGCAAAACCCAATTTTGGGTAGTTGCAGTTTTCACCCTTGCTGGGGTAAAATTAACCCAGGCAATTTTTCAGTGTTTGTTTGTTTGTTGTTTGTTACATTTTCTTCTGCTCCATTGCTTGTAGATTTGTTGTAATTATTTACTATCATACTTTATTGTTCATTAAACTTCAATAGGCATTCCCTTTACAAGCTTCAGCTTTTTGTGTATATGCCTCCAACTGTTGATTTTCTTCATGTAATTATTACTAATTATTACTAATAATGTTTGTTTTACTTGGAAATAAATGTTGAATTGAATTGAATTCTGGATCATTTGATAGAATTTTGTGGTCTCTGGGACCAGCTTTATTAGGCTTGCCTTTTTTGGTTTAAAAAAAGAAAGTTCGCAGCCAGCGGGATTTTACGTGACGTATTTTAAATAAACTCCCAGAACGTCAAATAAAAACAGTTACTTTAGCCGGTTTTCAATCATTTTTTTCCTAAGTTGAACAAAGATATTGACTAGCGGGGTTTGAACCTGCGACCTCGGATTGCCGTTCCGGTGCTCTTACCAACTGAGCTATTCAGCCCTATGTTGGCGGTTCCCCAATTTGGCAATATCCTTGAACAAGGAAGCCATAAACCTGTATATACATGTATGCCATCTAGCCAGGGATCACACCCTAAGTCATGATGCTAGCAACATTAGCAATGCTGCAAACCCAGGAAATAGCAAACAGGGATCACTCAGAGAGGATAGGGTTTTTTTATTACAAATTTTCAAATATACCACAAATGGAAACTGGCCAGGTGCATTATAATAATTGTTTTCAATCAGTTAATTTTGCATCTTACATGTTCAGGGTTTAGTTCTTTTTTTTCTTCTTTCTAATTGGCAATTTAAGATGAGCAACATTGTATTCAATAATTATATTTCCTGTCATTTATTTTGATAAAATTTAACAAACTTTCAAGAATTTATAAAATTCACCTCTTTCTTTATTAGGTGCCTTCTACCCTGGTGTGCCTGTGCAGCCTGTTGCCATACAGTATAAAAATGCTTTAGACACGTTTACTTGGACGTGGGACGGGCCTGGAGCGTAAGTATGCCACTTGTTTTTCAAGTTTTCTGGAGAAAAAAACTCCAAAAATCAAATAATTTTTTTACTGTTAGAACATGATACGCTTTGCAGTGTTTTCAACAAATGTTCAATGAATCCAACGTACGTATTCATGAGGACCTCAACTGTTGATTTAGATTTAGTTCACAAGTTCTCAATGGAAGGTTTACAATGTATGTCCTATATTCATGACTTGTACAACCGAGTTGAGCCAACTCACAGTCAGTCACAAGTAACAGAGGACGAACAATGACAAAGCAATGGCTTTACATGAGATGAGTTGTGATGGACTTGTGATTGACTTATGATGACTTGTGATTGACTTATAATGACTTGTGATTGACTTATGATGACTTGTGATTGACTTATGATGACTTGTGATTGACTTATGATGACTTGTGATTGACTTATGATGACTTGTGATGGACTTGTGATTGACTTGTGCTTGACTTGTGCTTGACTTGTGATGACTTGCGATGGATTTGTGATGACTTGTGATTGACTTATGATGACTTGTGATCGACTCATGATGACTTGTGATTGACTTATGATGACTTGTGATTGATTTGTGCTGGACTTACGATGACTTATGATGACTTGTTTACAACTCTGCCTGAACTGTTCCTTAGGCACATCTGTTTGAGTCATTTAGAAAAACCTAGGATCGCAAATACTTGGCAAAAAGCAAACACGAATTTGTGACGTAACATTAATTTTTTCAAGCTGTTTATAGCAAAAGTTAAACACATTTCAACTCGGGGCGAGTTTTGCTGTGAATGTTTTCGACTTCGAATCTGCTTTCCAACTTAACAAACAAAAAGGTGTCCCTTAATTTAGACGTCAGTTGGACTAAACACCTCTATCTTGATTTTTCCTTTGGACCCAATCCAGCCTGAAACTCATGTGGCTGAGCCTGTGCAATTTCAGCAATAAACTGCAGGTCACGTTCCTGCCCGTCTACAAGCCCAGCGAGGCAGAGATCAAGGATCCTAAGCTGTTTGCTCGCAACGTCCGGGCAGTCATTGCCAAGTAAGTGGATCCCAGCGGCCAGTATAACAAAACCAATAACATTACCAAGTACAGGTTTGCTTAGCACAATAGATATATTCTTAGCAGAGATAGGTCACCAGCCAAAACGCCATGTGGCGTACATATGCTCATGACTGGTTCTCAGCTTAGTTTAGCTCAGCATAAAAATTTGCCCAACGAATATCCCGCTATAAGCAGGTCCACGTAAAGCATTGGAAACTCACTAAGCACAGAAAATATCTGCTGAGCAAGAAATTGTCTTCACAATGGCTTTTGATTTAACCTGCCACTCACAGGTTTTTTTTGCATAACCTAATTTTTCCATTTTTAATGGAGAAATTTCATGCAGTCATTAAACTCCTCAAAGTATATTCACTCCCGCACTCCAAGAAGTACGAAAACAGTGACAGATATCATGTGATATTGACTCTATACAATTTAGCTTTATTTTGACCAAATTATGCAATCTGTATAATGTGATATTTTTGCAAGACAGAGTAAGACCGCTATAAGTAAGGCCAAAAAAAAAATATTCGGTTTCTGGTCAGACCAAAGTTCCAAAATTGACGCGGGGACGCGGCTTTTTTTTTTTCCTTTTTTTTTTTCTTCAAGCTTGGATTGTACAGTCAAGGTGGGTCTATTTTGCTTTTTTGGTGTCCTCATGTACATTGGTGTCCTCCATAATTTGCCTAGGTGCTCTCGATCATTTGCCTTGGTGCAATTCCCCATTCCTTGGTGCTCTTTGTTAAAAAAAATTGAGGAGGTGCGGCAATAGAGGGTGCTGTTGGAGCTACCGCGGAACATTTAGGAAAAAAAAAAGATTGACGCGCATGATTGAAATCGACACGAGCGCTGACCAGAGACCGACATTTTTTTTGTTTGGCCTTAGAGGAGGTTGAATATTTTTTGATCGTTCGTCCTTTGTCCCCCCCCCCCTTTAGTGCGATTGACAAGCCAGTGACAGACCACACCTTTGAGGACTGTCGGCTGATGATGCGGGCCCAGGAGATGGGGCTCCCTCTAGAGGTGGGCCTGGTAGAGTTCCAGAAGTTGCTCACCAAACTCGGGTGAGTAAATCGGCGATAGCAGTGCTTGTTTATTGTTTGAAAAAAAAAAAAAGAGCAACTACGATAAAGGACCGCTTGTAGAATGTTTGATCAGTGATGTAATAGTAATGTTTTAAAAATCAAAGGTCAAAGGACATTAAAAAAAATGAACAATTAACAAGTTTTAAAATTTGATAGAACATGTCTGTGGCAAACTCTTATTTTGAAACCATGTTGGAAACATTTTAGGAGACGGAAAAATGTTACCTCAAATATGGCCATGTGGGTCATTCTATAAATTTAAGGTCCAAAGTGTGTCATTTTTCCTGTCCCTGTTACTTTGGTACATTTTAATTTGCCATTCAAGTATCATTAAGAACGACTTCAACTGATAATCTGTTTGTTGGGTAGGTAGTTTGCTATTCATAATCACTTTTGAAGGACGACTGCAATAAGGAGTGCATCAGAATTATAAAATCATAGAAATCAGATGTAACAGGGACAAGAGACAAAGTGGACCCCAAATTTATAGAATGACCCTTGTCCAAAATACATGGCTACGACTTGCAATCACACGTGCGGCTATGGAAGCCACTGAAGCCCTTTGCCATACTTTCTGCCTATCCGTAGTCAAGTAATTGGGACTTAGCTAAGTCTTGTCTGCACTTTCGTCCCGTCAGAGTCAAGATGGACCACCTGCAAGACAAGTTGAAATCCTATGCCGACATCGCCAAGTCTGGCGGCTACATCAACATGGAGGATCTGGCCAAGTACCTGGAGTTACCCGTCTCTCCTGCTCTCAAGGAGGTCTTTGCTCTCTATGACAGGGTGAGTAAAGTGTAAAGTTGCTTGTGTTCTAAACAGGGCTCACAAAATTGATAATTTTGTATTTTTTTTCAGTGGAATCCTTCAGTTGACCCTTGTGTGCCTGTCACTCCAACATTGTACATTGACCAATTAGGTCAGGACTTTTGGTCAGGTGACCAGTTGCTTGGTGAAACTTAGTCACCGGCACTGTGAGATATATGAATTACCCAAAGATAGGTGGAGCTTGTGGTCAAATTGAGAATCGTTCCTTGTGCCATTGGGGTCCCCCCCCCCTTTTTAAAAGTCTTTTTCTGAGGATATATAAGCAGCATGAATACTGATAAAAATCTGAAGTTCTATCAAAACATCAACCCTGTAGTCACTTTACCGCCCCAAACTGCCCTGCCTATAACTCACTGTAGTGCCTGAAACCGCCTGAATACTCCATTGTGTTTTTGATTTTCTAGTGAGTAAACACATTGTAATACAATGTAGTATAGTTGCTGATGAGTTAAATAATAGTTACTGAAGTTCATTATCAATGTTACAAATTATCACACTTGTCCAAACAGACTTAAATATTTGTTTACCTCTTTGCTTGTTTTTTTTCTTTTTTCTGCAGGACGGCAGTGGAAAGATTGACTTTAGGGAGTACGTCATTGGTTGTTCTCTGCTGGCACAGCCAGCCAACAATGACGAAACGCTAAAACTGGCCTTTGCGGTAAGGGTACTTAATCTTCTGTGTGATCCCCACACTTGTACCTGTACCCCTTTGTTTGTGCTAAGCAAGTATATTCTGCGCTTAGCGGCTTCATGAAATTGGGACCAGTAAATGTAGGCCCGTGGAACAATGGAATGTTCCGTACTTGACTACAAGCCCCGCCCACCTTTGGCTTGTGCACATTTCTTACAGCATGTACAGTGGCAGTATCCGAATCTTGTGTCTAGAGCTAGGGCTAGGTCTTTGCCGGTTGCAAACACGTTGGCACATGCTGACAATAGGCAAAGCCGTAGCTCTGGAAGCCCATTTCGGACACGGCTCGTGTTGTTACTGAGGCCGTGTTCCGTGTTAATTGGCTGTGGCTGGGAATTACACAGAAGTCCATGGTAGCGGCCGCAGCCACTGCCATAGACCTGTTTGTAATTTTTCAAGCCGTTGCCAAGTAATTCGAACATGGCCAAAGTTTGATCAGGGTCACCTGACCTAAAGTCGTGATCTGATTGGTCGATGCTCACTGTTTGATTGACAGCCAGAAAGAGTCCATTTGGAACAGGGGTTGAACCCAACAATATTAATGAGTACTTTTTTTTTTTTTATTAATGAGTACTGATTTCTTTTTGAAAATTCTGTAGATGTTTGGCGGCGACAAGGATTACATTGAGCCCGAGGACATGTGTCGGATCATGAACAGTGCATTTAGCATGGCAGAGGAAGAATCACTGAAAATATTCAAGCAAGCCGACGCAGACAACAGCAGAAAAGTGACATATGGTAAATGTGTGATGTCCAATGTTTGTTTTCTAATTTCCTAATGTTTCGCATGTATTTTAAATTATGTATTATAATTATGTAGTATTATGTCCTTGACCCCGCCCCCTTTAAAATTTTGAATTGAAAAATATATATCTGATTTGCCTTGGGTGCCTCCTTGAAAAATGTATGCCCCAGAAGTTAAACCCTAGTTATGCCCCTGCCCCCAATTTGGAGATGAATTCAAGAATTGCATTTCAGAAACTCCAAACTGTGCCTAGAATACGCCAGTTCGGTATTCCAAAATAGTCTGGTGCACAGCAAGATTCAACAATTTTCTTTCGGGATAACCACGGCAGATAAATGCACACAAGGCTATGGGGGACGTGGTAACCAAATCTGCATTCTGTGCAATTTTTCGTGCAATCGAAAAGAGATGGAACTTTTTGTTTGCACAAAAGTTTTGACACACAATACACCTAAAAACACATCGCTTTCCAAAGTCTTTTTGCAAAATGTTATACTTCAGAACACAATGATCTCTTCAAATTTGCTGGTACTTGCTATGCTTTTACACGCATACGATGAATTTTTATCCCGAAAGAAAAATAGACAAATCTTGATGTGCACATGCGCAGTTGGAATACCAAACTTGCTTATTATCAGACATATAAATTTGTCGACCCCTTCCAATATTTTCTTCAAGATGAGTTCAAGGCCTACATGCAGAAGAAACCCGAGTACGCCAAGCTGTTCATCACCTACCAGCAACTGGCCACCCTCCCGGAGACGATTGAAGCCGACTTCAAGAACAAGCTGTGCGCGACAAAGAGCGAGCTGGACATTGAACGCTCCCAGACGGAGCTGAAGACGGAAGCGTCGGCCGCCAAGACGGGCGAGGAGAAGAAGAGAGACTGACATGAGGACGGCTTGGCTCCCGTCTCAATGTGATGATGACGATGATGATGATCTTTCTTTGTAGCTCGAAAGTGTAGGTTAACCCTAACTCCCTAGGCCTTTGTGCTAGGATGTAGCCTCAATCCTGCAAAATCCTCCAATTGCCCTCATGGAAAAATAGCATATATAGCCTCAATCCTGCAAATTCCTCCACTTTGGCAAAGAGGATTGTGAAGGATTCAGGGCGGCTAGGGTTAATAGGTGAATGCAGTAAGCAATGACAGTATTTAGCCATGGAACCATGATCTCCTTAGTGGGGTGCAGTCTCTGTACTTGGTTTTCTTGACCACTGTTATCTTCTAGAAATCGAGTCCTGAAAATCTGTGAAAACACAAATTTACAGTGGGTTTTGCCCTTCGCCGACATATTTTGTAAACACTCAGTCTAGTCCAAGGGCTTGCAGAGAAATTCACTAGTTTACTGGGTTGGGACTCGTACCCACGACTTCAGCTTACTAGAGCAGACGTCTTACCACTCGACCTTAAAGCTTGCCAGGGTCGAATGACCGGTTCTATTCTGATGTAGCAGCGGGAACCTCAACCGTACATTTTTATAAGATGGAATTTGCATCGGGGAGATGTAAATTTTATTGTGGGTTTTTCACCCTTCACTGACGTATTTTATAAGCCGACGTGTAATACTCACTGTTGTCCGAGGGCTTGCAGAAGAAAATTACATGCTTATTCGGGTGGAACTCGAACCAACGACCTCCTGCTAACAGTGAAAATGTTTGCCACTCGACCACCAAGCTTGCTGGGATTGTGTGGAAAACTGTCGGAGCAGAAGACTCATGGTAGGACCCAAACACCGTTCATTTAGCGGTGACATGATAGTTTGCATGGTCGAAATTACTGGCAAGCTCCTATTTCATTTTCAGAATTTAACCACTTTTCTTTGGAAAGATATCTTAGATATTTTCTTAGACCCAAAACATTTATACACGGACGGATTCGTCGAGTTACAAACCAACTGCTAACAGAAATTTCCAAATATGCGTCACTTGACACAACTTTGGAAAGGGCCTTCTTTTATTGTTTTCTTCAAAATGACAGCATGCTAGAATGAATAATTTCACAGAGAACTTAGTGCCATTACTATCTTAAAACCAAGTATGCTTTTCAACAATAATTTTGTCAGTTAATTTTTGGATAGCTGCAAATGATGTACCTTTAAGAACCATACTCTGAAAGCTGGCCTAGCAGTATTTTAGCATTTTTTTTATACACCGCATTTACAGTAGAGTTGCACTCAGCAACCAAAGTGTTTTTCTATCTAAAGTATTTTCTTTGTTTTTCACCTCAGGTAAGGTTTGTGTGTGGCATTATTAGGGCATTAAGAAAATTGAAGGCAAATCAGGCACTAAACGGCCTGGACTTTTCTGTACATATTGCATGCAAAAGTTAAACTTTGAAATATGATTCTGTAAATTTTTAAAAATCAGAATGGATAACATAAAACCTAAGTAACCTAGATGTAAAAAAGCTATGGTTGATATTTTGTAGAAGTGCGAAGCTCGAAAAATGAAACACCATGTAACAATACAGAAATCGTTTTTATTTTCTAAACTTTGAATTTAAGTTTCTTCCCATTGTTCAATCGAATAATCTGCCCTCACTTTTCCCCCTGCTAGTGCTTATGTTGTTTATACTTTGCATTGAGGTATAACTTACTTCGAAATTGCTGCTTTTGTTCACTTTTTGAGTTCAGAAAAATGAAAATCATCGCATAGGGAGCCAAGCCACATAATTGCCACCTTTTGACATTTAATGTTGTCAGAAGTATTTATTTTATTTATCATTTAATAAGCTAATCCATTGTTTTGGAAGTGATGAATGACCTTGATTTTTTTTCTATTATTCATCAATTTTTTTTCATTTTAGAAATAGAAATCTGGCTTGGTTTGCAGTGAGGTTATCTTAGCACTTTTCACTTTTATAGGAAAATATAATTTAAAATGATACTCTGTACTTAAAGTAAGTTCAAAGAAACCTGGAACACTATATGTAAATATACTTGAAAGCTTGTGGCCACTGTGACTTATCCCCTTATACTTGAATGCAGTTAGTTGGTATTAAATTGGCCGGGTTTTAGTGAGCCCGCTGCGCACCGTGCCGCGATACAGACAGACACTGCATCCTTTTCAGAGATACACATACGTGGCATGCAGTATGGCACGAACACCCAGGGAAGAGAGTGCATCTTCGACCCCGATATGCATGTACGTCAACTCCAATTACTCAAACGCGTCGAAACCCAGCATGATGTAATAAAAATAATAAACGGCGCTGCACTATAAGTTGGTGGTGCCGTCAAACAAAACATGTCCGTCTAGTGACTTGTTCTCAAGTCTACAGCCTGTCTCAAACAAAAAAGGTACAATCTGAAAAAAAATTGGTTAAATATGAAATTTCAAAATAAGTCATTCTTACTTGGCATAATATTAAAGAACAAAGACTGGGCTTTCCAATAGTGTTTGTTTCATCTTATTTGCTTTTGTCAATTCAGAAATATAATCAATTTAGTGCGATACACCAAAATCGATTTTGTGCCACTTTTATGCATGGGCAGAGTTGTTTTGAAGCGCAACCAGAAAGTGGCACAAATCGATTTTTGTGTTCCGCAGTAAACTGGAGTTATCTCTGGATTGACAAAAGCAAATGAGATGAAACAAAAAGTATTAGAAAGCCTGGTCTTTTTTCTTTAATGTGATGCTCAAAACGACTTACTTATGTTGACGTTTTTTTTTAGACGGGCTGTACAGCCCTTCAGTGTTAAAATGCCAAAAGAGTGCCACTATCGAAGGACCATTGAACGCCATCTTGTCCCATGCACACCGGTATGCATGAAATTCTATTCACAGTGACTAGTGCTTGTGTACCAGCTAAGTGTCCGTTACACAACGCCATCGTTTGTTTTATGTTTTTGCAAATAACGCCTACATTCCAGTAAATGTTTTTTTACCTCGGTAAGTTAAAGGTGATTTTGCCACGCTTGACTTTGCACTATAGTTCTAAGACAACTTGTGTGGAGTCCCCACAACTATGGAACAAGTAGGGGTGTACAAGCATTACATACACTGTGTGGACTTCCGAACAAAAGATGTCCACATAAACCAGGCAGCAGCGACGTGTGGACTTGCCCACGTCCACACAATGTTTCCCCATTTCTGGAAAACAAGTTTAGAGGCATTTTGGGGTTAGGTTTATTTGTGGCAGAATGAAGAGAAACACTAAAGGGAATCATAGAAAAAGAATTGGGTTGAAAGAGTTTTCACAGTTTGAGAAAAATGAGTTTTTCACTGGTTTTTCTTAACTACACGAAAGCAATGGAAAGTCCACACAAGGTATGTAACGTAAACTTGGGTGTGTCATTGTGTGTGTGATATCCTTTAGTTTTAGTTGTTTTTGTTATTTTATAGAAACATAATAGCATGCAGTTGTAGTAAAATAAAAGGCAATACCTTTCTTGGGTCTTTCAGATGAAAGTGTAAGTTACACTAAAAGCTATTACAAGAGAGACAAAAATATTTTTCAAGTAAACTTATGATCACCTTATCTACATGTACATTTTTTTACCGATTGAAAAATATATTGATTTACGTAGTGATATATAGCTGCATGGTAAAAAGCTCGATACACCTTAAATTACATTTGTGCTCGTTCATATGGTTGCTACCATTTCAGATTTTCATTGGAATTTATTTTACTGAACTGGTTTGCGGACAACTTTATTTGAAAAAAAAAAGTGGCATTTTGAAGCAAGCGCTTTAAAGCTAGTGCACACGGTGGTCCAGAAAAAAAACGTTAAACATTTTTCAGATTTCTTGGGGAGACAGGTTAAAATTGTTTCAAGACATTCCTAAACTACAGCATCTTATATGGTGAAAACGGCGCTGAAAGTAAATTAAGAAATGCTGACAGTTTAAAGAAAGATGGTCAAACACTAATTTGTCCACACGCAAGTCTATGAGATATGGTCAACACAATAGCACTGCAGGCACAAAGAACTGCAACAATTGTAATTAGGTCTACATGACTGCCATAGACGTGGACAAACTAGTTTTTGACCATTCTTCTGTAAATGGCTGTAATTTCTTAACTTGAGCTTTATTTTCAACGCCGTTTTCACTATATACCACCATGGTCTTGTAGTTTAGGAATATCTTAGAACAATTTCAACACTGATGTCTCTTAAATTTGGAGAAATCTGCCTCTGAAAAAGGGTAAACTTTTTTGGGGGGGGGGGCCACCCTGTGTGTAGTACTCAACAATTTTGCTACTTTGGGATTAAATGGTAACCAGCAACGGGAGTACCAGTGAAATTCTACTCAATGAAATTAAATTATTTTGGGGAAAAACGTAAAATATGACACACTTTTGCCAATTTATTATTTAGATTAAGAAACTGAAGTGTTTATTTGAAGTATACTGTTAAACCATTTTTTAAATAATTATTTTGGGAAGTTGAAACTAGTTTTTATTGCCAAGGATTGACAGCTTGTAAATACATATTTTGTGCAAACATAGTTGTCACTATTAAGAAGTGTAAGCACTTTGAAAACATTTTGACTTTTGATTTTTTTTTTCTAGAGTATTTATTTCATTGAGAAATTTTGAGTGGGCAAGTTCAGAAGTAGAAATGTACGCCTTTTTTGACAATTTTTGACGGAGGTTAAATGTAAATGTCTTTACAGAAGTTGATTGGAAAAATCCAGTTGTACATTTGTGTGCCGAGTTTGGCATTGTTTGCATCTGCATAGCAGTTTCTGTGTCATAAACACTGCAAAAAACCCCAGAAAGTCCACACTCATTGGAGGGGTCTTATACTGGCCTCGAAGCAAAACGAGAAAGCCCCTATCCAGTAGTTTAACCACACGGCACTAAGAAGTAAACTGGAAGACACTTGAGAAGAAATTACTCATCTTTAATCCAGAACTACTCCCTTGCCTAGATACGGTAAAACTGTAAGAAAAATACAAAAAACTTGTATCGGTTATGCATGTCTACATGGTACATGTACATATATGTGAAAAAGTAAGCATTCAATAAAGACCTAACACAGTTTAAGAAAAAGACAGATACATCCTCATGTGATCATACAAAACATTCAAATACATCGGGAATCCAAAATAGTGAGAAATTCCGTGAAACCAAAATAATTACAGGTATGTGTACATGAAATGAAAAGCTACCATGTCCAGTCAACAAAAACTTACAGACTTGTGGATTTCCAATCTTCCTGGAAAATCAGAAGCTCTATGGATGTGTTATGTAATCACGCTGTAAAAACAATCCATAAATGTAGGCCCTTAAACAATGTGTGTGCAGTCGAGATGATTATAACAACGCATTATACAATACACAGTACATTATAGAATACACAGTACATTATACAATACACAATATAGAGCATGTCAAGGGTCGCACAAGAATAGAACCAAAGTTAGGCTTCTAACGATAATTTAAACATTGACAAACTTCAAAGGTTAACACTCACAAGGTTTAGAAAACCTAGCATACTCTTCCACGACGTCTGTCCAAACTGCAGAATAATGTGTAACTCATAAGGACATGTGGATGCAGAACAAAAGTTAAGAAACTCTAAGAACACTCATAATTTAGACGTTCTATTTACATAGTTGTCGAGACTGCGCGAACATGAAAAACACAGGCCCGCTGCCACAAGGTTCAGACAGGCCGGCGCATGCGCGATGCCCTTCTAAGCATGAGTATGGCACGCCTGTGTATGGAAGGCATACACAACAAAAAAGGCGTACAGCACACTCCCCACCGACGTCCAATAGACGTCAAATGACTTCACACCTACGAAGACAAAGGCATCTGGTTATCCAGATTCCACCAACAGAACCAACTCGTGCACTGGTCTGGCATACGTCTTTCCAGTTGATGGCAAACGGACATTCACCTTTCGAACCAATCCATCATCTCCAGGACTGACACCGTCAACAATACCCAGAGGCCACTGGTTTCTCCTGATGTCTTTATCTCTCAACAACACTACGTCCCCAACTGCAATGTTTCTCTCCAGGTTGATCCATTTACGCCTGTGCTGAAGACTCTGGAGGTAACGGAGCCTCCATTGTTTCCAAAACCGGTCGGCGAGAACTTGAACCATCTTCCACTGAGCCCTGTACATGTTGGAAGCGGAGTCTTCGACGATCACTTCATCGATACTTCCATGTTTCTGAGTCAGCAACATTGATGGGGTGAGGAAGGAAGTATCCTCTGGGTCGGAGGTCAACGGGACGAGAGGTCGAGCGTTGACTATGGCCATGACCTCTGTCATAAAAGTGACTAGTGTCTCGTGAGTAAGACTTTGATGTTTGGTTTCAAGCAGGATGCCGTTGAGAATCCTTTTGGTCACGCCGATCAGTCTTTCCCAAACTCCTCCCATATGAGGGGCATGGGGAGGATTCAGTTTCCATTGTGTGTCATTCTTCTCAAGGTAAGACTGAAAGAGCTTGTCGTTCATCACTCCTACAAAATTTGATCCTTGATCAGACCAAAACACTTCGACTTTGCCTCGCAAGGCTATGAAGCGTCGCAGGGCGTTAATGCATGATGAAGTGCTCATTTCCTCAATGACTTCGATGTGGACAGCTCTGGACGTGAGACATGAGAATATCATTCCCCATCTTTTGCTTTGAGCAGTCCCGCCTCGGGTTCTTCTGCTGACCACTTCCCAAGGCCCAAAACAGTCTATGCCAACCTGAGTGAAGGGAGGGCCGGGTTTGAGACGTTCTTCCGGGAGATCTGCCATGCGCTGTGATGCCAACTTCCCTCTGAGCCTTCGACAAACAACACAGTGGTGAATGACCGAGGACACCAATCTCTTGCAGCCTGTTATCCAGAAACCAGCCTCGCGCAAAGAACTCTCTGTTAACTGCCTACCAGGATGGCCAACACTGTGATAGTGTCGGACAAGAAGCCTAGCAATGTGACTCTTTCCAGGAATCAGTACCGGATGCTTCAATACCACTGGAAGGGAAGACTTCCTTAGGCGTCCACCAACGCAGATCAGCCCATCTTGGTTGAGCATTGGCGACAAGTCTAGGAGTGGACTGCCACGTGGTAAGGGTGTACCTTCTCGCAGGCAGATGAGTTCCTGATGATAGAACTGCTCTTGTACCATCCGCACCATCATTGTCTGGACATCACGTTTGAGTTTTACATCTTTGACATGACTCTGGGTTTGCTCATTCCTTGTGCTGAAGGACCTGGCCACGTGAACAAGCAGGCTGAAAGCTCTGATCAAGCTGGTCCACGTTGAAAACCTGTCGGCCCGTGAGACAAGATTTGCTGGTTCCAACTTGGTTTTAGTTACCTGGATTTTCACCTCGCGCCTTATTTCGATGTCGTCTTCAGGGTTTACCAGGGGGAACTCTGATGACGTGACCTCCGTTGGTATCGGCACCTGTTGTTGTGGACCTTCAAGCCACGAGGAGTGCTTTAAGCTCTGTGTAGCAATCGGACGTGTGCCACAGTCAGCAGGGTTCTTGCCTGAGGGCACATACATCCATTGGCAAGGCCGAGAGAAGTTGAGAACCTTATGAACTCGATTTGCGACGTATGTGTGGAACCGTCTGGTAGTATTGTTCAGATACCCAAGAACAATCTTGCTGTCTGTGTGATACTTCACACCTGAAGGCTGAATATCCATCTCCCTGCATATCACTTTGCTGATTTCCGTCGCCAGGACTGCAGCACAAAGCTCGAGTCTAGGTACAGTATGTCCTGCTTTAGGAGCCAGCTTTGATTTGCCGAAGACAAATCCCGACCTGGGTTCCTCTGCTCCTACCAAGTATGCAACCGCAGCAACCGCCACCTCAGAAGCATCACAGTAGATGTGCAGCACTCCATTATCAGGGTGAGCTGGGTAGGTACGGGGAACTGACAGGTACTGCAGCTCAGCTAACCCAGACTTCCAAGACTCCCAGACTACTCTATATTCATCTGGAAGGCTATCATCCCAACCAGCGTTGTGTGCAGTCATATCCCTGAACAAGACTCTTGCCTGTATCATGACTGGTGCGAGAAAACCAAGAGGATCGAACACCCCGTTGATGGTTGACAGAACACCCCGTCTCGTGTAGGGCCTTTCCTCCAGGTCCGTTTGAAACCTAAAGGTGTCATCACATATGTTCCACAGAACGCCCAAACTTCTCTGTGTGGGTACACCGTCGCTGAGCGTGAGGTTCCTTATGTCTTTCTGGACTTCCTCTGGCTCGAATGCATCGAGGACTTCTTGGGAGTTGGAAGCAATTTTGTGTAAACGAACACCAGCCTTCTCCATCAACATGGACCTGGTGCGCTTGATAAGCGAGATGGCTGTGTCACTGTCATCACATGACGCAAGTCCGTCATCCACGTAAAATTCATTGTTGATGAATTCTCGGACATCAGGTTCGGCATCTTTAGCCAGATCTCTCAAACCATACGTAGCTACCGCTGGTGAGGGTGTGTTGCCAAACACATGTTTACGCATACGGAACTCGATGAGAGGTTTGTTGAAATCATTGTTCTTGTGCCAGAAGAAGCGAAGAAAGTTCTGGTGTCTCTCCGACACAGAGAAACAGAAGAACATTGATTCAATGTCTCCACAAACTGCTACACGTCCCCGACGGAACCTCATGAGGACACCCACCAAGTCATTGGTGAGGTCAGGACCCTTCAACAGTACCTTGTTGAGAGAGTGGCCTAGGAACTCGGCTGAAGAATCAAAGACACCCCTGATCTTGTCTTTCTTTTTGGGGTGGTACACGCCGAAGAAAGGTAAGTACCAACACTCTTCGTCTGGTTGAAGAGGGGGCGCAACTTCCGCGTGGCCATGAGATATCACCCCTTCCATGAATGTCAGCATGTGCTCCCTCTTGGTGGGATCCCTCTCCATGCCTTTTCGAAGAATTTGGGCACGTTTGAAGGCTTGCTGTCTGTTATTAGGCAGTCGGTCTCTTGGTTGCTTGAAGGGTAATGGTGCTGTCCACTGTCCATCTTTCAGGCCTCCTTCCCTCTTCATCAGATCTACAAACTGCTTCTCTTGGATGGACAGGCTAACACCATCGGAGTCATTGTCAAATAGATGCTTCACTTGAAACTCATTCGGACAAGGCTCAAGAAAGGTAGGTCGTCCTGTGAAGAGCACTTGGGTACGCAATGATGAAATCTTGCTCCGATGATTGTCACCCTTGTGGATACCCTGCAGGCACACCTCGCCAACGATAACCCAGCCAAGCTTCAACTTCTGTGCGAACGGTGTATCAGGGGGTCCGATCCTTTGCTCCAGGACATGGTGTGCCTCCGAGACGTCTCTCCCTATCAACAGAGTTGCCGTGCAGTTGTTGTCGATTTCCGGTATGTTTACACCTTTCAGGTGATCATACACCTTGGTGACATCTGGCGTGGGGATCTCATCTTTGAAATCTGGGATGAGAGAACACTCGGTAACAGCAGGTAAGTCTACACTCACCGTGCCATGGATGTCCTCAACTACGAAATCATCTGCCCACCGGCCGTGCACAGCCTCTTCTCCGCTGCAGGTTCGCAGTGTGTAATTGACCTCTCCGTAGTCAATGTTGAACTTGTCCAGAAGTTTGTGTGTTGCTATGGTTTTGTTGCTTTGGTCATCGATGATGGCATAAGTCTTGACACAAGTGCCTTGGTCCCTCTTTGACTTCACTAGAACTGGGACGATTTTAGCACAGGACATCCCGGCCGAGCACATCGACCCCTGGACCTTGGAGCATGCACTGGTGATTTGCGGTTGAGCAGCATTAGTTGGCTTTTGCAACCTCTCCGTTGATTGGGTCTGGTGATCGTTGTGAAGAATGGACATGTGCTGGTCACTGCCACACGAGTCACACTTGACGTTTGCCTTGCACTCACGTGCAGAATGCTGCGGCATGCAGCATTTGAAGCAGAGATGATGATTCCTCAGAATGGCCCTCTTCTGTGGTTGGTTTTTGGAAAGAAAGGCTCGGCATTTCACGATGGAGTGAGCGGTCTTATGGATGGGACAGTGCTCTCCTCCGGCATTAGGTTGCTTGAGGTTCCCAACTTCAGTAGCCCTTACACTGACAGTCCTCTTGGTGGCATCGTGTTGCTTGGGGTCGTGAGGCGTTGTAAGGCTGGGATCATTACGTACTTTCGCCTGGTAACTCACAAATTCGCTGAACACCTTGAATGGTGGGAAAGTCACTTGGTGTTTGTCTTTGTAACGAGCGCCCTCCATCAGCCATTTCTCCTGAAGGTTGTACGGCAGCTTCTCCACTAAGGGGCGTAACCCTCTGCCAGAGTCGAGGTGTAGCAATCCTGGGCAGTTGTCCATGTCCTTGACATACTCAATTTCCATGAGTAAGTGGCTGTATTCAAGGAGCTTGGCACTGTCCCGATGAGAGATCTTTGGAAAGCCTTCGATTCGCTGTTGCAGATCTTGCTCGACGACCTCTGGGGTGCCGTACTTCCGATCTAACAGGTTCCACATCCTGCTGAGACCTACATCCGGGCGGTCGACATGGATCGAATGGATCGGTGTTACCAACTTGCAAGAATCTTTTCCTAGCCACTTGAGCATCAAGTCCATTTCTTGCGAGGGCTTTACTTTGATTTCTGCTGTAGCCTGTTTGAAAGATGCTTTCCAAGATTTGTAAGCACCTGGTTCGTCATTAAACATTCTTAAACCACTAGTTACTAACTCTTTTTTCATTAACATGTTGCTCACCTCAGAAATTACCTTTATTGAATCAAGATGCTGGGGTGAGGGGGCAGTAAGGGAATCATTAACCTGTGTATGTCCTTGACAATCTACAGTTTTACTTGCATTTTTACAAGAGGACAAGTACTGTTCTACTCGTTCTTTGTAGCCTCCGCTGGGAAGATTCAGGTCATCGCTCTTCCTTGAGGATCCGCCTACGTCTTGTCCGGTCTCGAGAACCGCAGCCTCCACTTCCGCCATAGCAGCATCCCTTTCTGCGTTGAGTAGAAGGAGGGCAGCTTCCTGTGTCGCATTCTGTTTTCTAAGCTCGGCCTCCTTGCGAGCAAACTCCAACCTCACCTTGGCCGCCTCAGCCTTGGCGCGAGCCTTCAGTGAAGCAGAGTTACAGGATGATAGTGCACTGGCACTAGACCGTTTTGAAATCAGGCTGGGGGCTTTATCCTGTGGGGCTGAGTGAGAGTTTCCATTTTCAGATAACAATGGCATTTCCAAAGAGTTTTCCTCTTTGAAGTCCGGTTGGCTTGGCTTTTCGGACTTGATTGACATGATGAATTCAGAAGTCCTCCAGGAGACACGTTGAGTCGACGACTGGGTGACGTAAGTCTTTTTACTATACTGGCCTCGAAGCAAAACGAGAAAGCCCCTATCCAGTAGTTTAACCACACGGCACTAAGAAGTAAACTGGAAGACACTTGAGAAGAAATTACTCATCTTTAATCCAGAACTACTCCCTTGCCTAGATACGGTAAAACTGTAAGAAAAATACAAAAAACTTGTATCGGTTATGCATGTCTACATGGTACATGTACATATATGTGAAAAAGTAAGCATTCAATAAAGACCTAACACAGTTTAAGAAAAAGACAGATACATCCTCATGTGATCATACAAAACATTCAAATACATCGGGAATCCAAAATAGTGAGAAATTCCGTGAAACCAAAATAATTACAGGTATGTGTACATGAAATGAAAAGCTACCATGTCCAGTCAACAAAAACTTACAGACTTGTGGATTTCCAATCTTCCTGGAAAATCAGAAGCTCTATGGATGTGTTATGTAATCACGCTGTAAAAACAATCCATAAATGTAGGCCCTTAAACAATGTGTGTGCAGTCGAGATGATTATAACAACGCATTATACAATACACAGTACATTATAGAATACACAGTACATTATACAATACACAATATAGAGCATGTCAAGGGTCGCACAAGAATAGAACCAAAGTTAGGCTTCTAACGATAATTTAAACATTGACAAACTTCAAAGGTTAACACTCACAAGGTTTAGAAAACCTAGCATACTCTTCCACGACGTCTGTCCAAACTGCAGAATAATGTGTAACTCATAAGGACATGTGGATGCAGAACAAAAGTTAAGAAACTCTAAGAACACTCATAATTTAGACGTTCTATTTACATAGTTGTCGAGACTGCGCGAACATGAAAAACACAGGCCCGCTGCCACAAGGTTCAGACAGGCCGGCGCATGCGCGATGCCCTTCTAAGCATGAGTATGGCACGCCTGTGTATGGAAGGCATACACAACAAAAAAGGCGTACAGCACAGGTCTTAATTTTGAATCTGATGATCTGAATCTTATGATGACGTCATTTTATAGACCTTTGGAGAATGTTGTTAGCTACATTTTGATACCCCGTTTGCTACCAAAGACTGTAAATTGTCCAAGATTGACAACATTTATGAAAAAAATGACACAGTTTGAAAAGTTGCAAATTTATAGAATACGCAAGGAGAAATTGCTGAGCGACACCACACATGCCCGTAATCGGTCCCTATCAACTGCACGGTGCCCGAACAAAGCATGGGTCATTCAATTTCAAATGCGGTGTAGCATTGTCATGCAACAAATTCTATTCATGTACTCTTTAAATTTGCACCTTTTCAAACTGCATCAATTTTCATAAACTGTTGCCAATGTTGGACGATTTTTGGGGTAGCAAACGGGTATCAAAAGTAGCCAACAACATTCCCCAAAGGTCTATATATTTGACTTCATCATAAGACGATCAGATTCAAAATTATAACCCCTCCAATGAGTGTGGACTTTCTTTCTTTTTTTGCAATGTTTATAAACTTTAATTCATTCAAATGAAATGACCTAATTATAGGCCAAATGATTGACCTTGGAAAGCAATGGATGTGCCTCAGAAGATATATGCATTTACTGATCTCTGATTTATATTTCTTCCAATAATTTGTACAAAATGTGAAATACATGTGCATGCGATGAATAAAGAGTAAATGGTTGACGCAGTCAGGAAGCGAAAAAACAATTGTAACATCTTCCATTCTTCCAAGTTGATTTTACAGAATTCGAAAAAAATACTATCCTTAAATGTTACCCCACCTTAAGCCATTAATTTATGCGTTCTGATTTTTCTATTCACAGGGCACCCGTCAGCTTGAGTCAGTTTGTGATTGGACGTATTTTAAACCATCTACAATGTTATTGGCTCCTTTTCCGAGTTCATCATTTGACATCTGACCTCCACTCATAGACTCTTTACCAGCCTCAATTTCACATGGTGAGCGGCTGGACTCTATATGCCTAGACTCTTCTCCAGTCCCTCTGTCAAATACAGTTGCATCCAGTCCAGTAGCCACTTCTCGTGATTGGCTGTTGTGAGTTACATCCTTGTTAGTCTCGCCTCCAGCAGTCGGTTTTAATTCCTGTGTGGTCTTGTCTTCAGTCTGCTGTTTGTGATGTAACGGTCTAGACACATCCAGAAGACCCATTACGTGCAGGCACACTTTTGTCGCGCCCTGCTTGGCAAAAGTTTTGCTGATCTCCCTAAGAAAGAAAGAGACAAATAGACAAACGTAAAAAAAAAAAAAAATGATAAAACAACAGACTACTTTTGGTCAAGCCAATTCTGTGCAAATGACTGGAATTCAAATACTTGAAAGTAAAGATTAGCATATATTTCGTGTATTTGAAAAGTTTATTTCACAGTCGTAAATGTTTGCCTACCATCAGAATAAGTTATAATTTTTGAGGTAAATTTTGTGGTACTTGCATAACACTGCACAATCAACAGCTGCTTCCTCTAAAAAAAAATTGCAACATCTGCCAACCACAGTTGAATTATTTTGCTGATGGTTGTCCATACGAAATGGCCCTTATGGGCCCAACACTCGCCTTTATTACAACAAAACCGCTTAATTTCTGTTGAAGATTTTCAATGTCATACCAACATATATTAAAATAGTATCTTAGGAACACGGTTTAAGTGAACAAGCACAAACCGTGTTTCTGTCACATTTATGCATTATTTCTTACAAACCATTGTGTCGAAGTGTACTTCTTTCCATCAATCGTCAAAATCGCTCGGTAGTTTTTCTCGGATTCATCCACCTCCTGCAACAATTACAAAAAAGTGAACAAAAAAAGGTGAAAGTTCGTCCAGGGGCCAATTTCATGACGCTGCTTTAATAATAACCAACCATCCTACAGATGTAGTCGATTGATTACTTACTTTAATAGGCACTCCTTTTGCATACATGTGTTACTCTTTGTGTAAAACATTCTTGGGGCGACAATTTACTTGTAGCTGTGCTTCTTGAGTTAAATTATGCCTTGAGTTACATAATCACATAGTTTGCAGTAAAGAAATTCCCAGTGTTTAGTGAGCCCTTTTAGGGCGCGCCCCATATATAAAGATTCACATGCAGTCATGGGCTCATTCCTCCACCAACCACCGTGGTATGATGGCACTCCCTTCCTCTTCATCATTCTCTCCGTTTAATTACGTCCTGAATTTCTTATGGAAATTGTCATTTGCTGGAATCACAACTCATCTTTTGGAGCCTGATAATTCACCCAACTGCCAAATTTCGGTGAGTGTAGAAAATTGTCGATATTTAGAAGTGTTCACACAGCAAAACTTTCGATGTGCCAATTATTTTGTTTGATGAAATGTAGAACTTTCTGGTAGCTATATCTTCATGTAATCATATGTACTTGTTGCACTTTACATGTGGATTGTATTTTGGGTGTAAAGCTGTATATTTGATTCGAGTCAAATTGGAAGATTTTCCGTCTCTCAACCCAGCCATTTTGTTTGGCAGCCTTTTTAAAAAATGTATATTGCGTGTTGAGCTATCAAATGGGGAAGAATTCCATTTATGGACATCACTAAATTTCCCTGCAATGACCTATCATCCATCAGAAAGTGATAACATGTCCTAAAAAGTCAAATTAGCAGGGAAAATATTGAAGCATTTACTGAGAAAACACTTGGAATTTTTCAGATCAGTCTCATAGGATCTCTGCACAGGGTGTCTAGTGATGTCCAGGTGTGGAACTCTTTCCATTAGAGATTTCGGCAAAACATAGTTGTGCGTGTACCACCATCTTTGGAAAGAATGTAGCATCCTGACGCTACTTCTTTGGTTGTGTATAAAGTCTATGGAGAGTTGAGTTCATATTCTAACAAAGTATTTTCTAACAAAATCGGAAATGTTTCTCAGTCCCAGATTCATGTCTTTTCAACATTTCTGCATTGACTGACCGTCATTGAGATAATATATGAAGAAAAAAGTGGCGTCAAGATGCAACATTCTTTCCCCATCTTTTTACACAGCTAGAGCCAATGTACCCACGGGCGCACTATCACCATGCGATAGTTCCAGGTTGCATAGTAAAGCACATGCGTAGTAGACTATTCCACGGGCAACCCATGCAATACTTGACTGCGAATGCGTATTTACCCTTTGCATGGGTAGGCCGTCACCGCGTTATGGGGAAGTTTTTTATTGTAAGGCAAATTAGGACCGAGTTATGGGGACTTTCTGCTGTCCCTACAGTGTTTTTGGTCCCCACAAATACCTCGTACAGACGAGTGTATGTCCCCACAACTACGGAACAAGACGTGATGAACCCTCGCGTGTGCACTTGGTAAACGGCAAAACTAGCGGCTGACCCGTAATGGTGAATGGACCAGTGAGAGTTCAGTTCCTCGCTCATGAATATGTATGAGGTATGGTAATATGCATTGCGGTCCTGTTGCTACTAGTTTGGAGGACATACTATAAATGCGCAGATGCATTTTATACAAAATATCTGTGGTGCTGAGAGTTTTATTAAACAGTTCAGAAAAAAAATTGCACAAGCCTGATTCTTGATCATCTTACCAATGTAAACTGAGGTCTAGGCAGTTGGTTATGGCAGACAAGCCTGTTCAAAATGTCCATGGGTGTCTGCGTTGTGAGATAGTCTTTCCTGGAGAAAAGAAGAAGAATATCAAGATTACAGATGATATGATGTCAAGTGATATTGTATATGAAAACCTCTAAAAGTGTATTCCCATTGTAAAATATATGCATCGATCAGTGGCCTCTCAGGATTTGGCTTTGGGGGACTCGCAATTTTTTTTTCAATTTTTTTTTAGATCTTCACATTTTTTTGGTAAAAATGTTGCCCAAAGTTGTTGGCTGCAGAAACAAAATTGGGTTATTTTAATTTTGGTTTTTTTTGGGGACGGACTATTTTTACATTGGTGGCGCCATTTACACCCCGATTATACTACTCGAACATAGGCCACATACTTATCACCATGGTCAAATCGTGGGACTTAAAACACGTCCCATAAGGTTTGTACACGAAAACCTTCCGAGGACTTGGCTCAGGTCATTGTTATTGCAGGCAACAATTGCCCCAAGCCCTCAGATGTAAAGGGTATCAAGATCAACGAGCTCACCTGAAATATTTCACCTTCATTTCAAAGAGCTCCGTTCCATCTTCAAGTCTCCGTTTCTTGAATCCAAAGGCGTTTTCCTTCCTCTCTCTGGCGAGTCTGTGGAGTTCGTTGACCTTGTCGTAGTACCCTTCCATTCCCCAAATTTTGCTGTTAGATGTGAAACAAAATGTTATGAATTAAATTTGACAAGAATTCAGGGTGATTCTGTTAAGATTATAAGCTTATAAAATGTACGATGCATTTGAGGGAAATTGTGATTTCGTACCAACTAAATTGGGTTTTGCCCTTCTATATTCATACTGAAGTTGCAAGATTTACTATTTGTAGGTTAAAGGTGCTAAATTGCTTTAATAAATGCGACATTTCTGTTCTGTTCTACTCTGTCCTCTACTTGGTATTCTGTTTAACAAATGCAAGTTTCGGCCTGCGCTCTTATTGAGGTAGTCGGATATCAGGTGCCATGGACAAAATGAAAAAGCAGCACTGTTTTCAATTGGCCATAACTCAATAAAAAAAAATTTCTTTGGAAAGATTGTTGTCCTCATTGAAAAGCTAATGAATTATACTTGTCAAATGTGTATCAATACTTGCAATGTAATTTATTACAAGCTGAGAAAGAAGAGCGCTTTGAGGGTTCGGTGTTTTGTGGGGACACCTGTAGGAAGTCCCCCAAAGCCTACAATCCTGGCCAAATCTCGCTGGGCCCCCAAGCCCCCAGCCCCCGTTCAATGTTGTCTCTCATTGCGCGGCGTGTGCTCAATCAGCTGGAGAGAACAACATTGGCCGGGGGAGCGGGGGAGCGGGGGAGTGGGTGACCGTGGCAGGCTCAGGAAGTGTCCCAACCATTTTGGCCAGGATTGTAGCCTCCACTTCAGAACACTCACCACACTTCGGCCATGTTCTTGGTTTTCAGTACAGCCAGGTGGCTGCTTAGCTCCTCGTTCCCGTGGAGGAGTTGTAAGACACAGAACTTGCTGTTTGCATGGGGGTTCTCATAGTCCACTGCCTGCATAATATCAATACGCATACGAAAGGGGAACCAAAATTTAGAAAAAGCAACCGTTTTTAAACTGATATGTTATTTTTCCTGGTCCCCAGGACCAGCCTACTGTCATCTTAATGTGCACCTATCTCACTGACTGACTGACTGACTGACTGACTGTACACTTGTGAGCTGGGCAGTGCTATCTAATATGGGATTACACCTTAATGACAATGAAGGGGCTAAATCTAGCCCATAGCTGTGCACAAGTACTCCTTCAACGGCCAGAAAAGGAGAGTTGGGGGTGACCTAGACTGGTTCCCGGCCCATCCACTGCGTATTTCGAATGATACAAAGTTAAAGGGGGCAGGGATTAGTCTGGGAGACCATCGCAAGTTAAATTCAAGGACGCTATGGCTTAGCTTTGTGCACATTCAGGACAAATAAGTCCTGCGTACTCCGCGCGCGAACCAGTACAGGACGCACACGCGGTGTCCCTTCCAAGGAGCTCTCAAAAGTGGTAAAAACGTGCCCTCTTTTGTTGGTGCACAGAGCCCATAGTTGTTATAAACTAAAGAAAATTAGTCTCACAATCAGTGACATATGTCATACAATATTGTTATATTATGCTGCCCTTTCAATTCCGCCTGAGGGCTGGAAGAGTGGCTTAAATAAACTAGAAATAAGTCAACTCCTCACAAGTCCATCACAAGCCCATCACAAGCCAGTGTTGTAGTCTCGAGACCGATCTTGAGACCACTTTTTGCTGGTCTCGGTCTTGGCCTCGGGAGCTGTGGTCTCGGTCTTGGTCTCGGTCTCGGTCCCCTTTGGTCTCAGTACTTTGGCAGGTCTCGAGTTGAGACCGGCAATATGTAGCATTTACAGCTCGATCGATTACTTTGTGTTCGCTTCGTTCAGTACTGTTGACAGTTAAAACATGTTGTCAACCTTGTTAACAAATCTTTATATATCGTGGTTGGTTCGGACTGCACGTGAAAGTACTTCTTGCTCAAGTGAGGTGTCATGTACATTTTTCAACACTGCCACTGGTCAAAATTTTGTCTGTAATCTTCGTGAATAAAAAGGTTACAACTTACAACTGTAATTATGTGTCTTGTTTTGTATTTAGGTTATTGTTATATATTCTCGGCGGTCTCGGTCCATATCGGTCTCGGTCCGCCTTGAAGGGACTGGTCTCGGTCTCGGTCTCGAAACTTCATGTCTTGGTCTTGGTCTCTGTCTCGGACTACTCGGTCTCGACTAAAACACTGTCACAAGCCATCCAGTCCAAAGTCAAGTACGAGCTATTCCAATGAATTTTGACCCCTGCATTTCTTTTTTTTTTTTTTTTTTCTCCTCTGTTACTTGTGAATAGACCTGTGATGGACTCGACTACAACATTACTTTCATAATGCTCACATATTTCAAGTAGCCCTTGATGACATCATCGTGAGGTAGTTTGCCTTGTCTCCTGAAGATGGAGGTGTTCCATTGTGCTTCCCTGGCGATCATGACCGAAGACGCTTGCGTCTGCTGGCGGAAACGCTCGATATCCTCGTATGTTGTGATGTGCTCTTTGGAACCTCCACTGTACAGACCATGGAAAATAGAAAAAAAAAGACTTTTAAGTTGGAGTTACAGCATTTGCCCCCCAAAAACTTACGAAAATGTATTGTGCAAATTGGACCATCCTGTTTGTAAATCAAACAGTGTACATTGACCAATTAGAACATGACTTTTTCAGAACTCTGTTCTTAAATCTGCCGACTTACTTTGCAATGACAGGGATGGATACAGCGTTGGCCACGGCCTTGATGGCTTCACAGTTCACCGCATGCTGGGGCCTCTCCACTTTCGTCCGCCCGTGTACGGCCAAGGCAGCCACCCCCGTGCTCTCAATGGTACGCGCCAAGGCTAAGGTGTCCTCCATCTAAGAATCACAAAACAACACGTATTGCATCAGTTAGCCATTTCTCAAACCACGGAGAAACTTTGAGGTAAAATTGATGAAAGACTTCATACCACTCTTCGTTCTGAGTGGGCACCGAATCGGAAAAACTTACCGAGGGTAAAAGCCTGACCTTACACGTGACTGGTTTGGAGATGCCTTGAACTAAAGTCGTCAAAATCTGTATGTGAAAAAAAAAAAAAATGATTAATACAAAATGTAATGCTTGTATGTGAATATTTTTTACATTGGTAGGGACACAAGATCTTCCATGGGGGGACCCATTTTGTCCAGCCCCATATTTGCTTTTGAAAACAATTTGTTTTGGTGAACCTTATATACCGAAAAAAAATCTTAAAGTTTGTAATAATATCACAGAAATTTCTAAACCTTTTCGTTCGTTCATAATGGTTTCACAGCTACTACCTCCACATTAAAGATATAGTCCATCATTTGTAATTTGTGCATTTTGTTCGTTTGAAGCAACAAAAGTGTTCAAAATCTAATGAAGGATACTGAACAACTAACCCGATGAAGTTTCAGCTCAGCTTCAGCTGTATATTCTGAGAAAAACAGCATTCTAGGATCTCAATTTCAAATCGAAAGTTGCTGAATCATGTTTGGAATTGGGCCTGAATCCAGCATCCGAGACGCGTTCTCACTGAGCCGATTGCAGCTATATGCGATGTCGCGCACTGATCTGACGAATTATAGCAACCGCGCGTGCGTGCATCGTGCCAATGCTTGCGCGCGCTTCGCCGAATAACAAAACGAACTACTAATTTAAATTTTCCTACGGTGCGTCTTAAGACGCACCGTTGGAAAGGCCTTCTTTCGTTGATTACTCAAAATGACAGCTTGCCAGAAAGAATCATTTCACAGGGAGTTTAGTCCCCTTACTATCTTTCAACCAAGTATGTTTTTCAACAATAATTACGCCAGTTACTTTTCGGATGGCTGCAAATGATGGACTATAGCTTTAAGTCGTGAAGCATGGATCAAATGCAAGAAGAAAAACAAGCAAGAAAAAAAAAAGTTTTTTTTTTTCTAAAGCCCTAACTGGCTCTCTGGATTCTCAGAAACTGTGACTCACCTTGAGAATTTTGTCAGGCTCGGTAAGCAAGGCTGCTCCCATGCCACCCTTGGTGGAATATTCCTTAGGACACCCCATGTTAATATCAATGCCGGCTACGTCATTCTCTCTGTACGAGGATAAAAGAAATTATCTATCGTGTCTGAATCACAACAATGAGCCAAATTAATCTGCCTAAAGTCTTAAGATAAAAACATTTTGTGGTTCAGAGCATAAGAAGAGGTGAATGAAACAAGTCCATCCGGAATCTAATGAAGTGTTTTTCAAGGGCCTAAATGAAAAAAAAAAATGAAGAGCATCTTTTATTGCAAAAACCTAAGGAAGTTGTAGATTGAGGTGTTTGTTAAATTGCTGTGAGACTCCACATTATTTGGACATGGTACTTTGTTGATATTACACCTCAAACTATAGCAGCGTACAATAGTCAGGATAGTTCAACTGTTACTGGGACAATACATAACAACATCAGCGCAAAATAATTTAGCAAAACTTACAAGACCTAATTTTGAATCAATGGTTCTACGAGTATTTTCAGCCTAGACTACTGTAATTTTCAAACGTAGGTCCAACTTGGACGATCTGCTATGTTTCACTTAGTACTCTGAGTAGTTTCAAGACAAGCTTTAACTAAAGAAAAATTTGACAAGAGGTTTGTTGGGAAACTCACAAAAGTTTAGCAACTCTGAGAGCTCTGTCTGGGTCGGACGTTCCCATCTGGAAGACGACTTTATCTCTCTCCTTGTCGCAAGTTCTGAAGGCCACTTTTCCATTTCTTGTCACATAGTCGACTGTTCCTAAAATATCTGCGGTTCAAGAAAGACACGAATGAAGAAGAGATGATTAAATAAGTTAGAAAATCATTTTAAACACCTGGAATATAAAAACACTGATATAATTGTATGGTTTACTGGTATTGAGGTATGAATTGTAGTAACTTTCTGTTATGCGGGCATTCACACTCGCTACACAAAATATAATCAATTCTTAGATTTGGATTAAAAATTCAAACTTTGCCCAATTGATCGACGATAAAACTCACACGAAGCATTTCCCACATTTGGGGGGAAAAACAAACAAAAAGAAAAACTGTTGATCCCTCAATAAAATTTCTCATTGTTCGAATATGGGCGATTCACAATGCAGTGTGCCACTAAGAGTTTGCCATTTTTCAAGTTTACGGTCGACAAAACATGGCCCATTTGAATGAGTGTCGGTACACAACTTGAGCTTATTTGTTATAGATTGGGGCATAGGGTTCTGCCACCTTCCCCAAAAAACAACGTACTGATAAAAAGAAAAGAAAAGGAAAACAAAAGGGCAAACAGATACTCGAATCATACACTTACAAAACTACTGATCGGAAAAATGAACAATTTCAAATGTCCCGCGCTGCAAATTTGTCAACCATATCCCACAATGCACTGGGGAAAATGAACTTTCCATTGCAAACTCTTAATGGCGCACTGCATGGTGAATCGCCCGAATTGTGGCTCTTACCGTTTTCAATTCTTTCGCACTGCAACATTTTGTGGTCAATTATCTCCTGTGTTGGAATATAAGAAAGAACTATGGTTAAAGTTTGTTTTTAAAAGCCAAATACATCAATATGTCCCACATTAACAATGGGGGGGGGGGGCCAAGTCTTCCACTCCAAAACTGCATTTTGTTTGGCCTAAAATAATTCAAAAGTTGTACATTAATTATTTCATGCACAATTTTTCTCATTCAAAAGTGAAATACTTTTTATTTCTAGAAAAGCTGCAATTTAAAAACTGGAAAATAAGTGAAACTCGAAAATAGGACAGTACGCCAACATCTTGAAAAGAATCCAAGATGGGAAGAACTTTTTTTTCTTATTCGTAACTTCCTAGCGAGATACAATCTTCAGTTTTTTTCATTTTACCTCACAATACACAATATCAGCTCCGTAGTCCAAAGCTAGCAGTCTCGTTGGCAATGTGCCAACCCGCACCATTGGCGCAAGAATGACCTTATTTGCATATGTTAATCTGTTGCCCATGGCTCCTCCCCCTGATTCTGTATCCTCGGCATTGGACATGTCTCTCCTGCAACTTGAAAAACGAAAAAAGTTTTCATTTTCCATATGAATGTTGTTATGATATTTTGCTAACAGAAAATTCCAATATGGTGAGACGCGAAATCTAGTGTTACTGGAGTCTATGACAATATATCAATCCCAACGGGAAATAGGTATCAGGGACGGATATGAATACAGTCGTTTTCCTGGATGTCGGACAACTCGACCGTTTGCCACCCTCAACTCGGGACAATCCCCAACGAATCCTCCCCAACCATGCCAACCCTGTTCCAAAACATTACAAAATTTCGACTGAGCCCCACCATTGCACCAACCCAGGATCACCGTTCACGCCCGCTACGCGCAGAATGTACCAGCCACGAATGCCTCGCCCACCAAAATTAATGGAAAGAATGTTGCAACCTGACGCCACTGCAGCGGTTGTGTACAAAGTCTACGAAAGAACTGACTAAGGAAGAGTCAAGAACATTTTCTAAGTATTTCCTAACAAAGTTGAAAATGTTTCTCAGTCCCAGATTCATGCCTTATCATCATTTTTGCAAAGACTGACCTTCATTGAGATGATAATATGAAGAAAAAAGCAGCGTCAGGTTGCAACATTCTTTCCAAATTAATTTGTGAGTTGACTCAACGGACAACTTGTCTCAACGGACTCCTTGTCATGCTCGTCTCAACGGACGACTTGTAGGCTTATGATATTGACATAGGCGTCACCAGGATTTTTTTTGACTTCGCGCCTCATTTTCTTAAATTCTTTTCTTTTTTTCTCTTTTTATTTCTTCTTTTTTTTTCTTTTCTTTTTTGCTTCTTTTTTTGCTTTTTTTGCGCCTCCCCCCCCCCTCCCCTCGGCCTCGCGACGCCCATGAATCGAATATTGAGCACAGCCACAGAAGACTCGAGTTGTCAGTGTCACACTGGCGGCTATCTATGGCATGACTGGTGGAGTTGTCATGTTGTTGTCCTACCTGGGTCGAGTTGGCAAACGCTCGAGTTGTTTGAGTTCCTTTTTCCTGGTACCGGATCGCGAACATTATTCAGTCTGATTTTGGCTCAACTAATTTACGAATTCAAGTAAAATTGGTTTAATACTTTACCTTGACTTGAGTGCGGCCGGCTTGATCACTCTACATGAGAGCATGAGAGAAACAACTTGTTGAAAATACGTAGTTAAAGCGCCCTCAGTCGTTGACAGCCGACGGTGCAGCTACAGACGACAGAGTGGAGATTGCACCTGATCTCGGTAAGCGAAATTCTCGTAAATTTCACTTTTTGGCATAATATATCGGGGATTTAAACCAATCATAGAGGTATTAACCATGTCAAGATAATACATGTGAAATACTGGGTCAACAATTTTGTGACGGGAGGGTTATAGGGAGTTATAAAAAAAAGTAAGCAAATTGTAGGCCAAAACAAAAAATAGTTCTGCTTCCGGGGCCGAGTACATGGAGTAGGGTGCCTTTCAAAAATAGGGTAGGTAGGCCTAGGTCGAAATTTTTTTGCGCCAATATTATTTTTGTGCTGAATGAATGGGGCGTTCAATTAGGCCGAGTAAAAAAAAAAAAATAGTTTCTCGTCCAGGGTTTTTGAAAAAAGGGAGGAAGCGGGGCTTTTTATTTTTTATTAAGATGACCGCCTTTTCAAAATTTCCTGCAACCGTTGGTGTTCCACTGTTCAAAGACACTTTTAAAGATGAAAGACAAGTTGGACAAGAGAACTGAACATATTTACAGTGTCATTTAGAGTTGTATTGGTATTGGTATTTATTTTCCGATGAATTTGTAGACTTTTTCGGTGTTTTTCTACTACATTTTTCAAAAATAAAAAATAATAAAAAAATCCAGGCGGCCTCCAAAAAGGAAGCGGGCGGGGACGAGAAACTTGGGTTTTTTTTTACTTCGCCTTATATGCAAATTTCAGCCGGGACTGTCTCCATTTACGCTACGAAGCTATAAGAAAAAAAAGAGTTTCGTGCATTGCGTCACATTTTAATTTTAGCGATATCATTATTACTAATTTTCCGAATTCATTGATTTTTTTTTTGCACATTAACAAAAAAATATCAACTACACGTTCCAAATAAAAACATAAACAACACATTCCCCAAAAATAAACTAGTTGATTTGTTTATATATATTTTTTTTAGAAGCTGGGTAGTTGAAAGATGGCGCCGCCCAGGAAGAACAAGTACAGTGTCCTTCTGCCGACATATAATGAACGAGAAAACCTCCCTTTGATTGTTTGGTTGCTCGTTAAATCGTTTACAGAAAGGTACAAATGTTGTCATTTTTTTTTACTTTTTCATTAATTGTGCATAAATGTGGCAATCGCTAGTTCAAAGCTGCTCTGGCCTGTCATGGCTGTACCTAGTAGAACTATGGTGCACTGCGTAGCGCCATAGACGAATCACCAATGAATTTGTTGGCTACTTCGAAACGACTACTAAGTACAAAAATTTTCATCAAAATGTAGTCTATTGCCAGAAAACTGCTGCACAGTTTTCCCTAAACTCCGTATGGTATTTCTTGACATACTCACGTACAATGCACCCCAACATCCCGGTTGGATTCTGTCCTGAAGTTTGCAAAAAAATGATGAAAAAAATCTGCGTTCTGTACTGAGCAATGTTGGAAATTTATGCAAAAATTCCACTTGAAAATGACAGCACAGCAGGTGCCGTGATTTCACAGGATGCTTGAGACTATTATTCAGTTGCAGTCGAGTTAGGTATGTCATAAACATTTGGAAGTTGTGTTTTATGATGTTTGAAAATGTTGTATTTTACCTTGAATGTTTCCAGTTACTTGGATAAGTTACATAATTATTTGTTGTTTTCTTCTGAATAAAGTAACCATGACTATGAGATTATTGTGATCGACGATGGAAGCCCAGACGGTACTCTAGAGGTTGGGAAGCAACTAGAAAAAATCTACGGCAAGGATAAAATTGTAAGTGGATATAATAAAATCCTAGGAAAGAATGTTACAACCTGTCGCTACTTCTGCGGTTGTGTACAAAGTCTATGGAGAGTCAAGATTTTTTTTAAAGTATTTCCTAACAAAATTGGAAATGTTTCTCAGTCCCAGATTCATATCTTATCATCATTTTTGCAATTACTGACCTTCATTGAGATGATATATGAACTAGAAGAACATATTAAAACATAACAAAGAGTGCAAACTTAGCCTTTCAAAATGCCAAAAGAATGGTGCTCAAAACTGCAATATACTTGATTAAGAATTAGAAATATACAGACCCTTTGGCAATGGACAATGATGGAACTTGTTAGTTACTCTGTACCACTTTTTAACCAGATGAACTGTTGCATGCAATTAAGGCAAGTTTTAGTCAGAGACGTGTCATTTTAACTCTAAAGCCCGCGAAAAATTTACGCGAAATCATGAATCTGTGACATCAACAATACGTTCGAGGCGCATCCACCGTTGTTGACTGTATGAATTTTGCTTTGGCTTGAAGTATGAACTAGCCTCAAGTCCTTTTAACTCTCGAGTCATTTTAACTTCTAGTTTCTGGTTTTGGCACTCTGTTTTATCTGCCATTTACATTCATAATATGAAAGATGTATCTTGCGATAAGATTGCAGATTTTCGTCCACAAAAGAGAGGAGTTGTCTAACATTTCTTAATTTGTGTTTCATTTTTTTTCTGCCAGGTATTGAGACCAAGAGCCAAAAAGCTTGGATTAGGTAAGTAAAATGTTGCTCACAATTTAAAAGAGTACAAAACTAATGCAAGATCAAAAAGATTTGTGGAACAAGTCTGTTCTGCCCCCCCCCCCCCAAAAAAAAAGGCTGCTGATCTGTAAACCAGAGATGGGGTGAAGAATACTTTTTCAAATGATGCTGAAGTCAACTCATTTCCTTTTGTTAAACGTAAATAGAAAAAAGGGGTCAAAAGAGCTCCCCTATTGTCAAAAAAAGTCCACTAACCCCCTCCCCTTTGAAAATTTGGTTCTTGATCCACCAGTAAAAACAAGGACCAAATAATAAAAAAGAATGAATGGAAAAATCAGACTAATGTACAATGATGTATGGAAGGTAAACTTTTGAAAGTAAATTTTTGATGCCAACCCTATAAAATAGATGATTGTGAATGGGCCCCGCTCAAAACCGTGTTGATACGTGTATGGCATCAACTAAAGAATGCTTAAGAAAACCACATTTTCTACCCAAAAATACTGTTCAAAATTACAGAAAAAGGGTCAATAGATTTCAAAGAAGGCTGCTTATGGCTGCAGAAGTCATTTTGGAATGATAAAAAGCATTCTAAGGACTAAAAAGAAAGTGGGCCCATATATTACAGAAAACAGTCCACCCTGGTGCCAGAATCCCAACATTGTAACTTTTAGCATTGATGATACTCTGTATGAATTTCGTCTTCAGGTACTGCTTACATACACGGTATCAAGCATGCTACAGGCAACTTCATCTTCATCATGGATGCAGACCTGTCACATCATGTGAGTAAATATCTTGACTGCTTATAGTGGTATAGTAAAACTATAACCTCCCAAGGTGATCAGTGGAGCATTCTATTCACCAATCTAGAAGTAAACTATTTGTTACAAAATATTGGTATAGTTCAGTGTTTATTAACCCTCCAAAATCTTTTTTTTTTTGCAAAATGGAGGATTTTGCAGGATTGTGGCTACATGGCAAAAGTTTGTTGCTGATTTCGGAGGATGCACTGTGTCAAGGTCTTGGGCCGGACCTTGTGTTGTTTATGCTCAGCAGTGCATAAATGTAGGCCTAGATTGTACTTGAAATCCTCCGCACTGCTTTAGGATGTCACTAGCTCTGCCTCGACATATTGACAGTGATTGCTGGAGGATTTTGCAGGATTGAAGCAGTGGTCATTCCTCCAATGACCAGATTCAAGAAATAAGAGTATTTTGCAGGATTGAGGCTGTTTGCCATTTTTACTAGGAGGCAGTTGGAGGATTTTTCCTGATTGAGGTAACATCCTAGCAAAAATGCCTAGGGATTTAGGGTTAAGGTGTACTGTTATGCTTAATCTTTGCACAACGTTAAGATTGATGAAGTGATATTTGGTTGTTGTCTCTGTTCTTCTCTTGCAGCCGAAATTCATCCCTGAATTCATAAAGTGAGTATTTTCACAGATGTTTATTTCAAGATTGATCAGTTACTACATTTTTTCAGGTCATTTGATAAATTTCTGTGATTTGAACTTGTAACAAAACTCTTTTATTGAAATAAAATTTCTTCTTTAACCTTTAAGATTTGGTCACCTGATTCATAGTTAATGTAAAAACAAAGAACTGCACAAGATATATATCCATCATATTTAGCCACAGCGCAAACCCATCAAATTTATGTTGAAATTTTATATCAAAATGTAGAAAACAGCAAGAGGAAGATTACGATGTTGTATCGGGAACTCGCTACGCCGGCTCAGGAGGCGTTTACGGATGGGATTTTAAGAGAAAACTTATAAGGTAAGGAATGGTTTGCCAAAAGATCTAAAAAAATGAACGCTTATCGTGTTTATTTCCAGCGCATAATTTTGACCCTTGAATTTTTGTCCGATTTTTTTTTATAAATTTGAAAAGGCTTGATGCTTAGTTTTAGCAGGAAAAAAAAGAAAAGCTACAAAAAATTTTGGCAACCAGTTTAATAGGTATGCATGGTGTCCTTGGATTTTACATTTAAATTTTGGAAACGTAAAAACTTTGTGTTATGTGAAAAAAAAACAGTCACCACAGTTTTTTTTTCTGTAATACCATCATTCGCTAAAGTGTGACTTGATGATACAGTGCATCCTTCCAACCTGTCAATCAAACCGTGCATTGACCAATCAAATCACGATTATTGGTCAGGTGATCATGGTAGCTGATAGAGCACTGTGTAAAATGTATACAAGCTAAAGGAGGCCGAGGGCGGAGCCTATGGTGAAATCTGGAGCAGTCCATTATCTGTAGGTGATAAGTATGCATAGTAGCCATTGATGACTGGGAAGACCAATCCAGCAGTGGTTGATTTTTTTCCCGTGTGAAGTTTGTCAAGACTGATACTTACAGGATTGTTGGGTTTTTTTCTCCAGCCGTGGGGCAAACTACTTGACACAGATCCTTCTTAGGCCTGGTGCAACAGACCTTACAGGGAGTTTCAGGTTAGTTATATTTCGTTTTGGTTTGCTCCAAAGGAGACTCCTGACGATGACTAGAGCAGGCTAGTCGAAACGTTGAGACCAAAGACAAGTTCGTTTAGAACTTACAGCAGGACTGTTCTTATCAGAACAAAAAACTACTTAGCAAAGTTGATAATAAGCAGGACAAGTTCTTTTCAGAACTAATATCTTCTAAGTTGTAGTTATTACCACATGGTGTTACCGCAAACCAAAACGATACCGATACCCCACCATGCAAAGCCTCAAATCTTATATAGGTTAGTTATACCTATGTTTTTACAGAAGCTCTTCAAAATTCCAGCTCCTCCCATCAAAATGGGCTTCATGTTCACATTCCTAATGACCATGAATTTTCCAAACGTGATCCAAAATTACACCTGACTGCAAATACATATGTTGCAAATATACATTTTTAGTCAACTCACAAGCTATTCAAATTAACGGTGACAGAGACACTCCTTTGTCATTTTTCATCACCTGTGACCTGAATTTTGATTTTACTTTAGGTTGACGAGTGAACCTTGTTATTAATTCTTCAAAAACGAGGTTGCTTTTATAAATAATTCTTACAGTGCTTATTCTAGAAGAGTTATATTCAACTCCCTGAAATGCAAAGATAAAAGAGTCGGATTCAGAAATGTCTGTAGCTTTTCTCCTCACAATGAAAGTCGTTTGTGCTTGACCAGGAGGGCCAGCCATTTGCCCTTTGACTGACAGACCGACTGACTGAATCACTGACTGACGTAGTATTGTCCAAGCTGAGACTTTCGTGTCCCGCTTGATAAGGCAAGCCCAAGTCTTGTTCACTTGCCACCTTTTTATTTTCATCTTGCAGGTTGTACAAGAAGCCCGTCCTGCACAAATTGATTGATTCCTGCGTCTCCAAAGGCTACGTCTTCCAAATGGAGATGATAGTCAGGGCCAGACAGTTTAACTACAGCATAGGAGAGGTGAGGAGAATAACACCAGTGTCAGGCTGATGTTTCAAGATTTGAGCTGAACAAAATAGTACTAAGAGCGACTCGGATTAACCCAAATAGATTTTGGTTGCAGACAGACAAAGTTATGTTCCATTTTTATTGACTGTAGGTGGAGAGTGGCCTAGTGGGTAGGATTTGTGAGTGGTGATCAGAGGGTAGGGGTTCAAATCCAGCTGCTGGTCATATGTTGTGCCCTTGGGCAAGCCACTTCACCCCGCTTGCCTCTCTCCACCCAGAAGTGTAAATGGGTATACTGGCATTAGCTGGGAAGTAACCTGCGATTGACTAGCGTCCCATCCAGGGGGAATAGAAATATTCTCAGTCGTCTTATGCCTAGGAAACCGGAGATAAACTCGGGCCTGATAAGCTATGTTGGCTCATGACAGACGTTACTACATACTGGACTCGGGAGTCATTCGGAGTGACTGCAAAAGTTTATTTTTCTATGCCGCGGCTCCATTTTTAGAATTAAAAATTTTCATGTACTTAACTAAAATCTTTCGAATAATTGGACTCGGGATAGCTAGTCTGATTCCAGTGTGGAGCAGAGTGGTCAATTTCATCTTAATCTTAAGTCGTTCAGTCTCAAGTCAAGAGACGAGCTTCTTCCATGAACTGTGACAAAAGCATTTCTTTTTGTTATAGTGCATCCTCTCTTAGTTGTGGACCGCGCTTGTAGACGACTTGTGGGTACCGACTGATGGGCTGCATCACAACTCCGGAACTAAAAGAATGAAATAAACTGATCGCAATGAAAACTGACAAAATCAAATATAACATTGACGAGTTAGTTAAGCTTTCACCTCTGAGGTGGCTAGAGAACACGTGTACTGCCAAAAAAAAATTCCGGATATGATGAAATCTGAAACGGTTCTCTTTATTTTTCTTCAAGATTACCAAAATTACCAACATTATTATTAGTGCCCCCAGCCACACACACCTGCAATCTACACATCCCATAACGGGAGATTGCTTGCAGATTGATCTTGATCCAGAACAATGTAATTTGCCTGTTCTGAAACGGTTTGTAAACTGAATTTTGAACAATTTTGGAGTTCATATAATGTTGTCAAGTTACCTCCACCTGTTTGTCTCACATTTGTTTGGGGTTTTTTGCTCTCTTCGTTTTGCAACTTTCCTGCAGGTTCCCATCACCTTTGTGGATCGTGTCTACGGCGAGTCCAAACTCGGAGGGAATGAGATCATCGGCTTTGCCAAAGGCCTTCTCATGCTGTTTGCAACAACGTAGGCATTTGACTACGTGGTGTTGTCTTTGTAAATTGCCTGTGTGGCCCCACGGCACTGAAGTAATATACAACTGATACTTTTAAAGCATATAGGATCATTTGCTTATAATAACACCACTCAAAATCCAAAGAAGAAAGTTTGAAACCAAACCTGTTGAAGTTTCAGCTCAGTGAATATCACACTTTTCTGAAAAAAAAGGAGTGAAAAGCCATGCACAGCCTTCTGATCATGAAATACAATTTCGTCAATAGCACGCTTTACTCCTAAATGCAGTTAATTGACTGATCGTTGGAAATCACCTACATTTCTTAATGTCTTCTAAATGACAGACAATCCCATACGTAGCACGATATGAGACAGAGGGAACCCCCTCCTTTGTGTTGGTTATTGTGTTACCAGAATCTCAGGAATTCTTTTGAGATCTCTAGGGGGATGTGTTAGGTAACAATAGTCTAGGGTTTGCATAGGGTATAGGGAGATTGGGGGGTACCCCTTCGTCTCAAATCGTGCCGGGTATAGACAAGCCAGACAGAACTTTCCATGGGGTGTTTATTACATTGTACAATTTTTAACCAGTTCATGCCGGGATTATTTTGACAAGAACGGAACAAGGTGCAGGATTACTTTTCACTCGACCTCAAGCCAGGCGGGTTGAAGCCATCACCCTCGGGCAGCACACTCATCTTTCCGGCCTCGCTCGCTGCGAGCGGGTCGTTGACAGATATTTCCAGCCTCTCTTCCTGCGTATTTATCCAACATCCATTCCGAATACCACAAAACCTCTGTGTGTATACACGTCATCCGGTGCGAACTGGTTTATCCAATTAACGTTTTTGATAATAATTTGGTTGGTTACTTTTTTGAGTGAATGCGAACGATCCTACATGTATATGCCTTTAATTGGCGCATACAGGGAATCTGTTTTGGGGGAGGTCGGATGTTGAGCAGCTAAACACTACTTTTTTAGAAATTTAAGACAATGTATGTCATATAAGTAAACAAGAGAAAAGTAATTTAAGACAAATACATGTAATTTAAGTAAACGAGAGAAAGGGTTGGGTCTTTTTTAATGTAATTGTATTCTAATTTTTGTTTGGATGGGGAGGGCTTGAGTTTGATAACACCAAAAATACTGTTAGGATACTGTTAGAATCCTACTGCGTAAGTGAATGATTCACTTCGACGACTTTTTTTCTTGAGAATTAAAAACAGATAGAACCGTACCCGTGTGCAAGTCTTTTTTTAAAAGTTCTCTGGATTTTGGCATATTTTTATTGGAGCTAAAATATTAATCACAAAATGTCACTTTTCTGTAGTTTTCTGAGGTAGAAAGGGGATCTGCACCCAACTTTGTTAATAGTACAGGGGGACATTTTATTGCAAACAAATGATGAATGGATCATTATGTCAAGATTAATAAAATTATCAATGCTGTATAAATATAATCAGTGGTTCCGTATATTTTGTTTCAACAGAGGGCGCTATGAAAAATCACCAGGCCGCTTTTTAATCATTTTTGCCCAACAGAGGGCGCTCATCTTGCTTTAATGGGTGGTTATCTGGGGCGGGGAGGGGATCTGGGGAGGGGGTATATTCTGCTTATTTTCGGTTCGGAGAACGCTTTTTTTTTAAGGCATTACACTTAATTACACAAATCCATTTTGTTCAATGGAAGTGATCCTTTTGACGTTCCAATTGCAGACATGAAAATTAATAATAAAAAGTTTGACAATGAAAATTGGAACTCGGTCATAAAACTGAAAGTTGATTCCTGTTTCCTTCCATGGATCAAATAACTTGAGCCTTAGGGGTGGGGAATTATGCTTAGGAAAACTTGTTCGTCGAAAGAAATCAGCACTGGATACTCCACATTCGTCTATAATTTTATGCATGGAAGGTGGATTGTACCACGTAATTTCTCGAAACAATGGGGGCCAAGAAGACGGAAGTATTACGGAAAAAATCTGGAATCCATGCACTACAGTGATATTCGGTGACAATTGCCAAACTGTAGCCTTTATTTCAGTCCCCAAGAATGCACTGGCCGAAATGTTGCTTTCTAAATAATCAAATCTTCTGTGAAAATATGCACAATTTCGTGGAAATATTTTTCAACCATTTGACTTTTAAACCTCCAAATGAAAGTCTCTTTGAAAGGTCTGCAGTGTTTCTCCATAATTATATGCACGGGCCACAACCTACACTAAGCTTTAAGTGAAACTCGAAGAGGATAATGATTTTAAATATATATATACGGGTAAAATTCTATCCATTTCCATCAAAATAAAGATTTCCGTAGGAACAAAGAAATTTTCTTTAAATCCAAAATAATCATGCTTTGGACAAGACCTGCTAGTGGCTGCACTTTATCCTTTCATGTCACCTGATAGTCAATCAGGGTGACTTGAAAAGAGTCTATGTTTCACCGCTAGAGGGCTGTGTCGCCTGCTAGTTTGTACGTTAAGCATCGACAGTACAGCTGCTTGTGGCATGACTACGGAGTCACACTGTCTTCGATCCGGTGACTTCACTTCAGGTAAAAAATTCACATTTTTCCACTAAATTTATCCTGATAGGATTACTGTAGTCGTTTCATTGGTGTGTGTGGTCTATCGACATGGGAAATAGGGTCGTGGCTGGATATTTGTTGGGTAAAGCTAAATTAAAATTTCTAGTGAAGTTTTTGGTACGGTCGACATGCTTGTGCGGCAGTGCATGCGCCGCCGCTAGGCGCTGTGCATGCACTGCGCGGGAGTGAGGGTATGTTTTTTAAGGGATGGGCCTAGGTTGGCCCCTCCCCTGAAATAGGGGGTGGTGTGGGGTCGAGGTTAGTTTTAATGTAGTAAACCTGTGTAATTTAGTTTGCATACTAGACATTAAGGGAAAAGTTCCGTACTCGGACGTCAATTTATCTGCTGCCAAACATATTAATTGTCACCTCACCTTGTCATTTGAACCAAGAGAAATCCAGGAATCTGTGTAAAGGTGAAATTTGTTTACTCAAAATGTGTTTTTAGAGCACATTTTGGATGCACACGTCATGCAGAACTAACTTGAAGCAGCCGGTCAAAACTGATTGTAGTGGCTGAAAGACAGCGGTACGTTATACACGTGACATCAACAACCATGACGTCGCATGAGCCTGCCAATGATAGTGCAATACGTCATTATGAATATTTATTTTCTCATGAATATTTAGTTTATTTCAATGGATACTTCAAATACGTCCAAAGATTGATTATTGCAACAGCGATCGTGCGCGGCCTAGCAGTTAAGAGTCTCGTGTATCAAGCAAGCGTCAGAGGTTCGAATCCCGATGAAGTAACTGACTGATTAATAAATAGAAATTAAGGAAAGGAGAGGGTGAGAGTAGAGGAGGGAAAGTGGAGGAATAACCATAAAAGATGTAACTTTTGGCGCTAGAAAAATTAATTGAAAAAAGTGACGTCCGAGTACGGAATTTTTTCCGACATTAATACAACTGTTTCGTGATAATCTAAAGTAAAGAGTGATAATTTTTATTTTTTTTTATTTAAAAAAACTGCTTTCCAAAGGCGCCCTCACGTTAAAATTAAACTAAGAAATTGTAATTGAGAAAAGTAGCCAAGAAATTACACTCAAAGTTTTCACAAAACATACAAAATATATGACACTGTATGAGTAAAAAAACTAGGCAGTGTATATTTTGCCGGAGACGGCAAACCTTTAGTAAACGTTAGTTTGCCGGATATGCACTGAACATGCGCAGTTACTGTTTTTTTGTACTTTAACATTTTCCGGTGACAAATTTTAGTCTGGCTCCATGCCAAAATTATCGTTGTAACCTCGTATTCACAAGATGGGATTCAGACCATTTTATAATTTCGGACTATATTTCCCTTTTATAAAAAATCCTCCAGAGCCACAAATCTGAAAAAGAAAATGTAATACTCTGAAAAAAAATGTTTGAGACCTGTTAAAATAATAAAAGAAGAATATTCTTATTTATTTGGGGATGAGAAAAAAAAACTTTAAAAATGTGGTGTGGTTGGAATCGAACCCGAGTCATCCCGCTTTCTAGAGCCTTTGCTTAACCACTAAACCAAACGTGCTACACAACTTTTGGTGGGAATTTAATACATCTTATAATGCAGCCCTATCTTAAAGAGTACAGCGACCTCTGTTGATATGGATTGCCGCCGGCAAACCTTTAGTAAACGTTAGTTTGCCGTCATTACCTCCGGCAAAATATCCACTATAAAAAAACTAACACGTGAGTAGCGAGAGTAATTAAAAAAACACTTGTTGCACATAGCCTCATAGGCCTACATACATAAAAATCTGCTTATTAAAGGGAAAAAAATGAAGATTCTTTTTGTTAAACATCACATGGAGTCCCCCAATAACAAATAAGACCTAGAAAACAATCACGTTTGGATAAAATTCTGCTTAGATAAAAAAACAATGACAGATATTAGCTACAATTTTACAGTAGTCCCAAAATTACACCTGGAAAAAATAAACATGCTATTATTAAGATAAAAATGTGTGCTTGTATAAAAATGCAATTTCATTCCTGCAAAAAAATTACATAAAGTCCCACCCAATACATGAAGACCTAGCCAAAATTCACATGTAAACAAAAGTATTACACATGAATACCAAAAATGTAGCTATATTACATACTGCTACATAATCACACACCGTCCATCAGGAATGAATAAAAAAAAACCTGTTTAAAACCTGTTAAATCCTTCCAAACTGACTTCAGCAACGTAAAGGAGACTTCTCTTAATTCTAATGACACTATTTCTGGTAATTTTGATAAGTATCTTTTGGGTAGAAAATGCGATTTTCCTTCGCATGTTATAGGTGACTCTTTGCTAATCAACGCGATTTTGCGCATTTGCGGTGCACTGCAGTGATAGCCATCTCTATTTTCGTGCTGCGATTTGTCATCTTCATCGTTGTGTTACCTCCAATTTCCTTCAGAAAATCATACCAATCTATATGACAAACTCTTGTGTTTTTTGGTCTCCCCCTAGAATGGCCACCAACAGCCTCTACAAGAAGAAGCTGACGCCCCAGGAGGTGGCCAGCGTCACCAAGATGCTGAAAATGGGCACCGTCCTGACGCGCTTCTACGGCAAACGACGACCGGAAAGGAGGTCGTTCGAAATCTGCATGGAGACGCGGCAGATTTTGTGGAGGCGACAGACTGGGCGGACAGACGGAGCAGGTACTTACAGGGGAAGGGGTGTAGGGGGTTTGGGAGCTGGGCCGACTTCATGGGTCTGATCGCTGAAAATAGTTATTTTCTGAAAAAAAAGTAGCCTTGATCAACTTGTCTTCTTTCGCTCCGCATGTGGCTGGCGCTATCCGCCTCGTGCGCGAACAGAGAGGGCATTTTTTTACCACTTATGAAGGCCCTGTGGACGAGACACAGTGCGTGCATGCGTACAGGTTTGCATGCGTGTAGCCCAAAATATGCACAACGTATTTTATTGTGAATGTGCGCAAAGCAACAGTGTCTTCGCGTGAAAGCAGTCGTCGGCGGTAATGCGTTCGAATGTTGTCTGAGTGGTCTCCCCCAACTCTCCCTTTCTTACCAATGAGGGGGTACTTGTGCACGGAGCGCATACTGGACATGTATGTACCTGCCAAGCCAGGTAGTTGCGTAGCAGTGGTGCGACATACATGTACCTGTACGGATCTGTTCACATGATTTGGAGACAGTATAGTGAGCCATGAGTCCGTGGATGGTCTGTAATATGGGGCTGTTTGCGTGACTGGCGCGGTACCCCTGGACAATGTGCAGGTATGAACATACGTCCAATGGAGCCGCAGTGCAGCCGGTAGCACTAGCGCAGCTGAGCGACAAGTGCTGAGACAAACCAGATCAGCTGGAAAGCTTAAGCTTGGTCAAGGCTAAGCAAAAACAGGGTTACCAAAAGCAAGATATCATGCCAGTCTCTGGGGGTATGAATGGTTCCCTGATAATTTTTGCACAGCTATTAAGCTTGCTAGGCAATAGTTTCTGCCTAATGGCACTATGACATTGGCCCTGGGCATTTTCATTGTTTGTGAGTATGTTTGTTTGAATTTTTCGATATAGGTTTTCCTGGCCAATTTCCTTAAATGCTCATTCACTTCTGAAAATAGGTCATTCATTTTCGTCTGAATTTGAATGCACGTCTTTAATCCCATTTCAATTCAACGAAAGCTCAATCATTTTCATTGTCCGTGCATCCGGTTTTGAGAAACAGACGGCCAATCACTTAATTGATTGAACTAAAATGGAATCGAATGCTCTGGTAGCGAAAAACAAAACTCGTGTTCAGAGCGATTCTCAAATTCAGACGAACATGAATGACCGATTTTCAGAAGTGAATTAACATTTTAGGAAATTGGCCGGGTAAACCTATACATAACAGTAGAAAAGAATGCAGTATCCGGATGACACTTTAGTGGTTGAGTGCAAAGTCAATGGGTGTATTTTCTAAACAAAATTGAAAGTGTTTCTCAGTCTCGTATTATTTTTTTTTTACAATAACTGACCATCATTGAGGTTTATGTAGTGAAAAGAAGTAGTTGCTTGGTGCTTGAAAGATGTTACCACATGATGTGTAAATAATGGTCCACAGTGACGTGCCTTGTCAGTGGCATGTATGCTTACATCCTACATGTACATGTAGTATGTAGCTGCATCTAAATGTACAGTGTAAATAAGGGAATAAATGTGTGCTTCGGAGGTTTTTATCACTCTGTTTAAGACCACTTAGAGTCTGGGTGCTGATAATTACCCGAGCCGGATCCCATTCATAAATACCTTTTCGGTAAGAAAAAATCATATAATTCGTTCAAAACATCCCGATTTTGTTCAACAAATTCACTTTATGCTTTTTGAAACATCCCTCTTGCAAAATGATGGAGTGTTCAGCTGGCGAGTAAGATGTAAACAACCCTTTTATGGAGATTGACGCGCGCGTATCATGTTCTGCGCGATGTCGCGCAGAACGCACCTGGCGCGTTGCGTTTTGAATTTAGAACTTTAAAATTCTGACTCCCTGGTAGTGTTGCACATGCCTACGTGAGGATTGTGAACGTTCAACCAATGAAACGATAAGAGGCACTAGATTTTTAGGAGTCCACATTTTATTGTGACACTGGAAAAGTGTTTAAGACCAGCTAGCCATGTCTTTATCATCCGTTTAAGACCGGCCACGTGACGAGCTCTCGACCAATAGGAACGCGTAAACTGTCTTAGGTATTTATGAATAACATTTAATAGCTTAGCAAGCATTCACATTTACACAATAGAGTGAATCCCCGTTTGTAAATTGTTTCTCAAATCTTGCTAGTTTTTCTTTTTGGCCTTTGTGTGAAAAGGGCCTAAGTCAATATAAATCCCTCCATCATGGTCACACAATCTGGGACAAATTTACTGACCCCCCCCCCCCTCACAACTTGCCAAGGGCACATTTGTGTAACTACACATCTACATGTACCAGTATGTAAAATGAGAAGCACTCTAGCAAGTGGTTCAGAGAAACTCAAGGTCTAAAGAGTTTTGTTTCAGCATAGCTCCATGGTTTCAGTGATGTGTTGGCACTTCATTAACATTTTAAGGGTCAGAGTGTTTTGGACATGTGGCCGATTCCAGCATCACTCACATTTCACTTATTTGCATCCTTTTACAATCTCAGTGATGTACTTTTTACAGTGAATTACTCTTTCATTTTTGGTACGGAATACTCAATATATAAGGCATTAACCCTATGGTATTAAGACAATTTAATGATACTAAATATGAGCATGCATGGCACTGTTGGACAAAACCGTCGCTCGCATTTTGTGAAATGGACATGCCAAAAATTGTCTTGGTTTTAATTGAAAAGTTTCCTCAAACCAAATGTATATGTACTAGATACATGTATCTACCGTACTGAAGTATAAATGAGTGTAAAAAATATATACAACAACTAACTGTACTTAAGTTAGAGGGGTTAGAGTTAGATTTCAGTTTGTCTGTACATTAAGTTGTGAACAAAATGTAGCTTTCCCTCCACAATTCTTATCAAGTCTTGGCTAAGTCTTTTCAAGCAACAGGTCGTTTGAAAAGACTCAAAATATTAATTACATGTACAGTGAAAAAAATGTATTTTCTGAAACATTTACAAAGGTACTGTAATGTACATGTAATAATCCTCAGCCACAAAGGCACTAGCTCTCTACTTATACTTAAGTGTTAAATAATGAATTGTGTTCATCCATTCCTGTACTGCAGTCCTTCTGATTTGAGGCGTGCGATCACACCCCCACACCATCGCACACCTAAAAGCCTCCCGAGAAGTGTGAATAATTGTATGCCCGAATTTCCCTGGACCACAGATCACACACCTAGAAAATCACACACCTAGAAAAAACGCACGCCTAGAAAAATCCAGGTGTGCCTTTTTCCACACACCTGTGATTAACTCACAACCTAATCAGCAGGAGCATAAATTATTTCACCAAAATTGACTTTCAAGAGTTAACCTACATGTACAAGTTTTTTATGTGTAAATGTAGGTTCAGACTGTTCATATAGAAATGAAACTTGGAACTGTTCCTATGGAGATGCAATGCATCATGGGTACCATAAATGATGCCCGCCTTCTATAGGCCTAAGACAATAGGCATACGTTGTGCATGCACTTCCCTCAATATTGCAATTTAAGAGTTTCTCTGTCTGCATTCTTATAATACTAAAAAGGGGTATTGTTAGTTGCATTTCATTTGTCAAGCTCACATTTCATTTGTCACTCGCATTTCAAATTTCAAGGGCTCTCTATTATAATGTGCTGTTTGTTTTGTTTTAGTAGGGCCTACTTGTTGCTTTTATACTTGGTATTGGTGGGAGAAGCAAATTATCAATTGTCAAAAATATAATTACTACCAGTTTAAAAAAAATACAAAAGAGATCTCTCCGTCACTCGTATTTCATACCTCTCTACATGTACCGGTACATGTACGTCCAGCTGCTACATGTCTTCAAGAAAAGTAATGGGCAGATTTTCATTGTATTTTTTAGGTATAAAGTCATACTAGTAAATTGCATAATAATTTTGTGACTACTGCTTTTTCCAAGAAAAAATGCAAACAAATGAAAATGCACATAAAGTAAACTTTTAAGCCAAACATAACAAGGAAGAAACGTGACATGTTTCATAGCAAACGATATAGATTTGACTAAAAAGGTTTATATCCTGGTCCTTACATCTACATGTATTAGCAATAAACTTAAAAATGAAAAGGAAGTTCAGGAATGAATTGGATTTTTGTCCCTGCTAACATGGAATTGCCCATAATATGCTTAACTTGAAAATTTGTGGCATTAATTGGAAATGTCCTTGAAATGCAGTGATTTTTTTTTTTTTTTTTTTTACACACAAGCTTCCTTAACCACTTCCCGCTGGGATCATTTTGACATTGATCGGACCCAGGCGCGGGATTGTTTTTCACCAACCTCGATGCCAGACGGGTTCAGGACGTCATCTACGGGTAGCACAACCTGACATTTCCGGCCTCGCTCGCTGCGATCGGGTCGCAGACGGATATTTCTGGCCTCACTTGTTTATCCGTCATCCGTTCCGAATACCACGTAACCTTTGCCTGTATACACGTCATCCGATGTGAAGTTGTTAAGCCAGCTGCTTTTCAAAAAAAAATTTTTGAAGATTTGAAATAGTGGTGGGATTTAAATCCAGATTTTTTTACATTTGGTTTGAATTCCACTACAAGGCTTGGATTTTGGAAACGGGATATTCAAAACCAACCTTAAAAAATATTAAGCCTTCCATTCTTTAGTGACACAGGCTAAAGAAAAAAACTGGAACATCCCCCATGGACATCCCCCAATTGACCTATCGCGGTCGAATCGCGTCAACGCAGCTTGTAAAATATTGTCCAATTACATGGGCATACATGGCCGCAGAATGCGCAACATCGCAAACGGGGATAGGTCAATTTGCTTGATGGTCTCAGATTGTAACTGTTAATTTTGCTAGTGGTCTTCTTGGTATACCGGTACATGTACCGGTAGTTCCCATCCATTTTTTCAACATCACATCTCTGGAGTGTTAAATTGTAAAGGCCCAGTAGTCAGTGAATCCTGTAAACTGTACCCAGTCACCATGAGGGCATTTTATGCGGCACTTCACTCGTCACTTTTTGTTGGCATGACTGTGAGCTGGATGG